TAAGAAACTCTTACAACCTATTTAATATGGTCATTATTTATTATAAATTATACTTCGGTGTGCTTAATTTTCGCCAATAATTTCAATAAATCATTGAAAAATCAAGCAACCATAACGTCCTTGTTAAAATGAACCTGGAACAGTCCATTGCCGACTCCTTTCACCTGCAAATAGCACACTTTCATTTAAGCATCGGTTCCCTCTCCACCTTCGCCTCTCCGCCAACAACATTTAAATTTATTAAGGCCATAAAATGATATTTTTGTGGCCCAAGCAAGCTCTGTGGCAAATGGGCTCATAAATATTTAAAACCGCTTAAAACACGCACGAAAAACCAAATACCCAAAGCTAACAAACGTTTAATTTTATTGCCATGGCCCAGCCAAACCGCATCCCCGTCAGCCTACGCACAATCCCTTCCAGCTTGTAAAAGGGCTGTTCATCCCGAGTCGATAAAAAGATTTTAATTCACTTTTGATCGCATTTGGGAATCGCACCTATTCAAATCTCTGAAATGTCTTGACCACCCAAAGGCCAAGCGGCCATTAAAAGTATATTAAACGGGGCTCTCCCGGCCGCAACATGATCCCGGCTAATTGAAAAGGTAAAAACTGAAATTTGTGTAAATTATTTTTGGCATAAATTAGCCATTTGATGGCCGTGCAGTGGCAGTGGCATGTTGGCATTGGCACCTGATCCAGGTCCCAGATACACACCATGGTCGCTGTCAGCAAGGATTAGGCATTGCCTTCGACTGGCTTTTAATATGCTCAAATTAGAGGTGGTCACAAATAAAAATTAATATATGACGCTTGGCAATCACAGGCAACTTGGCCATCTGAAAAATTCGTATTCTGTAAATCAATAATTATCAATAATTTCATATGCTAATTTTTATGACTAATCAATGTTTAAAATATCCATAACTAAGTCAAAAAAGCTTTAATTTCAATTCGGAAAACTGTTCTGAGCTGGTTTTTGTTAGGTTAATAAATCTGCATACTCAAAAAAGAATTTTAAAAAATTCAATTTTTTGTCAAATTTTGACAATTTTAACGATGTAACCCCTTATAAAATTTTCAAATTTTGAAAAAATTTCAAATTTTTTTTTCTTTTCGGGCATGGCTAGATTGATTCGCCATTCAATGCTGCTCAAGAATATATATGGTTTATAGGGTCGAAAATGATTCCTTCACTGCATTTTGAGCCTCTAACTAACAAAAATGTTACCTGTAATTGAGGTTTTTTTTTTATGCCTAAAAGGGAATAAAAACAAAGAATGAATTACAAGTGAAATGTGTTTAAGCTTCAAAAGTCCGACTAAATATATAAAATAGAAATCCATAGTAAAGTTTCTTACCAAATTGGCATAAAATTGGTGGAATTAGCAACACTAGCAAGTCACCTATGGAAAATTTTAGAATCAGGCAGGAGTCGATGCTGGGATTTTATAGCCATCGTGGAGCACTTGGACCTAGTGGCTAGTGGTCACTTTGATGAGTGTGGACCAGGGCCTAGCCAGCACTTGCTGGACTGGGGTCGGGTCGTTAAAGATTTGATGATCCCTCCGGAAGCTGTTTTAATTTGCTTTTGGCACCTCGCCTAAGTGCTGGGAGGATGTGGCAGATTAAAAGCTGGAAGCAGATCGAGGCCCGGGACTCTTTTTTAATTAAATCCCGAAGAAATCAGGGTTTTATTTATACGTCTGCCTGGCGTTTGGTTAACCCATTAGTCGCGACAACGTCAAATGAGTTTATACCGCGAGCGAGTCGTAGTTTTGCAGTGGCCGTTTTACAGTTGTCTGGCCCGGCGGCACCAAGACACCGGATCTGGCGGGGATTGGGTAGAGAGTGGTCCGTCTGAGGCGCTGCCATGTTTAGTGGCAATTAAAATGTTTTTATCTTATTAGTGCGTCTTATCTGCGGCTGCCATTTAAGAGATATATGCGAGGGACGTGCGCGAAACGCCGGCCAAAAACAGTTATCGATTGTCCACCAGCAAACTCTGGGCTGGCTATGGAATCTGGCTTAGAGAAGGCGGCCAAGCAAGAGATTAGGTTTGATTGGAAAATTTCTAGAGTTCCTCAGTTGTTTGCCTGAGATTATCCTGACCTGGTTGTGACTTTCTCGGCTAATTTCCCACATTCTAAATCTGGGAAATATCTAAAAGGTTATCTGGAAAGGCAAAATAAAATCATAAAGTAAGCAGTTTATATAAAATATTATAGGGAATCCATAGAATTATGTAGCCTTTGCTTGTTTGTGAGAAAACACTTCAATAATTGGCCGTTAATCACATGCAACAGCAATCAATTCCAAAGGCCTTTTTAGCTGTCGGTCCCAGACACAAATCAATTGCTCGATTTGCACGCTTCGACATTTCTCGATTGAATTATTATCACCAGAGGAGAGTCGCACTGGGCCAATGTTCACTCCACTCCAGTCCAGTCCACTGACTGGACACGGGACACCAGGGGCTCCTCCATCCCAGGGAGCGACAGACAGCTGTGCGGTGGCTTTGACTGGTGCCTTGTGGAACGCGTCGGTCCGTTGACCACAATGCCCCAGTGGCCATGTTCATGTTGGGCCAACATCCCATATTTGCAGCAGGCGGGCCAACAAGTTGCAAAACAAATTTGTCAGAGAGCTGACCATTTTTGGGCAGGCGTTGCCGCTTTGGCTTTGTGATTTGTGATTTGGATTTGTGCAATGCGTTTGCTCATGTCGATGTTGCAGCAGTTGCAGTTGCAGTCTTGGTGTTGCTGCTGCTGTTACTGTTGCTGATGTAGTTGCAGTTGCTGCTGCTGCTGCTGTTGCTCCTGCTGATGCTGCTGCTGTTTTCCGGCGCAATGTTGTCATTAGCTAATTTGGCAGCCTGCCGTTTGCGTTTAATTAGAGGGCCGCCGCTTTTGAGGTGCTGCTGCTGCAAGACCCAGAGCAACACTTTCGATTTTTTAGGCCCCTAGCCGCTTGCCACGCCCTTAATCCGGCCCTGAACCGCTCCACCGCTATAAAAATGCACCACAAAAAAATATGTACTTAAAAAATAGTATGTAGTAAAAATCCATTGATTTGGTATAACCTTTCAAACGTTTGTTTAGGACATTTTATAACATATTATACCTCTTTTGTTTTATGATTAATTATTTTCTTTTATGCCACCATTTTCACTCAAGTTTATCCCCATTTCCAAGTATATTTCCGAATTATTTGCCAGTGTGTCTTGAGTGGCGATCACGTCTCACGTAGAGGCCATTAAAGGCCACAGCATCACGATCGAGTTGGAGTTAAGCCAGGAGACGGACTTGGAGCAGCGGCTCTGGAGCTTGAAGCTGGAGCTGGAGCTCGTTGCTCGTAGCTTGTAGCTCCAAGTCGGCAGAGTTGAGTGAATGACTTTGAGCTGGCCTGTCGTCACACCCCCATGTAATCCTCGCACGATCTCTGCGCTTGAACCTTTCTGATTAGGGCTGGGGCAACGGAACCGCCAACTGCCGACTGACTGACTGACAGACAGACAGACCCCGTCCACCTCCCCCTTGGGCTGCTACACCTGGAGGGGTCGAGGGAGGGAAGATCCCCCGCAATGGAATCGCCACGCCAAAGGTCGTTAAAGTCGCATCGCTGCCGTGGCCGCTGGGCCCGCAGATTTTTGCCTTCTCTAGATCTTGTGGCCTCTTGGCCAGGGCTCAGGGCCTTGTCCTTTCTGCGCTTCATCATGGCTTAGTTATGATCTCGGGGAGTTTCCCTTTTCAAGACCAAAGGATTCACTTCACTTTCTTGTAGGGTTTGTTTGGGGTTTAATTAAATTAAAGAAAATTGAAATCTCTTATTATAAGATAAAGAAACTAATAATAATAAAATATAACCCACTCTTCTGACATAATCACTTTGAGAGTTTACCATGTTTATCTTGCCTCTTTACATTGCTGTCATCCCCATAAATATATACTTATGGCATTCCATGTGGCCATGTTGTTAATTTGTCACAATTTGTCTGGCAATTGCAACTGCTGCAGTTTCTCTGGCCATAACTCGTGAGAGGGTAACAGGCAGTGAGTCCATCTCGAATCCCAGCCAAAACCTGACTTTATTTTCTCCTCCATTCAACGTTGTGCAAATGTGCTAATCCGCAGCGGGAAAAAATAAAGGCAAAAGAGAGAGGGACGATCCAATATTTGGTACGAGTATCTTTCTTTTTTTGTTTTTGAAATACCATCACGTTTCGACATTTTACTACTCACTTGTGGCACGTTGTTGCCATTGAGCATATCAGTTTGGAATTTTATTGGCCACGCTTCATGCATCCTCGTACCCATACCTATATCCTATACCCATCCCCATCCTCATCCTCATCATCATCCTTACCTTCGCCTTTGCCTTTACCTTTGCTGGCTGATCTTGGCCTTGATAGCCGCATATGAAGGCGATCCTCTTCCCGATTCCCGATCGCTTCTCTGCTCCTGACATTTATATTGGCAAATATTTTAAATATTCCCTGCTTCCCCCCTTCGTGTGGGAGTTGTCGAGGCTGCACAGCTCCAGGTGTCGTTATCGCGTCTCAATGGTCTTTACGGCCAGCAGCTGGAGTGGGTTAGGTGGGTTAGACCCCAAAGACAGTCGATGGACTACACAGAGTCCACATCAGTGTTTCTGAATTGAAGGAATCTTTAATATAATTGGAATTTTTATTGTCCTGTGAAGAGTCCGAGAGGGTACGCCGGGTGAGTAGTGGCTAGTATTTGATGGGTTTTAATACTGAGTGGTGTCTATTGGTGGGGCGGTTCAATCTCAGCCAAGTCTGGGTCTGGGTCTTTGTGGGTGTTGAAGGCTGTCTTATTTTAATTAAAATTGGTTTTCTGCTAAGATGTATAAGGGTTTTGTAAGGGTTTTGTAAAAGGTTTTCAAGTGGGAATCCAATTTGTTTGGCACGCCAAACATATCTTCCTTTCTGGTTAAGCCTTATAATAAATTAATTAAATTAATATAAAATTTTTTGTACAGTTCCCTCACCGTCACCCACATATCGCCATAATGGTGGCGATGTCGCTGGTAGCATTATCAACAATGTTCCAACCACTGATGGCAGCCTCCCCTGAGCACCATAGAGTTGCAGGCCAGGGAGAACGACTACGTCCTAGAGGATTCAGCCTTGAGAGTTCCCATCTCAATACAGTTGCCGCCACCTCCAAACTACTGTCCCCTGCCCCTGACACCGCCGCCCAGCTATACGGAGCGACCAAGGGCAGCTGGATCAGGATCGGGGCCAGTTCAGCTGGAGGATGCTGTGCATCCTGTCATACCACTGAGATCCGCAGCAGAGGTCACAGCAGCAGCAGCAGCACGTCAGCAGGCACGACGCCGACGAAGACTTAGGGAACTCCAACAGCAGCAGCTCCGGTTCGCATCCAGCACAGACAGCAGCTCCGAGTCCAGCTGCTCCGAGCTAGGAGGCAGTGTTACCAGACGCCAGCGTCGTCGCAGGCGTGGGGTGAGAGGTAAGCTAGTTAGGAGACACTCTATAAAACCAAACTAAAGCTCCTCCTCCTACTTTCTTTAGATGCTTATTGTCCAGATCTGTTGCACGCCTGCGCCCTAATCCTTCAACAGCCCGGTAGCAGCGACAGTTCCGTGGGCAATTTCACGGCCACGCCACCGCCTCCGGCCAATCCCGCTCCAGCTTCCAATCCCGAGCCGGAGAGCTTCGAGTATAGCTCGGACTATGTGGAGATCGATGAACTGCTGCCACTAGTGGCCGGTGGTCGAGCAAAGAGCACTCCGCAGCTGGCGATGGGTCAGAACCTGAGCCTGCGACGGCCTCGCATCTCACTGACCTGGGTGCTCCGGGAGCAGCAGCAGCAGCAGACGCCCCAGACGCAGGCGGCACCACCAACGCCACAGAAGGAGTCGGTGCCCCATCATGAGGATGAGGCGGCGCAGGAGCACAAGGAGAACGATGTCCTGGTGGTCAGGACAGAGCCGGTGCCTACGCAGCTGGATGTTACCAAGAAGCGGTACAGGATCAAGCAGCTACCGAGCGGCGGAGAGCCGCTCAATGGCTATGCCACCACGCCCACCGCCCATCAGGCGCCGCCCAACGGACACCTGGCCAATCACCAGAAGTTCTTCAGCAACCAGAACCTGCTGGACGTGTCCAGAAGTAATCAGACCGGCGGACCAGTGGCCGCCGCCTCCACCAAAGAGCTGCTTTTCGTATGCACACCGCAACGAGCGCCCAGGAGCGACGGCCACAGTGAGGCATTGCTCCTGGCCAGAAAGCGGAACGAGATCCGCAAGAAACTGGCCACCAGATTGCAGCAGGCACGATCCAGTGGCTCACAGGCGGGCGAGGCCAGGGGATCGGTCACCGGAGCGGAATCACTGAAATGCACATCCTACTCGGAACCCAGTTTGGTGGCAGCATCGGAGGGCGGAGAAGGAGGAGGAGTAGGCGCCAGTGGAGGTGGATCTGCACCCCATCACCAACAGCAGCAGCAGCAGCAGCGTCGTCATCGCCATCGCAAGCGCCGGGATCGCAATCGAGTGCAGCGCTTCGGCTACGAAATTCACAACGTGGACGAGTTTTTGTCGCGCTGCTCGCTGGCCACGCCGGGCAACATACCCGTCGTCCTGGCCACGGCCAGCACCCTCTACCAGACCCGACCCGGCGGGTACCAGCTGGAGATACCGCTGCCCTCGGCATGGTGGTGAATGCGGTGTTTAAGAACCAGAACTGGCTGTATGTCCAAACGCCGCACGCGGAGGAGGGTTACGTGGGCTATGCCTGCTGCCTGCCGCTGGGAATTCTGCCGCAGCAGGCGAGAGCTGGCTCGCGGAGCACTCCCTGCTGGGAGTCCAATGCAGATGTCTTTCCCCGGCCATGTGGCAACATGACCGACTCGGAGAAGGAGATCCGACTGAGGGGCGGTACCCGGTCCGATGGTGCACGAACGCCACGAAGCACAAAGCCAGCGGAGGAGCTCCTCAAGATCAGCAGCACCGCCATCAACAACAACAACAACAATCACCATAGTAGCAACAATAACCAACTGACGAAAGGAGGCAGCACGGCAAGCTCCCTGTACGGAGAGCAGCAGGTGGACAAGCTGTATCTGCGGGCCGCCTCCAAGCCACGTCTCGTGGAGAAGGCCTATGCACAGCTGCGGTCCACACGCCAGGTGGCTTCCGGCTCCGCTTCGGTCAGAAGCGGAGCGTCCCAGGACGAGTACGTGACCCTGCAGCAACAGCAAAAGTCAACCAAGAAGCTACCGAATCCCACCCTGCAGACCCAGACCCACCTACACCAGTCACAACCCGCCCGAAGGCTCTCCAATGTGTCCTACATCACCAACGGCCAGAATGGCCAGCATTTGCATCCAAAATTTGTGCCGCTGCCGCCGCCCTACGAGCACAAGCCGGCCAAGAACCAGGCGGAAGCGGAAGCCAGCCTGAAGGCGCTACGTCGACAGCAGGAGGTGGGCCAGCGGCAAACTCTAGTCGCCATCAACACGGACTACATCACGGAGAGCATTGCGGTACACAAGGGTGAGATTGTAACGCTATGCGAGTGTCGGGAGTCAAAGGACCAACGTCAGTGGTTTTACATACGGACGAGGGACGGACGCGAGGGCTTTATACCGGCCGAGGTGGCCGGCCATGGCTATCTGTAGGAGCACCACCTAGGCAGGGTTGTTTTCGGATTGAATCTAGTTGAGGGATGGAAGGTAATCAAAGGATTATAATTACCTTCCCTCTCTCTCTGGTTTCTTCACTCAAGTAGGGGACCTACATATTTCACCCATAAACACCACCACCAAGTCAAGCTCTACATTTAAATCAATTAGAATTATATCCACCAACATTAAGCACTCCCATTTGCGCTAATTTAGTACGCTTCTAGTTGTAAACTGTACTCGTAACTCGTAAATCCTAACTCGTAACTATTATCGGTGTCCGTAATTGAATAATTGTGTAATTTTTGTATGTGTGAGCGTGTGGATCCTCCTCCTTCTCCGTCTGCGGCGAAGGAGTAGGATCTTGTATTTATCATCTAGCCTAGCATTACCGAGTAGTCTCTATGTAATAGAACACTTGCTAAACGGAAATCAAAGACGAAAGCGCAGACGGAAACTATTTATAAAGATTACTGTACTTGATGCTTCTACTAAATAAACATTTAAATAAATATTTAAACTTGTATTTGATTGAAAGTTAACTGTTAATTTGTGTAAAATATTTGTAATTATGATTTTATTATCTGCATTCGATTGGGTATATGAGCAGTAACATAAATTAACTTGGTTAAAAACTTGACACAATCGTGATATTCCAATATTTGAGCTACTCGTTAAAATTTCATTTAAAATCTATTAATCGGGCTTGAGTTTAATACAATTTGTTGTTTTTTGGCCAATCGTTTCCATATTACAGATAATCAGCAATTACTTTAACAATTTACTTGACTCGCGGGTCGATTTTGTTCTCAGTTTAAAGTTATTGCTTATGCACAAATACGTGACTTATGAAAATATATATATATATATATGTGCTTACGATAAGCTATTGATATCAATTTTTGTATATGCATAGGTTTGTTCCTAAAATTATTGCAACCTCGATCCGGACGAGCTTCTCTCAGAGACGCTCCACAAATTTTAACAGGAAGATAGGTACTTAATTTAATATGGTTTCACTTAGGGTGTTAATCGCGTAGATGAAGAAAGACCGAATGAGCATGCATCGTTAGTAGAATTTTGAAACGAATGAAGTAGACATTTACAAAAGTTGATAATAATTTACAATTGACTGAGCACACTTTCGACTTAACTGAACGAAATACAGAAGGACAAATACAAAGTTACAAATTGTAGGACAAATTGCTACACAGAATTCACATACACAACTAAAAATGCTACGACAATAAATTAAGCTACAAGTCTGCGTAAAATATATCGACGTCGCTCACGAGCGCAACTTAAGTTCTATTCAGGGGAAAAAGTGACTGTCCCGGTAACCATTTCATTACTTGCGGAACTCCGGACTGGAACTGGGCGACGCCGTCGACACATTGTCGAGATTGGTGTTTGTATTGTCGAAACTCTCGTGCTGCGGCTCCGGCTCTACGGGTGGCTCCGGCTTCGTCAGCAGCACCGTCATATTCTTTAGGTTGCTGGGCTTCTCCTCCTCGTCATGGTTGATGTTGAGCATGGCATCGTTCATGCGATGATAGTGCGGCTTTTGCGAGGTGCTTGGTCGCGAGTAATCCAGGTGATCATACTCATCTAATCCGAAGAAAAAAGGACAACGAACAAGGCATTATTTATAGGAAAACAGCTGCAGGGAAGCTTAATAACACTGGACATGAGCGAGAACGAACAGAGCACTGGCTACTACACTGGATGGTTCTAGCTTATAGAACCCTTGGTTTGCTTACCCTCGGGAAACAAAATCTTGCTATAAATTTTCACTGATTCATGCCAAGAGATGCAGAGATGCAGATAATGTGGGGTATATAGTTATAGTAGTTAGTTGTGGTCGAATCGGGCAGAGTCCGCCAAACTTACCGGGATCCTTATAGCCCTCTTTGTGCTTGATCTCATCGTATACATGCTCCTCCTTCAGCGACTCGTTGTACACAATTGGATTGGTCAAATCCGCATTCAGGTTCTTGGTTAGGAGATCATGATTGTAGTTGATCGAATAGCTGCCCACTGCGGATTACGGATGAAAGAAACATCATACACTGAGATTCTATAAGCAGAGTTGGCAATTGCTTACCCCTGCCACTGGCATTGGAGTCATCGCCGCCGTAGTCCGTGCTCACGGTGCTCCGCTGGTCAAAGTTGTTCATTTTCCGCAGATTGTTGGGCAGGAGACGCGTCTCCGCCTGCATCCCGTACACTGGATTGTCAAAGTTGTGATTGCTGGGCGGCCAGCCGGTGGCGTTTGTTTCGTGCGTGTAGTGGACATGGGCAATCTCTGTCTTTAGGTTAGAAACCCTTCGGCGGTAGTAGAAGAAAACGGCAAAAAAGATGCAGGCAAAGAGGGTCATGAGGACTAAGGTCAAAGCCACGCTGGCTCGGCTCGCTGCAAATGCAAATGTCAAAAATAAGCATTTTAAGGTATCGCTATATGCATCCGAGAATACTCACAATCTTCGCCCTGATCGGCTACGCGCTGGGAAGCAATGAGGTCGTCACAATTGTCGCCCGTATAGCCACTCCGGCAGACACAGCCGTGGGCCGCATGACACTGGAAGTTGGCTGAGGGACAGGCGCAGGGATTCATGCAGTGCTCGCCGTAGAAGCCCTCCGGACAGACCTCGTCGCATCGGGTGCCCATCCAGCCCTTCTCGCATATGCACATGCCATCGTTCTTGCGACAAACCTTGTGGTGCAGACAGCGACACTGCTGGGCGCATCCCTGGCCGTACGTGTCCGTGGGACAAGGCTCTTTGCAATTGGCACCAGTCCAACCCGGCAAGCACTGGCACTGTCCAGTCACATGGTTGCACTCGCCGCCGTGATCGCAGTCGCACTTGAGCTTGCAGCCGGGTCCGTAGAGTCCAGCCGGACATGGATGTTCGCAGATCAGGCCTAAGTAGCCAGTGCGACAGAGGATTTCGCCGGTAATATGATCACAGCTTTTGTTGCCTGTAAAGTGGGAAGAACATTCAGTTGGTACAGCGATAATTTGTAAGCGATCTGTGATCTTACCATGAAGGATCTCTGGGCATCGCTCCTTGCACTCCATGCCATAGAATCCACTCGGACAGGGCTCGGCACAGTCGGCGCCCGTCCAGCCGGGCGAACAGATGCAGTTGCCAGAGTCGGGGTCGCAGGAGGAGTTGTTCAGGCATCTGCAAACTTTATCACAATTGTCACCATAGTAACCGCTTGGACAGTTGGTCTCGCAATGAACGCCTTGGGTTGTTTTCGGTCATCGTTCGGGGCATCAGACAAGGACAACAAAAAAAATACCAGAAACACAAAGGTGCAATACCAGAGAAAAGCAAATTAAAACTCGTAAAGAAACGAAACATAAGGCATGCGCGCAATGAGAAAGTAATGTAAGTAATGAGTGCGAGGGAGTAATGTTAGGATTTGGTCTGATAGTCGGGTTAGTTTTTTGGGATTTCTATAAGAGGTTTGTCCTATGCTGAGATTGATTCTAATCAAATTAAGTAGTAATCACATAATTGAAGAAGAAAATAAACTAACTTCGAGAACTTCATAGGTTCCAGTTTACAATCGATCATAACTTGGCCAAAATAGCATTAATTTCAATTCACAAAGCAGTTCTATTCTAGTTTTTATAAGGTTAACAAATCTGCTGTTGATGCTGATCAATAATAATAATATATATGGAATATAGGGTCAGGAATTACTCCTTAACTGCTTTGCAAGCTTCTATCAAATTCGATTACTTAAAAACAAAAAACTAATATAAAATACATTTCTACAAATAATCATGCAATAGAATTAATAAAGCATTAATCTGATCCTAACCTAACCCACATATTTCAATGATTCTTGTTTAGAAACGTTTACAGCCTAAGTACCTAACTGGGTCTGTGATATTCAAAGGGATTCGCGAATTGAATGGATTCTCATGTGTTTATGCGATGTCAATGGCATGTAGATAGATAGAAAATCCCGGTGGTAGTACCTCCCCAATCCTGCTTGCATACACAGCGTCCGTTGGTGGCATCGCAGGCCAGACTGTTGTTGAAGTCACACTGGCACTTTTGGCTGCATCCGTGTCCGAACCTGCCTTTCTCGCACTTCCGATCGCATCGTTCACCCATCCAGCCTGCGGCACAGGTGCAGGTTCCGTTCTGAGAATTGCAGGCGGCGTTGTTCTGGCAGTCGCAAACGCTTCGACAGTCCTGTCCAAAGTGGTTGAGGTCGCAGGGACGATCGCACTTGATGTTCTTCCAGCCGGCAGTGCACAGACACTGACCCGTCTCCGGCTCGCACTTGGCTCCATTCTGGCAGTCGCAGTGTAGGGCGCAGTCTTGTCCGAAGGTGCCCGGTGGACAATTCTCCTCGCAGGTGGCTCCCGTCCAGCCTGGCGCACAGAGGCACTTTCCGCTGATCGGCGAGCACTTGGCTCCGTTCTTGCAGTTGCAGGTCTGCTCGCAGTTGTTCCCGTAGCGCAAGAAGGTGCATGGCCTGGTGCACTGGGCACTGCTCCAGCCGATGCTGCAGTGGCACTTCCCCGTCTCTGGGTGGCACAGCTCCGTGTGCTCCATGTCACATTCGCAGGTGCTGTTGCAGTCCATGCCGTACTTGTCCTTTTCGCAGATTCGCTCCTCGCACTTGGCGCCCCGCCATCCAGGGTTGCAGATGCAGGATCCGTTGGCCCGATCACAGGTGGCGTCATTCATGCAGTTGCACGTCTGACTACAGTTGAATCCGTAAGTGTTCAGCGGGCACTCGTCGAAGCAGCGCTCGCCCAGGTATCCAGGAGGACACTCGCACTTGCCCGTTATGTGATGGCAGGGCGCTCCCTTGTAGCACTCGCAGGACTCCTCGCATCCTGGACCGTAGCTGCCCACGGGACACTTGTTGGCGCACACCTCGCCCGTCCAGCCGGGATTACACATGCAAGCGCCGCTCTCTGGCTGGCACTTTCCGTCGTTCTGGCAGGGACAGTCCTGCTGGCACTGGGCACCGTGCTTGCCATCCGGACAGCGCATGTCGCATCTATTTGGAGCGGAGGATTAGTACGGATTCGGTGGGAGAGGGGGGCATGGAACAACGCCACAGGGCAGCAAAGTTAATCGTAGATTGCTTGGGTAAATAAATTAATATATAATGTGGCATGCATAGTTTGCATTCTACGATTAATTTTGCCATGGCCCTTGGGGCGAAATGACATGTCTCCGAGGCAAGAGGCGGCTCCTCTACTCGCTCCTTTGGCCACTTACAGGGGACCCGTAAAGCCAGGCGCACACTGGCATTCGCCGGAAACGTGGTGGCACTTGCCACCATTCTCGCAGCGGCACTTCTCCGAACAGTTGGCCCCGAAGAAACCCTCCGGACAGAGCTCGGCACAGCGGACGCCGGCATAGCCCTTGGCGCACTCGCACTCGCCGGTGAAGGGCTCGCAGACCGCGTTGTTTAGGCAGTCGCACTGCATCGAGCAGTTCCGGCCGTACCAGCCCGGCGGGCAATCTGACGAAAGAGTAACACAACAAACTTGGTTAGCAGCGGTCACGGATCACATGGTGCGGGTTAGTTGCTGCTAGCTCTTGCTTTTCTTCGGCACTTGCATTTTGCATTTATAAGCCCAAGGACAATCCCAGGAGCGACTCCCAGGACTAGACGCTTTTGGTGAGAAGGGAAATAATGGCCGAAGCCTGCTTGCACCTGGAGAATGGAGCCGGGAGAGTGGACTGCTTGTGTGCGTGAGAGTGTTGAAGGTGTATGGTGTGTGTGTTTGTGTGTTTGGGTTTTGATATCGGATCAGAATGGCAACTCAAGAATAGGGGAAAACCAACTCAAGCTACAAAGCAAAACAACATATATATAGGGAGACATAGATAGACAGATCACAACTAAGCAGATACTACGTGCAGGTCCTTGGTAGTCCAAGGAATCAATGTCCTTGCAGAGGCCACTCTTAGGGTTTAACTTTCAATAACTTAACTTAAACGTATGACTCCTGATCACTTCCTAAATATTAAAAGACATATAGCTCAGCTAACACATTACTATATATACATATTTAACACTCAGATGTATTTGTTGTAGATGATTCTTGGTGGTTTAAGGTTGCAAAACCTAATTTTGAGGGAAGTTTTGTTTCCACATGAGGTTACCTTCGCAGTCTATGCTTTTGGAAGTACGAGTACCTATTACCCGGTCCGGGCTGGTAGACAAGCTGACGGAACTCATTCAGATCAAAGCTGTTGGCTTCGTAGGCGTGTTGAGTCTTAAACGTGGTCGATGACACATTTGTGTCTGATCTCGTTTCGATATGCACTGTTATTTTTTTAGTGGTGACACCCAAAGCCTCCCAAATGTCATAGTCGGACTCCTCCTCCTGAACCTCGGGTGGTACCTCAACAGGTACTTCGGGTTGCAACATGCACGGATACTGACGCAAGCACTCTTCGCGCCGATTCAGTTCGGATGCCACCTGATTCACAATCGGATGATGCTGCCTCTTTGCGTGCTCCAGCAAATCAACTGTCTCTGGAAATTGCTCGGTGTCCCGCACGAATCTATTTTCGAACTGATAGATGTTTCGCCTGATTATTATGTCGGCCTCCAACTCCAATTCCAAATCCAGATCGCAGGCACGGCAATCGAAGTGGATGATCTTGGTATTTGTGTTGAGGGCGCGGATCAGATGCCGTCCAAGAGTTACGCCCAGCGGCACGGCCACCATCCTCAGCTGGCGCAGCGGTTCGTGGTATCGAATTAAGTTGGAGATCTCGGTCGTGAAATACCTGGCATTCACCTCGATCCCGGAGACATCTAGCTCCTCGACGTGATCAGTGTCTTTCAGGTGACTGCACAGAACGGACAGGGCCTCGGCACCCAGCCTGTTGTTCGCGAGTCCCAGGTACTGCAGCCTGCCGGTGTTATGCCGCTGCAGTACTCCTCCGATGGCCAACATTGCCCGTATGTCCAGGCGGTTATACTCCAACTCCAATGAACTCAACATGCGTGGCCTATCCAGGAGAATGCCAAGAAGTCCGCCGCAGTCATCGAGCATCTGGGCGTAACCAAAGTCCACCACTTCCAGGGAGGGCATCGTTCGCAGCACCCGGCATAGGGGATAGAGCTTCAAATGGTTCAATCGACTGTTGCGCAGCCGGAAGATCTGCAGTTGATCCAGGAAAGACAGTCCGCGGGCCAAATGCACCATGTCCCTGACGGAGAACAACAAGTGCCGCTTGTGGTAGTTCCTGCCCATTTCGGCAGGGCCGAGGAACTCCAGGGTCAGTGAGACGAGATTGACAAAACGGCCCACAAAGCTCAGGTCGATGTGCCAGCAATCGTCCTCCGGATACTCGAACTTCTTGAGGTAGTTCAGGTAACGCTCCATGTTGCGTTTGTCCATCACCTTGTCCTCCCCATCCTCCGGCTCCGGTTCCACTCGGATGTCGAATGCGCCCGTGATCTTCTGCTTGCGGGGTCGCTTCCGACGCTGTCCCTCTGATGTATTTTTCGCTGAGGTGGTTTCCTGGTGCGCCTTATTCTCCGCCCTCTGGGCTTTCTTGTCTCGCAGCTGCTGTCGTTCGGCATTTCTTTCCTGTCGCGCTCGTCTCCGCTTGATTGTATCGTTGTCGTCGGCGAAGGCAATGGCGGTCACTTGTTTTACCGGAAAGAGGCCGAAGTATTCATCTTTCTCCTCTTCCTCTTCCTCGCCCTCCTCCTCTTCCAGGGTATCGGGCTCATCACTGGAGATTTCCATGCCATTGGAGGCATCGGAGCTAACAATGGGTTCCGAATCGTTATCGTTGAACCCCGCTTTCCGGAATCTGAGCTCAGTCACCGACTGCAGGTGTCGTATGTCCATGTTGCGCACGTCATCTCGAATCAGCAGTGCCAGTTTAGTCATCTCTTTTTCCGGCCAAAGAGTCGCCGGACAGGCTTCCACCAGCTCCACGTACTTGATGCTCAGTCCCTTGGCGCGCCAATCGTACTCGTTCAGTCCCTTCATCGCAAGACACTTGTCGCTGCACTTGGCAAGGACAACGCGCCGCCAAAAACTCATGTCCTCCACAAAATAGCACTCGCGCAGGGGCGAATCCACGTCGAGGGAGTCGTAGTATATGCGCATCTTAAGCGGATTCTCGAGCACGTCAGCTGCAATGTGGGCGGTGCCCCTCTTTGCCAGCTGGCGGACGCAGAGATCCGCTAAGGTGGGCACACTACTTGGCCCATTCAGCAGCTCGGCAAAGGTCTCACGGTTCCGTTCGCTGAGAAGAAGCCGGTTGGCGTCTAATGGTGATTTGTACAGCTCGTAGACAGCAATCAAGGTCGGATCGTTTGGTACACTCAAGGTGTTGGTGTTCCATGGCGGCAGATACCCATAGTCCTCCTCATCCATTGTGTGTTATGTGTGTTCTTGTAGTTAATAGTGGTGTGTGTGTGTGTGGATTTTTTTGTAAGATTTTAAATGTTTTTTGTTTTTGCTTTGGTTTTTATGGAGTTGTCATTTTATAATAGCCTGAATTTCGTGTTATTGCATAAAAGTGAATCTATCAATTATATTTTTTGCCCAACGCTGTTTCAGAGAATAAATTTCTTCTTTCTTTCATTTACGTTAACTTCTTTTAGAAAACAACAATAATACATGTTTTAGTTTCTAAAAAAATTGCCTTAGAGCAGTTTTCATAAGTGATCTGAAGGATGACTATATTAAACCCTAATTTAAGCAGCTCTGCAAGGACACTCTATAAGATAAAGCTTTTAGCAATTGGTTTAAGCTAATCGCAGACAGTCCGAGACAATCAATATGCGTACAATACTTATGCTAACTTATGTTCTCTGACAACCCCCCAGTACACCCAAGGCGGTTCATTGTACAGATTCCCGACAAAACACAAAGACAACATTTAGGCACAAACTACACAAGTAAGATAAAGGGTTAACGAACTTATATCACAGGCGGGTCCTCCATAGCCATGGTCGCACTTGCACTTCTCCGGTGCATAGCATCTACCGTGCTGACACGGCTCCGAGCAATGCGGAACGCATTCTCCGGCACTGGCAATGTAGCCATCTGAAAATAAGGTGAGGATCGAAATCAGTAATTGGGAAAAAGCTCTTCTGAAAGGTCATTCTCCACTCACCACAACAATCGCGCACAACTCGGTTCTTCATTATTGTCTGCGTCTTGTTCACCACTCGGTGTTTAATGCGATATGTGGAGCAGCGAGGCGGAATGGTCATGCACCAAGTGGAGCCCCGCTCCTGGTATGATTGCAGTTCAGTGTAGACTACTTCCACGGGATACCTAGGGGTAAGAGGGTATTATCATTAATTGAAACGCTATATATATGAAAAGAAGACTTGGACATACGTTTCCCGCCTTTTACAGATATTGGGTCCATCCAGATCCTTGAGATCCGCCTGAGCCAGGGCCAGCTGGGCCAAACAGGCGATGAGGATCAGCCGAAACATGATGGCAGTGATAGCAGTGTGTTCTCTCTAACTGATGCAGCTGCTCTGACTGGATCACATTGGACTGAGAGAAGCGACAGTCATCAGCCTTTCGTCCGAGATGACTCAAGCTGCGATTAACTCAGAGCTACAGTTGCATAAACAAAGGGAGAGAAACTTTGTGTTAGTTAGGTTCGTATTGGGATTATAGTATACAAATAATAATATTATATTATATATAACACGTATAAGCTTAAAAAAAAGGAATACAACTTCCAAGTCCGATCCAAGTGGGAGCTAATCTACTGCCATTTGTTATTCGTCTGAGTCCGTCAGTTCCTGAGTACAAATCAGTTCTAGTCTGAACGTTGATTATTTCGAAACACGTCCAGAAATCGGAAGCTGCTCAAAAAACAATCTGGGAATCGATATTCCGCAAAGAAGATGCATAGACAGCGTTCGCCTTTCACCGGCGGCACGGGAGGATTCGGCGCCACTCCGTTTAACTTCAATGCTCCACAGTTTGGCGAGGGTGCAGGTCAAGGGTTCAGCCACGTTACCGATGGCCTCAATGGAATGCCTTTCATGGGTCAGCCGACCATTAAACCGATGATGCGTTCCATTAGTCGCCAGCGTCAGTTGGCCGAAGACGGCAATGGTCTGGATTCCTTGCCGCCGATTATGCCCATTATGGCCCAGCGCCTCCTCAGCAGCAGCGGCGGTGTTGTGGGACGTGGTCAGGCCGGTAAAGCGCCCTTCGTCCCCACAGCGTTTGCTCCCTACGAGGGTGATACACACTTGCTGAAGGATTCACCCAAGCCAGGGTGCAAGTACATGCCGGACCAGAGTGTGGAGTCACAGAATCTGCTTCAGTCACTTCGCTCAGAGGGACAAACAGCCGCCAAGGATACCGATTCCGAAAGTGATCAATGCATGCAGGGCGCAGACCTAGCACCCGAATCCCGCTGGCACCGCATCCTTGATTGCGTGTTGGAAACTGTACCGGAGCAGCGGCGTCGTCGTTGGAAGGCTTCGCTCATCCGCTACAGCCAGAGCGCCATCGCCAGGCACATGCTGATCGTGCTGCAGATGCTCGTCCTGCTGGCTCGTAGCGCACTCGTCCTGGCCGCGCCTATAGGAAAAGCCATGGGTCACTGGCGCTTTGGGATTTGGCGCACCAAGTTCCAGCTGCGCAGCACAATGCGCCAGATGCTGTGGCGCATGGCCAATGCGAAGGCTAACGACACCGTGGTCTTTCTCATCGTGGTGCTGGCCACGCCCTGGCTCTTCCTCGTCAGCCTGGTCGGCTTTTCCTTTTCACTTGCCTTCTCCTTAAAAAAGGGACTAACGGAGGGTGTGCGTCAGATGCGCGTGCGACTGGCCTAGGGACCAGGTCAATCACGGGGGGAGGAGGAGGAGGTACCTCAAGGACCATCCATAATGAACCCCAATAACACAACCGTACTTGAGCAACGGCTTTCCTGGAGACAAAACAACCTGAACATCATATATACTTAGTGTTGCAGCAACGACACAAACACAGGAAGAGCAAGGACACTTCATTTTACTTAGCAAGACGTGATATCAACCAAGGAAGACTGTTCTTTGAGACTCCTTTTAATGCTATAGAAAAATGCTGAATAAATTTCCAGTTTTTATCTCACAGAAAAGAAAACTACATTTCAATTCGATTTAAATGAAAGTCTTGATAGCAGTGGGACTTCGATAAGATTATTATACATTTTTGATATACGTATACGATTTGGAATTCGATAATGTGAAGGACTCTGCCGCCAAGAAAGTTCTCAATTAGAATACAAGACTAAGCCTGTAAAAGAATTGCCTTTTGCAATGGATCTTAAATACATCCAACGAGTCACTTTAATGCTTTAATTAATTACATTCAATTTATTCAATCATACTTTATTTTTAAGACAGAATATGGAATCTGTTGAAATGTGTTAAGTATATTGCCTTTGCACACGATCAGAAAGCTTTAAATATATTGATTTGTTTACAATCCATTTGGCCACTGGCTCATCATCACTCAGCAGTTGCAATTATTATTTTTTGTTGTGTATTTTTTGTGCAATTTGTTCTGAATGATAAATAAGCAGCATAAAAACAAAAACATTTCCGCTGGGGTCCATCACCATCACACCAGCGAGAGATTGTGGGCCTTTGTTGGTCATTCTCATCGTTCTCATTTCACTTTCAATTGCATCCCGCCAGCCAAGAGCCCCTATTTTTTGCAACAATTTTATAGTATAGTATATATCACATGATTCACTCACTAACCGCCACCGCATATGGATTTTATCCAGCAAATGAAAGCAATTCGGTGGCCATACAGTGTTTTCCCAAGGGAACCTTCTCCAGTTTTGATCCAGTGCCCTAGGGCATATTGCAAATACTTTCTGGAGTGGTTCGTATTTCAACCAAAGTGTCAAAGTAATGCAATATTAGAAAGAATTGGGGTCAAGTCTACGTGGGAACTGGGCCAAGTAGTGTTCGATCGCGATCGGTGGCTACAGTTACCTTTGATGACCCATTAGGAAACGAAATATTGCATAAATACTTAACGGAGAAAGGTGAGCTTTGCAGTGCCATAACAAAGGGTTTTCAGGAAATGATGATCCACCTTTAATAGTAACCATTACATCCACTTAGCCGTAACAAAGCGAAACACAAAAGAAAGCTGTTTCCTTCGCCATTGGTCATTAGGAACTGACGTGAAGCATGGCCCAGCTATGTATGTTCAGTTGGAAAATACCCGCAATTAGAGCTGGAATTGTCGTGATCCACAATCGGTATTTATACGGCAAAAGCTAATTAATGGTTCACTTTTAATGGCTTATCCAGCGTGAAATCTGATTCACTCAATAGCAGTACGGCATGTGCTCCTCCTCCTACTCCACCTACTCTGATCCAGCTCTAAAATGGCAGAACAAATGTGGTCATTGTCAAGGTTGTCATTAGCCAGAAATCGCGTGATGAGCGGCAGGTCAGTAAAAGTAATCAAATGTTTCCACAAAGGAAAGGCCTTGAGGGAAAAGCCATTACAAAATTTGAACATTAAACAACTTTTTCATTCAATTTGCTAACCCAGCTGTGGTTTAATTAAGGAGTGAATAATTTAGAATCATAATTTTAAAGAGATTTTTAATCAACAAGCCACGACTGATCATGTTCATCTTAATATGAAATATTCACATTCCAAGCTGCGATAAACTCATATATATTACAGATAACATGTAGATATCCCAAAAAAAATAAGTGATAAAGCAGACTTGTAAAACAGCTTCGTTAATACATTATAAAAATATATGTAGACAGCTCAGCGATAACTAACGACAACCTCCTCTTGAGTTGGCTTAAAGATTACGAAAGATAACGGCGCAGCGATAAGAACAGAACCTCTCTCGACCCGATTGGGTTCACTGAAATTGGTTTAGTTTTAGGTGAGTAATACTATAAATTCACCCAGTAAACAAACGAATCGGTTGTCCGGAATATGCGTAATCCGGTCAGGGACATTGGACTAATAGAATAATTCCAAAATAAATTAAATCTATGTACAATAGACAACGAAAAGTGTGCGAAACAAATAGACTTAATTTAATTTGGTTTTGGGTTCAGAGAGAAAGAATGAGCGAAGAACTTATTATCATATTTATTTACACTCATGATTTTGAATTCTGAAAGATATTTTTTACTGATAACTAGGCTTCCGAATTTTATATAATCGGATTATTTAAAGTCTTTTATAACTACTAAACCAACCAGATGCTATGAACTTTGTAGACCCCAATCCGCACTTTATATTAACACATCGCCATTTATTTTCATTTTGCCACTTAAGGGGGCATGTGCAACTTTTATTTTGCCTTCCGCATAAATTGTATTAAAATGCGAAAAGCGCTCATATTATGTGCATTTCCACGAGAAAACGAGTTTGTGTTCGCAATTTACTTATTTGTTTACATTGCTTATTGCTGTTTTAATGAGCTAAATAGAAATGTCGTGAATGAGTCACGTTAAACGATGCTAGACTATAGACTATAGACTATATATTCTGAGTCGAATAATGGAAAAGTGTGCGTGATTTGTTCAATGGAAAACGTGTTCGGCACAGTTAATAGTATAGTTTATCGAATCCGTTCACCCATTCATGATCAGAATCTGGTTTGGCTGATTCATACCAATTTCATTCACAAATATTTGGATAAGGTTCGCCTGAGATGTACGATGTTAACCCCTGAAATCGGAGGCTTGGTGTATGAGTATGCCCTTTCCCAACAGAACCGTGATTGCGGCACTCCTTACTATATCTCATATGTTTGTTTACTTGCATTCGCCAGGGAATATCTTTTCCTTATCGGTGGACACAGACGTTACAGAAATAACAGTGATTGATTGGACAGTAATATATAGAAAATATATTATCAATTTCTCGATAACTATAAAATTTTTAACACCTGAACATATGGCACTCTATATCCTCTGACCGTCTGTCTACGTGTGATTGTGCCTTTTTAAGTGCTTGTACTATATTTTTTATGACTAATAGCACGAAGACCCCGCATGAAATACACTTGAGTTCTGGTGAAGGAAAATCCAGGAAATTACTCTCAAGTGGATAGAATACACTTGTAGACAGCAGAGAAAGCTTTCTTGTTTGGCATTATAAAAGGGAATCATATTTTTCAGATGATAGTCTTTGTAAGAGATACCCATTTAAAAAAATACTAAATACTAAAATTCTTTTTATAGTTCTGGGAATTTCCTTTGCTTATATTATTTTACAAAAGTTCATACCATCAGACTTGATATCATTTTATAATGTAAACCTCCATATACGCAGAAACATATATAAGATCTGGCGCACTGCTGTGTATCTTGCGAGGAAGGAGGAAAGCGGAACCAAGATATATAAGTACATACTTATTTATTCCCCTATACTGCGCACTTGATTAAAACTAAACAAAGGCTCTAGTGGAACGACAAAACTGTATACTTCTTATACATATGCATGTAAGAGGGGCCCCTACTTGAGCCAGACTTTGGATAGCGAAATCAAATAGCGAATAAGCAAAAGATCTCCAATAACCGAAACGCAAATGTTTCACATCCAGTTGGCAATTTAACGCCAGGGCGTGCTGATAAAATACATTTGAAATAAACAAATACAAAAACAATAAATAAACTAAATTCAAAACAAATGTGATTGGAATGAAAGGCAAATGTTCTGGCCGGGGAACGTGAGACCAGGCTGTTATAACTGAAGTAATTTCGCTTCGTTCGGTCTAAGGAATTCTCTGGTTCCACAGTTTTCAAGGGTTTGTTTTACGGCTTTGACTTTGACTTGGGTCCAATGCCTTGGATTATGCCGAGTCAATTAAATCTGTCGTTGAACAGCTTAATGGACGCATAAAGAGCACAAAACTTTTAGAATTATTAAAATGATTACACAGTGATGACAGTTAAACATCCACTTTGAATCCAAGTGGGCAAACGTGCAAAACCTGTGACAAATAAGTATATGTATTATATGCGAATAAATTGGGAGACACGTCACCCGTAGAGACAGTAATTTTAGCTGTTTAGGCGTTTTTGTATTCATTTCACAGGTGTAACCAACACCTACATACATCAACTTTTGTGTATTGGTCAATTAGCAGGTGAAGCTCCGATTTCTAGCCCGAATTTGGATGAAGCTAGAGAAGCTTGCTAGAGAAATTCGGAGAACACAGTCTGTATATTCAGCTGAAAGCCAAGAGAACATGAATATATGTATGTGGGATTGTTGGGGCAATGGAACCCACACCCCACACCTTATAAGGCAGACAGGCAGACAGCCAAGAATGTTTGCATAATCACAGCAACTGAAACTGCACTTGCAACAATACGGGGAAAGCATGGGGACAGCAAATGTTGGATAATGCAACCCCGGAGAAAATATAGAAAATTCAGAGTGATGGGTGGGGAATCATAATGAGAAACTGAGAGCAGACAACGGAGACGAGTACATAGAACTGGCTGCTGGATTTTCCCTTGCCTCCGTCTCTCACGTAATGGATATTTAGTCCAGGAAACTGTTGCACTCACTCACTCAAGGTTTTCACATCATACTCCTCTTTGACAGCCACTCCCTGGACCTCAACTCCTCCCAGAATTATCAATAAAGCTGAGTAATTATGGTGACAACAGAGTGGAGGCTCCATAAAAGGAATCCGAACAGACTTATACACATGTAGAGACGAGAAAGAGAAGCACACCTCTTACTTCCGTCTCAGCGTTTTATTTCTAGCAATGCCTCGTCTGGATTTTAACGCTGTGCACTGCACTTTCAAGCTCGAGTCCTAAGCCGGCGTCACCAGCCGCTGTTCATCGGATCACGTACAATAATAATGATCAAAAGCCCCATTGTCAATGTCGGAATTATCCAGCATAACGTGGCACGATTTAAAGCGGTTTATCGAATATACTTATACTTAAAATTAAGAAATGATACAGAACAAACATAAATGTTTCTAATTTGTAAAAGTATTTTCACTAAGACACTTTTTGTGGAATTTCCCTATTTATAAAGTTAAGGAATTTGAGGAGAGCCAATAACTGATATCACAATCAGCAAATATAAACAAACTCACACATTTATTAATGTTATATACAAAGAGTACTCAAAGACATACGATTCCATTCAGGCGCAGTACTGGTCGCCGATTTCTCACTTAGAGACTATAGTGAGGAATACTGTAGGAAACGGAAAAGATAATATAGACTGGGAAAAATAAAGATATACGCGGGGGACTCGCAATTCTCAAGGGAAAGCAAGAATTATGAATTAACACAGTTGTTCTTGAATAAATTGAACTATTATTAACCATAGAAGTTTTTGCCATAAATAAGAAACAGAAATCTGAGGTACTGAATATATAAATCCCTTTGGAAAACCCCTCTTTAACATATTTAAAGCAGGAATCATTTCTTAAAGTAAGTTTTCTGTGATTTTTCCCACACAGTTTGTTTCCTGGCTGGTAAAAACCAACACCCCTGGCTAGGTAGCTAAAATTTTAACTGCTTTTGAGGTAAAAGAAGTTGAAAATAAATGTATACAATCTCGATGATTTAAAAAGTTTCAGAACTTTTAAAAGTTTCAACAATTCAGTGTTAGAATTTTACATTCTAAGGGAGTAAGACTTTAGTTCATTCTGCACTTCATCTGGAAAGCAAATGCTAGTCCCGTATTTATTAGTGTATTTATACACACATACATACATATGTATGCAGGCAATGTTTTTGATTTGATTTTCCATGTGATTCTGTTCATTATTGTTGTTGTTGCTGCTTCCCTGCCGCAGCTGGAAGCTTCCGCAGAGTCTGGAAACTGGAAATAAATGCTGGTGATGCGAGCTAACGGAACGGGGAGAGGTGAGGCGATTGAAAGAGAATTTCGTCAATTTGCAGCGATTGCTCAAGAGAAAAGCAATGCCAATAAAGATACAAAGAAGATTGCACGAAACCAAAAGCCAAAGAAAGGCCATAAAAGTGTGCGAAAGAGAAACCAGAACAGGTTTAACTGTTCTCGGTGTGTGAGAGGAGCGCAATAAAAACAACACTAATTAACACGCACACAGAGATGCAAACGAGCCATAAGCAAAACAGGCGAGGAGAGAGGGACTACAACGAGGCGACAAAACTAACTGGAACTTTCCTTTTAATGCAGCGATGTGCACAGCATTTAAGAAATAAACTTATTTTTAAACACAAAGGTAACGCGGACTACATTAATTTTCACGAAATACCCGCATTTAAGGCCAAACTCACCAGAAAACTGGTTACGGTTTTCCCTCAAAACAAACGCCGAAGAATGCACTCAAAAGTAGCTCAATTGCGGCATTCCACTCAATTTACACGTTTCCAAATTTTTGTGGTCATATATTTTCGTGGCAATTTTTATATTTTTAAATGCTTACAACACCGCGCAGATATAAAATTGATGTTGTTTTATCTTTGTATTGTTTGCTTGGCTTTCTCAACACCCAGAAACTCGTTTTCCTTTCGTTTTGCGAAGCACTTTATTTTGGCACACAAAATTCGCCGTTATGCTTATTTTACAAATAATATGCGAACGAGTGTTAATAATACACGATTTACGTCGACACAGTTAAATTATTTAACGTGTAACCCAGCCCTACACTAACCAGAACAACAACACCGACATCGACAGCGACGCACAACGCAGTTCTTTAACTCGCAATGCACTTCAATTATTTCGCTCAATTGGAGCTTGTTTCGTATTTGCGCTGGCTGGGCAACTTCTATTTACTTTATTCGCGAACGCACACAGCCACACGCCTGCACAGATCACCGATTTATTTAATTAATTTAGAGCCGACGCGAAACGCGAACCGTCATTTTTACTTTTCATCGCCAGACTGACCAGATTCCACAAACTTCAAAAATACCAATACTGCGTCTTTGGATGGAAACGGATTTCAAAAAATACTAATACTCCGTCTTTGGATTCTTATCTACACAGAAGCCGGTCACACTTAAATAAACTAATAATCACTCTGCAGTGTGACCAAAAGTTTTTAGTCTGCAAATTTCAAATATATTTGTAACGACAAAAACAAAGTTTTGTTTAATTTTAAGATCAATTTTGTATAAGCAATTAATTTTTTGCTTATATGAGAACTTTAATTTTTAAGTAAACATCTACAGATGTTTTAATTTCAGACTTCCACCGTCATATTAATTAAGAGAAGTGTCTAACTACCAAGCTTCATCACTCACCTGTCTGGAGCTGGTACTCCGCAGGAATAGCACTCCACCCGCTCTCCAATTGTATCCTCCGGCTCGTACCTGGCGAATATGCTTGCCGCCAGCTCCTCGAACCGCTGCAGAGTGGTCTCCACCAGGTGAGAAAGTTGCTCAAGCCTCATGAAAGCTTTGGAGCAAGTGCCAAAGGCCTGATCCGCACAACTGTCCAGAGCCAAACGGTTGTAGATGTGCTCCGGTGGGAGGACGTCCTCGTAGTCCCGCAGCCTGACCGCTATGATCACCGCACTGTGAATTATTCCGAAACGCAGTTGCCGCTGTGCGAGGAGCATAAAGTGATTCGATGGCAGTTGCATCAGCATGGTGTTCCCGCCGCTGGCGTAGTCGATCTCCGGTGTGGCCGGTTTGAGGTCTTCCTCGGCCAAAAGAGCGGCCAGTACGTACAGTTACTTGATCCTCAGCAGTGGGGCCCGCTTCTCCTGCTCCCGCTCGGCCGCTTGAGGAAGCAGACGAGCCGCATCCAAGTGGCGTCCGGCATTCCGCTGCATCTGAAGCCGCTGCGCTGCATGCTTAGCTATCAGCGCCTGTATTTGCGGTAGCTGAAATCTCTGCGCCAGCTCCAGGGCCTCACCCCACTGTCGGGGATTGACGCAGGTGGAAATGGCGGCTTTCTGATTCCTGAACGCAGGTGGGCCTACCACATTTAAATTATTTAACGTGTAACCCAGCCCTACACTGACAATAACAACAACATCGACAGCGCCGCACAACGAAATTCTTTAGCTAGCATTGCACTTCAATTATTTGGCTCAAATGGAGCCTGTTTCGTATTTGCGCTGGTTGGGCAACTTCTATTTACTTTATTCGCGAACGCACACAGCCACACGCCTGCGCAGATTACCGATTTATTTAATTAATTTAGAGCCGACGCGAAACGCGAACCGACATTTTTACTTTTCATCGCCAGACTGACCGAATTCCACAAACTTTAAAAATACCAATACTGCGTCTTAAGATGGAAAGGGATTTCAAAAATACTAAAACTGCGTCTTTAGATGGAAAGGGATTTTGATCTACACAGAAGCCGGTCACACTTAAATAAACTACAAATCACTGCAGTGTGACAAGCGTTTTTTGTTAGTCCGCCAATTTCAAATACATTTGTAACGACTATAACAATGTTTTGTTTACATTTTAAGATCAAGTTTGTTTAAGCAATTAATGCTTTAGTTATATGAGAAGAAAGATGTCTTAATTTCAGATTTCCACCGTCATGGACACAATTAAACTGTGGCACAGCGGACAGGTGCGATGCCTCGATATCTCTGTGGGAGCGGCACAGTGGTGGCACGTAGTGCAGATCCATATATTATTCGTGGGCTGAGTTATTGGTTTTCCTGAGGAAATGCAAGCTGGAAATCGGGCTCCACACTCTGGGCAGGCGGGCGAGCTAAAAATTTGAGTATATTTTAGTTAAGAGGAGTATTTAACCACCAAGCTCCATCACTCACCTGTCTGGAACTGGCACTCCGCAGGAATAGCACTCCACCCGCTCTCCAATTGTATCCTCCGGCTCATACTTGGCGAATATGCCTGCCGCCAGCTCCTCGTACCGCTGCAGAGTGGTCTCTGGCAGGTGAGAAAGTTGCTCAAGCCTCATGAAAGCTTTGGAGCAAGTGCCAAAGGCCCGATCCGCACAACTGGCCAGAGCCAACAGGCTGTATATGTGCTCCGGTGGGAGGACGTCCTCGTAGTCCCGCAGCCTGACCGCTGTGATCACCGCACTGTGAATTATTCCGAAACGCAGTTGCCGCTGGGCGAGGAGCATAAAGTGGTAGGCCTCGGAGCAGTGCCACAACCGTTCGATGGCAGCTGCATCTTCCAGAGCAATGGAATCCAGCAGGGTGTTTCGGCCGCTGGCGTAGTCAATCTCCGGTGTGGCCACGGCTTTGAGGTGTTCCTCGGCTAGAAGAGCGGCCAGAACGTACAGTTTCTTGATCCTCAGCAGTGGGGCCCGCTTCTCCTGCTCCCGCTCGGCCATTTGAGAGAGCAGACGAGCCGCATCCAAGTGGCGTCCGGCATTCCGCTGCATCTCGATGGCTTCTTTGAGTCGTCCTTCCAAAAGCAGCTGCGCTGCATGTTTAGCTATCAGCGTCTGTACTTGCGGCAGCTGAAATCTCTGCGCCAGCTCCACGGCCTCACCCCACTGTCTGAGATTGACGCAAGTGGAAACGGCGGCTTTCTGATCCCCGAAACGCAGATGGGCCTGTACTGCCTCCGAGCACATGCCTACGGAGGCCAGCATCTCAGCCAGCTTTGGCAACAGCGGACTCTTTTCCGGCAGCCGCTCCACACACTTCTCCAGCTCGTCAAACTGCTCTAGATGATAGAGAGACTCCATGTAGCCCTCCAGGTAGTGAGATTTCTCGTAGTACTCTCTGGCACTCTCCCAAGAACGCAAATTGGCGAAGTGGTGTCCAATCTCCCGCCAGGCGGTCTCCATCTGCTGGTCGGACACACCGGAACCACCCATTCGGTAGAGCTGGACGACGCGAAACCAATCGCATAGGGTCATGCGTAGCTCGATGGCCAGATCCCGACGGTCTGCATCCAGATAGAGCTTCTCCGCCTCCTCGAACTCTCCGTAAAAGGCGGAGATCTCCGCCCGCTGCAGCTCCTGAGAATGGATAGTACGCAGCCTCTTGACCAACTTGATTCCCGGATAGTGGGCACACCGAACGAAGGCGTTCTCAGCCGTCTCCAGTTCCAGTTTCTTCAGAGCCGACTCAGCCAGCAAGCGCCAGAGCCTCGGGTGGGGATTGTCCTCAATAAACTGCTTGGCATCCTCCAAACCAACATGCTCCAGAAGATCATCTGTATCCCGCAGGGACTTCACCCTCAGCTGTATAAGATGCGAGGAGTTTTGCAGTTCACCCACACTGATAATGTCGTCAAGCAGTACACTGGTGATCTCCAGATCCTCAAAAGTGCAGATATAGCCGGAACAGGAGACGGGCTCCTCGGGATCATTGCCCCGAAAGATGTACATACGCGTCTTCTCCATGAGAGCTAAGAGAAGCGGATTATCCTTGGCCCAGCTGACAGCCCAGACATCCTTGCGCTCCACGCGACTGAAGTTTAGTTGAGTCTCCCGGTTGTCATCCAGGTCGAGCAGGGTCATCACGCCCATATGGTCGATAATGGCAGCGCGTCTGTTGATGTAGAAATTATACATTTAAGAAGAGAGGAACCCTATTCCCTATTCACACTCACGTGGAATTGCAGTTTATGGCCATCTTGTAGACCTTGGAGTTCATCAGATGACGGTTTCTCAGCGCCACATTGGCGATGCTATACTCGTTGATAGCTCCCGACTCTCTGGCCACTAGCAGCAGCTTCTCGGAGAGAGCCAAAGCGCAAATGGGATCGCTGATTCCGCGCTGCGTGGAGTGACCATCACCACTGCTGCTGTTCAGCATCAGATCCTTGGCCATCTCTACGCCTGTGGGAGTGTCATCAATGTGGAAGCGCTTTTCCTTGCGCGTCTTCACATTATGCAGACTAGAGGCACTCTGAGGGACAAAGATTCTATAAGTTTAAAGGTGATTTATGTCTCGAAGTACATACCTTGGGCGTGTGGTAATGCCAGATGAGGATCTCCTCCTGGGAAGCTATGGCCACATAGCTGGAGTTGATGCCCACAAAGCAGGGTCTAATATCCGTGTACTTGGCTGAGATATGAAACTATAATCAGAGCTGCAATAAAACTGGTTTCCTACTCACAATCCACAGTGGTTCCAATGGAGTTGCAGAGCAGTAACTGATAAACCCTGTCATCTGCCGGATTACTGCGATTCTCCAAGGTACTCAGGGCAATCTCCTTGATGTTGCTGCTCACACACTCCACGCCCAGGACGCAGTGCTCACTGCTGGAGGCCAAGCATAGAGTGGGCTCTACCTCCTTGAGGAAACTCTGATTGGAGACTGTGTTCCAAAAGGTGATCACGCACATGGGTGAGTCCCGGGAGGCACTGCCGCTATTCAGGAACACTACGGTCTTCTCAAAATAGCACCAAATGTAATCCGGACGGATGTTGGCAAAGTAGATGAAGGAGTCCACGGCCATGGCGATGCGTAGGGACTTGCCCTCCCAGCTGAGAGAAGTGATGACGCTGCCTGGGACCTTCAGGGTACGCATTATCTTGCCCAGCGGCGAGTAGAAACACACCTGATTGGAGTCACGCTGCGATGGAGGTGTCACAGTGTCTATTGTGGTGCCACAAATAGCCAGCACAGTGCCGTCATGGTTCCACTTGGCATCCACGTTGCGCATGCCAGTATCGAAGATGGCAGGAGCTTCAAGGAAGAAGAACAATGGGTAACTGATGTAGGTAACTTGCTACATTTAATACTTACCATCATCATTCTCATTCCTCATGATCTGCACCCTTCCGTTCTCATAGCAGATGGCCAGAACAGGTCGCTTGCGGCTCTGGGAGACCCTGCCGCTGAACCAGCAGATGCTGGCTATCCGATGTCCCCTGGAGGAGGAGCCAGTGATGCTCACGCACTGAATATGCAGCTTCATCTGCGGGAGAATTAATTAAAATTATTTGGAAGGCACAAGGAAGAGAATCCAAACCGCAAAGTTTCCCTGGTTATCGTACAGATGACACTCCCCATTGGCCAGGGCGAACAGGATGAGCCGGTTATCCGGACTCCACTGCACACCAGTAAGATGTGTCCCCTTAAGCTCCTTGCCAAAGATCCGGTTGCCATCCACAGAGCCCACTATGATGGCTCCATCCTCGTAAACGATGCAGATCCGTGAACCATCCGAGGTCCAGCTCATGCTGGCCACTGTGGATTTTTTCCTGTCATTGGTCATCTCCTCATACCAGGATCCCTTGTACAGCATCCACACCATAATCACGCCGTCCGTGTCCGAGGAGGTCAGCTTCTGCTGGGTATCGTTCCAGGTGACCACCTTCACTGACTCCTTGTGGCCATCCAGGGTTTGGTTCATGGATAGATTGGAGACGGCAGCCAGGCCACCTTTACTCTGCCCATTGGAGGCGGCTGGAAGTGAATGAAGATAATAAGTCTCAGGTGTACCGGGGCTTGTGATTTATTATGTCAATTAAATAATTAATAAGATAATGAAAATATTACCTATTCGCTTGTCATTTACTGATTTCATGGTTATATATAGGGTTAAGATAGAGTTTATGCCCAAAACAGTAGCTCTTAGAATTAAGAGAACGTACTTCTCTAAAGCTTACTTATATGTACCTTTACTTACCCTGATCCAATTTCAAGACTTTGAGCAATCCATCGGTACCGGCCACAGCGATGTAGCCCTCTTCCTTGTTCCAGGCAATGCAGTTAAGCTTGACATTGTTGGGTATCGCTATCTGTAGATACAGAAATCTCCTTTGATGTAGACTAGTTTAAGGTGCAAGGGAACACACTCACCTTTTTGCTGAGGTAAACAAACATCTTTGAACCGCAAAATTAACTTGATTTTCTGTTCCCTTGAGTTTTCTGCATTTGCTGTGGCAACAAAGCTAATTGGTCTCCATGGTAATACGATTTATTATGGCCACGCACTGCCCAGCTGGCCAAGCGGGTTCTGCCTGCATTTTCAGAAGCCAGTTTTCCGATTTAATTGGTGGTAAATATTAGAGAGCGACCTGTTGCCACCCTTGGCTATCGAAGCACCTGATTTGTCATCGATCGGGCGGATCTTTTGAAATTTCGATAACGATATATTTATTTTAAGACTTCTGTTTAGTCTTTAATTATAATTAAGTTCTTAAGGTAATCTAGTTCAAACAAAAGAACTTCCTTTATCCGTAAAATCACATAAAGTTTCCAAAACGTTTAGCTCTCAACCCTTTTAAATTAAAAACCTCAATTACTGTCAAACGGAACCCGATAAGAAGCTTGCCTAATCAACTTTCTAACATGGCATTGTATAAAGAAATCAGTTAAGCACAAAGTAAGGTCTGCGTTAAATATATTAACGTTCAAAGCATGACACATAATCGATTAGGCCAAAGTCAAGATTAAATTGTTTACATTAAATAGGAAAGTCAAATAGGCTTATCAGCAAGGTAACACTAAAGGTAATAAAATAAGTACTACAAATCGATATTTAGTCTCTAGGAAAAATTCATTTTACAAAAATGTATAAAATAGTACTTTTTCGAAATAAATTCGAAAATAAATTCAGTAAAAATCACAGGACTCAGGAACAGCGATACCCTCAGGCTAATCGAATCCCCCTTTTCAGCAACTCGTGGACCAATTTGGTGGCTAGAAACATATAGACGAGCAGGATGACCACCGATTCCAGGCCGGAGCGATCCTCTGGCTTCAGGAATATGTTTACTCCACCGGTCAAGAGATTGGCTACCAAAAAGAAAGTCAATCCATTTTGGTTCAGGGCCTGACTGATGGTGAAGGGTACGATGGGCTTAATCCTTCCTTTAGCTTCCGTTTCATCGGTCAGCAGACCCCTTTCCTGCTCATCCACCTCTGACTCATTGGGAACCCAAGGCATCACGCTGTTGATCACAAAATCAATGGCTCCAAAACTGGTCAACAAGGTACTGGCACCAATGGCCATCATCCACATTACATAGCCGAAGTTACAGGTCACCCTCGAGATCCCTATGCCGTAGGCACTCAGTCCAAACAAATTCCAAAGGATCAGGGCGATGAAAAATAGTCTCCTGAGCTTCTTTACCATCTCTGAGTAACTTAATTGGCTGATGGCCACCATCCAACGATTCACATAAATGGATAGAAGGTATAGTGCCACGAAACCTGGCAATGAGACGAGACCCTCACGATTCGCGTTGAATAAATTCGAGCGGGACACTTCGTCGTCCATCACATAGTCGGAGATGCCCAAGACACTGAGACCGAACTGGTGAAGCAGCAAGAGACCTGGAAAGAGGGTTTAAGAGTCGCTTTACTTGGAAAATATATATAGGTAAAAGAAACACTAAGACACCAAAGATTCACTCACCAAATCCCAGCGGCAGCAGATGCAGATCCCTTCGAGCCAAAATGCTGACCAACGCACCCAACAGCTTGGTGAAGCCCAGCGTGAAAAAGGCATTCAAGTGCTGGCCATATTCGTGCTCATCCTGACCATATCCCACCACCAGGATGGCCACCGTACGTGCCAGTCCCAGCAGGATCAAGGGCAGGGCGGAATATACCACGCTTCTCTGCAAATCAGAGAAATGTCTTGTTCTCCGCGAGACACTCCCCATAGTGAAGACAAAGAGTCCGATCCCAACGTCCATTAGCTTGGCTCCGAACTGCCGGCTCTTCCGGTAGGGCCTGTAGAAGCTCTCAAAGTCAACGGCCAAAATGCAAATGGCGGTGAGCAGGTGCGTGACGGAACGGAGCACAGACAGGGCAATGGGACGATTGCCCAGATCGAACTTCTGGCGGCTACGAGCTCGCTCCATGAAGTTGCTGTTTAACAGGAACCAGAGTGTCACCAGCAACATCAGTACTCCCACATAGTAACTATAGTCCACGGCCACCGTTACCAAGAGAATGCAGGGTAGGATGATCAGAGCAAACTCCACGCCATAGCAGCGATTGGGTGAGCTATACAGTCCCAATTTGTGGGTCACCAGTCGCGCCATAAAAATGCACCAAAAGGTGGCCATGATCAGCAGCATGGTCTCCCAGCTCTGGAACACCGTCTCCGTCCAGGACCACTCGTACACCGGAACATGCTCCGCGATCACCTCCTCCAGAGTCCGATTGATCCGAAATGGATATGGAATAAAAGAAGTATTGGGATTCGGGCCCGGAACCAGGTCCGCTGCCGCTCGACTGCCCATGACGACTACGGGGATACTCGATTGGACTACCAAAGGCGCTGATAACTAGCACTTAATCTGGCCGCTGATAGTCGCCGCTTATCGAAGTGCGATAGATAGGCATGGCCCCATAGTCAAAATGGGCCAAAATGGGTCGAAATGGGGTGCCGGCTTCAGTGTAACAAAACCAAACTCGGAACACAAAATTTGTTAAACTTCAAACATTAGAACAGATAGCAAATGAAGTATTTCGCAAGCATGTCGAACCAGAACATCCGCGCAAAGCCAAGTGCTGATAGGAAATCAGCAGAGAAACTTGAACTTCAAATTTAAATATTTGTTGTTTTCTTTTCTTTCGGTGCACTTATGCCGCTCCCAAAGCCTTATCTATGCTTTTGCTGAATAGCTATTTGATATATCCCCATAAAGTCGAACTGCTACCGTCCGATACGGAGCTAACGAGCAAACTAAAATATACATTAGCTGGCGATTGGCTTAGACCTTTAACAGGAAACTAAAACTAGAATTCAAGATACAGTATAATTTCTTCATAATGTTTCCTTAATAAAAACCCTTTCATCATCGTTTGCTCGGTACTGGGACTATGTATACAGAAAGCATGAATCATTTGATAAGAAAGATTGCTTGGACGAGAGTATGCTAATGTTGCCTAAGAATATTTAAAATTCTACATCATTTTAATTTGATAATCTATTTTATCCAATAGTACTATACTTTCAAATGGCTTTTTTGCATTCAAAAGAAAACTCAATTAACAAATTCATACTTAAATTAACCGCTCAAAGGTCATATATCGATAGCACAATATCGATTTCTCTAAAGCCGCCAGTCTGGCCACCCCTGGCGGTTGCCATTTTTTAGTGATTTTGTTGACTTTGTGAACAGAAAAAAGAGGCTCGTCCGCTACCGGGAATTTGATAAAACCACAAAAACCACAATAAAATGTTGCTAAGTCCGTTAATAAAAAGTGCCGACATGCTGTCGTTTATCTAGTGGCATAAAACCGCAACCAGCTGAACTTATATTTAAGTGCGGCCGGTGCAAATGTGGGTGAGTTTCTGGTCGTAAGTTCGCACGTGCTTTCTCCGGCCAAATATTACTCAATAAGTGTTTACAAATAAATGAGTGAATTTCCCATTGTTTGATGATTCACGACTTAGTCATTAAAGCGTGCAGTTAGTGGAAGTGATTAAGTTTTGCAGTCTGGGTGTCAAATTACGTTGCTTTGTTGTGATTTACCTCTGTCCCCCTGTTGTGAAGTCATGGGGCGTGTTGACCAATCGGAATGCAGCTTTCGAGGGGCTTGTCCTCGACGCCGACGCTCTGCTGGCGTCGCTGTCGGCTAGCAGTGACGTCAGTGCAACAGTCGCCGCCGTCTAGGTTTGAATATATTGATTATTTTTTGTTTTTGCTACTAAAACGAACACGTGAGCTTACGGTACTTCCCTCTCGCTCTACCGCCCACTCAATCCCTCTAGTTGTTCTCTTTAGACGATCGGTATACATTTTCCACATCCATAAATAAATAAATATATACAAAAAAGCATTTAAACGCGAACGCTTGAAGCTGCATGATCGCAATACGGAAGCAAACTGCAGTTTATTTTGCAAATATTGTGGCATTTTACGTAACTAATTGCCAGCAAGTGCTAAATAAAATTATAAATATCAACAGCGCAGAGCAAAAATAATAATAGGTGTGTCACTGAATGTAAGCTTTGTGATGTTGCTTTGGTGATGTTAATATTAATAATTATATTTTTTCATGAAAGATCCGACTGTGAACCGGTATAGGGGGTCTTTATGGTAAAAGAAACTAGACTGTATACTCTTTTTGATATTAATAACCAGGCATCAAGATAATTAATTAATTAATTTTGATACAGAAAGCTTTCCTATGTTTGTTTCTATTTGGTTAATAAATCTGCATACTCAAAACAAAATTTAAAAACATTTAAAATTTTGCTGATTTTTAAAATGAATTAAAACATTTTTTTTAAGGGGTTACACCTTATAAAATTTTGAAAAAAAAGTAAAAATTTATATTTTTCTTTAAATGTGGCTAGATCGATTTGCCTGTTGATGCTGATCAAGAATATATACACTTTATGGGGTCGGAAATGACTTCTTCAATATGTTTTGTGCTTCAGACTGAAATTATAATACTTTGCATTAACAATTTATTCTCTCTGAAAAAACTCTTTGGTTCATCTATCAACATGCCCCTTTCCCAGAAATGTCATCATTATTATTGATGCAAAGGTGCGATTAGTCAACTGAAAAGTTGGCTAATCTGTTGACCTTTAACCTGGCGTAATGGAATATTTCATTACATGCTAAGCACTATCTCCTCAACCCTATTTGCGTTGCAACCGTCGATTAACTAATCAAAAACATCAGCAGCACTCCCAGCTATAAAAAATGCAATCAAGAAAACAAGAAGCGATAACCAAATATCTGAGCAATCATTTTGAGTGAGAAACTCAGTCATACGATATGGCTTGGCGATAAGACTTCTATAAATACAGCCAACCCATGGGGCGTATGCGTAATTATGCCTGCATGCATGTATAATAAGTTTACTGAACCTTTGAACCCCTGATGTAATCAATTATTGCATTACTCTTTATCGGATTACACAAAGCAAAGCAATAAGTGCCTATTTCACCAGTATCCATTATTCCCCTTTAAGCACAATTCTGATATTGTGACTAAAATTACAAGCAAATACAAAAAAAACGATATTTTACGATGACTTAAATGGGTTTTACTGACACACACCAAAATGCAAAATGTATATGCAGGGTTCTGTGTGAGTAAACAAAAGTTTGCACATCAAGGAAATACAATTCATTATCAAGCAAGTCTAAAGTTGAGTGGACTTCAAAATAGCCTGTAGTTGGTGGAAAAATATACAGAAATTATGTTGTATTTTTTTAAGTACAAAAGAAAACCATCTTTTAAGATCAATTATAAATTCTTTTCTATTAAATATTATAGATATTTTCATTATTTTTCCTTTTCTAAAAAAGCTTTTACCCATGACAAGATTAAAATTAATCATTCTATTGATTAGGGTTACATTCCTAAACACCATTTGATTTTAAGAACAATAAAGGCTCAAATAGAGTCAATGGAGAGTCACTTATACCCAGATCCAACCACTAGGGTACTCAGATACTTAAGGCCATCAACTCGGGCCAAATCGCTTTCGTTTGTGGGCCAATACACAGACCGTCGTGCATATATTTGCACATATATTTTCACACTGACAGTTCGGTTTAATGAAGTCGCTTAAGTTGCTCGAAATGATTTCATTAACTTGGTCACTTCCTCAGTCTCCTAGTCGTAGTGTTTACATAACGAGCACACACTCCCCCTTTTCGGTTAATAGGATGCAAACATTTAAATACTATTTAGCTTTGGATTTTACTTTATTTCGTTTTTCTTCTCTTAAAGATGTCACACAAATAACTTTTTTTTTATGTGCTATGCCTGCCCCCAATGGAATATTTTTAATATTATTCCGACTAATTATAGCGGGGCGCCTATAAGTAAAAAAACTGAATGGACGCCCACACACGCTTTCCTCTATACGAATTGTCTTTTGGAAATTTGTGAAGAATTTATGTGTGACCTGGGATATATTTCTGTGGAATAATTTTCGCTCTTGAAATGAGACATTATTGCGTGTACATAATTGTGAGTTAAATGTGTATAATGCAGCTCCCATAAAGATTCCAAAACAATCCCTAATTGCATTCCGTTGTGGGGCTTAACTAACGTCATAACAACCTTATTGGAATACCTGTTAGGCACAGTGGTTTGAGCTCTGATATAATTAAACGGTTTTTTTTAGCTTAGAGAGTAATAGAATATATTAAAGACCACTGTGCTTGGCTATATCCGTCTGAGGCAAATGCAAATGCGTGTTTTTAAATGCCAAGGCTGGCGGCGTCTGTCGCAACCAGTTGGCAGTTTATTGCACCGAAGTGCTTCGTCTAGAGGAGCACTACCTGCTCCTCCTTCCCCTCCTCCATGAGTCCACCACCCACTCGACCCCCTAATCCCAGACATTGACGCTCTTGCCGGCTTGTCTTATCAGCGGGGCATTGTCGGGACTGCTGCCGGTTTTATTGGGTCTGGTCGATGGGTATGGGTATGGGTAGTTGTCGTCGGTAATAGATTCGTAGTCCCAAACCGCTTTGATTTCAATACATGGCCCCGAGCCGAAAGCTCTTTTTCTATGTGCGAGGGTATTTTCACTGCGCTGCCGCGCCTTCGAGTTGATAGCGCCGTTGGATTTTCGATTTTTGACTTTCAGATACATTTTGGCGCTCGCCGCGGACGGTTGTGTTTTTATTTCAACGTGCTCTCTAATTCTCTGTCTATCGGTCGATCTCTCTTCCTCTCTGTTTCTCAATAAACTTTTCTCCGGCACTCTCTATTTCTCGCTCTCTGTTACATTTAAAAATATTTAAACAAGTGTTATCAGTAGCCGCCACCAACAACAATTGAATTTGAAAAAAGTGAGGATATATCCGAAACAATGTTAAGCAATAAACTCATCAAATCATCTCATTTATTACAATGAATATGTTGTAATCGCAGTTATCGTAAATTGTTCAATAGCTATTGTGTTATTTTTACGGTTTTATTGGAGTGTTTGCCGCTAGTGTGTAGGCAAATATGGGGCGATCAGTCCACTAAAGAAGTGCTTTCCATATCTAATCAACGACTCTTGGTAACATAACCGTTTATGGGACGTGTATTGATAGGTTCTTATCACGAAACAGTGCTTAACGAAAGCACACAGCCATAAAGCATGAACAGCACATCATATACCTACGATTTCCTAGGTGACTTTCAAAAGTGTCCCAAGCGGAAAGGCGGGAAGCTGTGGAAAGTTTTTGAATGTAAATTCCAATCAGTTCACCGGTGGAATACCAACATTAATGTGGCTTTTCTGAGTGTGTGTGTTTGTGTGTCTTTAGTGTCGTCTGGCGACAAATCAAATCAAATTACTCTGTGCACTCAATCATTAGGGTCTTATCTCCGTGTCCAGCACTTGACCTTGTCGCAGGGTCCGTAATCACAACGGTTTACCATAATTTATGTATTGGAATTTGCTTGGCTCCATTCAGAGCATTCGGAGCACCCGGTCCGGCCGATAAGTTGTTGGTGTCAACAAGTGTTTCTGCCTCGGTGTGTGAGTGGGAAGAGGGCTCGACCACCGCTGGAAGTGGAATCAAGCCCCCCAACAAGCCGGCTGGGTACAAAGTCAAACAATTGCCAAACAAGTGTTGGAGTACACACTCTCTTTTATATACGTTCGTCCATGTCAGATGGTATCGTCGCCTGGCAGTTCCACAATGAAAGGCAAATATAGAAATTGGACGCTAAAAACACACAAGAGAGGTGTGGGTATATATGGCAGATCCGGAGCAATGGTTGCCTTTTAACTTTATCTTCGACCGCTATCGTAGAATAATTTTATTGCTCTTGTATTGAAATATTGGTTAGACGTCAACGGAAGTACCTTAAATATTGATTTCAGTTTCATAAATTCCTTTTTTAAAGTCACTATATAACTGATTGGAGGAAGACATTATTATAGCCTTTAAGAATGATTATTAGGGAATCCAAGTTCTTCAGAAAGTGAGCTTTATAAGTAACGAATCACCCCTCAAACTCTAATAATTATGCAATATGACTGACTTACCCGTCTTATCGGCTTTCTTATCTCTCAGGCAGCATGACCGAGGGCAAGAATTTACCCCACTCCAGTGCGGATGTCCCATTCCGTAGCAAGGAACTGCGAAAGCAGTCTTTGATCCAGCACACCGGCCTGGTTGGCGTTATTGACGAAGGCACCAAGACCATCGGCTTTTCGATCTACACCACGCCAGACTTTAAGGAGATTGCAGCGCACCGCGTTGAGCTGAGTGTGATCACGCCGCAAGATGGTTGGTACGAGCAGGATCCGCTGGAGATGATGGCCTCGATCAACAAATGTGCCGAGGAGGCCATCAAGCAGCTGCCCGAGCAGGGCTTCTCCGCCAGCGACATAGCCACCGTGGGCATTACCAATCAGCGTGAGACAACAATCGTTTGGGACGCCGTCACTGGCAAACCACTGTACAATGCCCTTTTGTGGAAGGACATCCGCACCAGCACCACTGTGGAGCAGATTGTGGCCAAGGTGCAGGATCCGAATCACTTTCGCAGCAGCACCGGTCTGCCCATCTCCACGTACTTCTCAGCCTTGAAGATCCGCTGGCTGAGGGACAATGTGCCTGAGGTTCGGCAAGCCATACGGGAAAGGCGCTGCAAAGCGGGCACTGTGGACAGCTGGATCGTATGGAATCTTACTAATGGTGAGTTCTGTCAGGTTTCATAGAGGACTTTATAAGTCAATCTCTTTCCTTACAGGTGCTCTCCACATCACCGACGTCACGAACGCCTCGCGCACACTCCTCATGAACTTGGAAACCCAAAGCTGGGATCCCGTGCTGCTCAAGACTTTCGGCATCAAGGAGGACATGTTGCCCAGCATTCACAGCTGCTCGGAGGTGTTTGGCAAGATCACGTCAGAAAGAAGTCCGCTGCGTGGAATGACCCTAAGTGGAATTATGGGCAACCAGCAGGCCTCGCTACTGGGCCAAATGTGCGTGAAGCCCGGTCAGACAAAGAACACATACCGCTCCGGCTGCTTTTTGCTGTGCAATACGGGAGACAAGCCCGTATTCTCGCGCCACGGACTCCTAACCACAGTTGCATATAAGCTGGGACCTCATGCTCCCACGATATATGCCATCGAGGGAGCTGTTTCAGTGGCCGGACATGCACTTTCCTGGCTGCAGACGAAGGTTCGAATCCTGCCCGATTCGCGGGACGCCGAGAAATATGCTGAGATGGTTCCCACGTCCGGTGATGTGTATTTCGTGCCAGCCTTCACAGGATTATATGCTCCGTACTGGAAGCAGAATGCCCGCGGCATCATCATTGGTCTAACGCAGTTCACGCGGAAGAATCACATTGTGAGGGCCGCTTTGGAGAGTATCTGCTTCCAGACGCGCGACATTCTGGAGTGCATGCACCAGGAGTGTGGATACGAGATCAACAAACTTCATGCCGATGGCAAGCTAACCACAAACAACTTACTAATGCAGCTCCAGGCTGACACCATTGGACTACCCGTGTTCCGATCCCAACTAATGGACTCTACAGCCTTCGGAGCTGCCATGTGTGCTGCCCAGGCGGAAGGGGTGAACCTGTGCCAGTTCGAGCCTGAGAAGCGGTACTACGAGAACGTGCACTACGACACCTTCCTGGCCACCACGACTGATGTGGAGCGCAAGGAGCGCTACGGCAAGTGGAAGCGGGCAGTGGAGCGCAGTCTGGGCTGGGTCATTAAGCAGAAGAAGACGCGGGAGCACACGGAAGAGAACTACCGCATGCTGTCCTCGCTGCCGGCGAGCATTTTCCTCATCAGCAGCTTCGCCATGCTGGTGCATTCCCTGTCTGCGGCTGGACAGTAGATAATGCCCTGACCCTTGCATCGATTCTTTCGGTTGTGATAGTAATTATTTTCCCGGATTTCGTTTGGATCTGACACACACAGACACACACACTGTACATAGTTCTCATGGAGGACATTCGGTGGTTGAAGGAGCTTTAAACCCTTGTAAATAGTTGCTTACGAAAAGCTTGGCCTGGACGAGAGTTCATCCGGCCAAGCTCCAAACTATATTTAGTATCTCCTATGGCCTGACTATCTTATCCTGTTCTTCTGTTCCAAATTTCCTGTACGTCTTAGCAGTAGTTTCAATGACGAACTGGCCCTATCAGCCGGAATCTGGAATTGTATATAGCCAAAGTGCAAAACGACATTTCTAATTTAAGTAGGTCCCATACTCTGTATTTGTATGTATGTATATTTTTTAGTGATTACGCCCCTTAAACAATAAACAGAACTAATACAAATCGAAGGCAAAGCGTCTTATAAAGCGATATACCGGGAATTTTAGTATAATATTTGCACAATCACAGATTAAAACCTTACTGGGTTGCAGCAATAGTAGGCAATGGAAGAACGTTAGTACTTGACGAAAATGGAATAATCTTGACTAGTAAATCCTTGCTTACGAGCTTACGAGTCCAGGGTAAACCTGGTTATCACTTATATATACGTTTTCGGCCATTAGTATCGCTCTGTTCAATCTCTCCCTCGAGGTGGGGTATGTTTTAATATCAGGTTGTTATGTTATCAGACAGCGGAAATGTCAGTATCAGTTAAATATGGCCCAAGTAATCGATTGATTAATAGTTGGTGGGTGTGTTGGTACCTTTTTATTTTTGGCAAAGGTGGTATTCAAACAATTTTTTTGCTTAAAGGTGTGTCCGCGACTAGGACGCGATAGATCAGATTACTTAAAATAGATTGCGACCCCCACGGACTAATTAAAAACTCTTTATGAGCTGCCGGAAAGTTCTAGGACAAATTGATAGGAATGATTTATGATTTAGAAGCTATAAATACGACATAACTAAGCTTAAAATATTCGAACTCTTTGAATTTATGTTTTTATATGACAAATTTTTAGACAAATCCTAGTTTAAAATAGGCATAACTAAGCCAAAAAAGCATTCATTTTAGTTTGGAAAATTCCTATGTAACTTATTATGAGGTTAATAAATCTGCATACTAAATTTAAAATTTTTGCCAATTTTTTTCCTTCAAAACATGGCTAGATCGACTCTGCAGTTGATGCTGATCAAGAATTATATATACTTTATGGGGTATTTCAAAAGCCGTGAGGTTTTTAAAACAATATTATAAAAAGCTTTGGGAATTTATAGGAGTTTCTATGAATACCCTAAAGGAAAATAATTTTAAATATTGCTCGGGTGAAAACAAGTCCTAAAACTCATCTCTATAGATCACCACCACAGGTGAATGAAATACCTGCGACGGCCACCCGCTGAGCGGTACACAAATTCGATTGGGAAACTTCAGGGGGTAGGACAGTAAGAAAGGGTTACCAAGGGTTCAATCAACCGTATTGACATGCCACCACATACTCATATCATTCAGCCATATTGAGGCCTCACTGTTCGAATGGACTTCCTTTCAGCTGGGATCTCATTTAAATTGGATCCACCGATTACCCCAAGACACACACATACACACACAAACACCGGAGGAGCGCTCACTCATAAAAATTGGTACTCACACACACAGGCTGTATATTCCGCCATGCAGGTTGTTGTCGCTCTTGTTGCCGATCCAGGTAGCCAAGGCAGGTAACGAAAACAAACGCTCACCTTTGGGCAACAACAAAGAAATTGATTTTCCCTGTTCGGGCTGAATAGTTCTTTTTTTCTGAATCAGTGCAGGGAGAGAAACAACTAGAACCGGAATTCGTTTGAAGTTGAAACGCGCGCAACACACATCACGCACACATACCAAAGAATGTGTGGAGTTGTAGCTGCTCATTTTCTGAAACTAAGTTTATGGCGATGCAATTCGTGAGGTTTTGAGTACGTGAATTGGAAATGATCTTCGGTTAATGATCTAAAGAACTATAACTAGAAATAGGTTACTCTATTGCACTAGTTTATATTTATCTTTTTAACCAGTATTTTTGATATAGATAAAACAGTATCACGCACTCTCATTCATTTTCTCATGAGCACTTCACAAACTCTACACCGCATAAACCCAATATACGAGTGGTTGTGCGTTGCAGGTTGCTCTGCTCTCCAAGCTCGAACTTCCCGAGGTTCGATGCCGACTCCGGAGTTCGCATCGATCCGCAGAGCCGCAGTGGTTCTGGTTGCCCAGTTGTGTTTGAGTTGCGATCGCGGTTTGTTGGTCTTCGATCTCCTATCTTCGAGTGCGCGGCGGTGTCTTTTGTTTTCGGTGTGTGCTTGTTTATGTTAATCCGATATATTTATATATTCACGAATCAGCCGAATTGCAGAATTAGCAATAAATTTGGCAAATTTATCGGGTTTAAGAAGCGTGAGACCCGAGAGAAATGAGTGTGCAGCACAAGTGAAGAAGTGATCATCGCGGGAAGTGGCAGTTAAAGGGTCAAACCGGTTTTTCGGACAGCAGCCATGGAGCTGCCTCCAGCAGCAGCAACAACAACAAATTCCTCGGCATCCTTGCAACGTGTCGCCTCCGAGTCGAGTCTCGGCGAGGATCCAGGAGCTCGTAGCCACGATCAGGCGATGGGGCCTACTCCTGGTCAACTGGGTGGGCATCACTACCACTACATACAGTATCCAGCTCACTTCCAGCCGCTGCATCACCAGGAGCAACTCCAGCAGCAGCAGTTACAGCCACAGCTTCCCTGCCAATGTCCCTGCTCCTGCGGCCGGGCGCCTCCTCCACCGTCCAACCAGAACCAGAATGCCTCAATGGCGGTTGCCGTGCTGGTGCATCAGCAGACACCCAGTCAACAGGAGCTGCCGGCGAGAAGCTCTCCCCTTAAGGCCCAGTCCGCCCAATCCCTGCTCAATCACTCCTACCAGGCGCTGCACGACGATCAGCACCATCAGGAACAACTCCAGCTGCAACTGGACACGTCTGCTGGAGCCGGAAGTTGCGACTGCGATCTGGAATGCACATGCCCGGCCAGTGGGGGCAACTCTTCGCTGGCCCAGCATAAGAGAAGCCTCCTGGCGGACGCCATGCTCGGCGCCGACGAGATTACGGTCAGTGAGTCCGACAACAACAGCACCATGATCAAGAAAAAAAAGCCGCGATCTGGCGGAGGTGCAGGACAGCTTCCGCCGAAGACACAGCCCACGGGTGATAGTTGCAACGATATATACCATGATACGGAGCTGGATGGCGTAGGTCCAGTGCCGCCCACTTCTGGCGCGGGAATTAAATCCCAGATCCTGGACGACAATCGACCACCGCTGCCGCCACGTCCTCCGCCCAGGCCAAGGAGCAATGCAAATGGTTCTATAGGTGAGTCGGGGCAATGGGTAAAGGGAAGGTATTACTTGTTGTAATCTTAAGAATATATACAAAGCTATAACCTTGAGTAACAGTTTGCCAAGTCTGTCATACATATTTATGACTAAAAGCTCAACAATGTATGTTTCGGCACATGTTCTTAGGAAATTATAGGTGGAAGATGCACTTCTCAGGAATTTATATCTTTTCTGTATTGATTTTGCAATATTTATAAAGAAGTTGCAGGGAATGACCCAAACATCTTCCCTGAAAACTCTGCCCCATTTGGTCGTAGTTCCCCCCTGAATTTTCTCCGCTGCTTCGTCAGTGCTGTCACTTGGGCTCCTCCAGTCGATGAATCACAGTTTTGCCATGGTCACAGATTTTGGTTTCCAGTGATTTGTCACCCGCTGGGGACGCAGCTTCCGCTTGACAGTTACTTCCTCATCCGCATATCCTGCGCCTGCGCAGGAGGAGGCTCTCTCTCGCTCTCTGGAGTCCTGGAGCTGGTGCAAAATATTTGCTTGGGGGTTGGCGCTGAGCTAGTGTCAGTCAGGACTTTTAGTTGACACCGTTCGTGTAATTGCAACGCACACTCCGGCGCCACCTCCCAGCTTTTGTCGCTCTGTCTCCAGCCTCCAGCATCCAGCATCCGGCACCCCACTCCAGCCACCAAGACCGCGCAGCTGCCAGCAGTAGTAGCAGCAGCGGCAAAGGCATCCCTACCCAACCCAACACAAACCCATTCCATTAAGCATCTCCAGCCCCGCATCTCTGCCAGCTTCCACGGCTGTGTAGATATTTTTCTGTTTCGCTGCGGAGTGAAAAAAGAGGAAAATAAAAAGTGAAAAACGAGGAGAACGTGTTCCGGAATTCAGCAGCCACTTGCCAAGCTCCTTACCAGGATGTGTACTTAGATGATTGAGGAGCCTGTTATTGGCCACTTTTAACTGCCTTGCGGAGGAGTCATAAAGCCACTGTGTATCCCGTCACCATGCACGGCTATCCGGTGATGCAGTTCGTGCAGTACAGCATGCCTCCGCCCTGCTCCTGGGTGCCAGCTCCGCCGCCTTCCTCCGGGAATGTGGATGGCCACCATCGCGGCTCTGGTTGGGATTGGATTCCTCTCTTTTAGTTCTCCAATCTAATGGGTTTTTTTTTCATTTATCTATTTACAGCCCATCGCCATGGAGCTGGGATCAAGAAGTATGTGGTGTGGTGCCTCATCTGCGGCGGATTCAGCTGCCTACTGGGAGTGCTCTTTTTGGGCGTCTATTTCCTGCTCCACTCCTACACCATCACGGTGGGTAACTTCGAGACGGTTCCTACCTTTGTGCCCGCCACCCTGCTCATTCTCACTGGAATCTGCATCATGAGCCTGGCGCGGCGTCGGAATCGCTATAGTTACTTGGTAAGTCTTTTCTTGAACACTTTTACTGACACTCCTATAATGTCTCCTTGAATCCCTTTCAGATCAAGCTATCTGGAGCCTGCGGATTGGTTTCCGCTCTGACCTGCGCTTTGGTCACTGTGACCACCACTGTGCTCCACATGAGTCGTCTGCAGGCCTTGAGGGAGTGCGAATATGCCCAAAAGACCCGCACATGTACGTGCTACTCGGATCTCATCGAGTCCCAGGTGGATCGTGTGGATAAGGGTGAGTTAGCAGCTCCAACTCCATGCCATCTTGGCTAACTCCTCTCCCTCCTCATTGCTTTCTAGAAGGCGTGCGCTTGGTGTTCGATTCTCTTTCGGATTGTGGCGTGGTCCATGGATCCCTGTACTCCTGCCTGAGGGCCATCTTTGGTCTGTCCGTTGCCGGAGTCCTCATCGCCGTCTTCAGCTGCATGCTGGTGTACCAGCTGCTCAGCCACGAGCGGAAGAAGATGTACTGGGAGCAGCTGGAGCTGCGCTGTCGCTCCCTATATGCCAGTCAGGCACCTCCTCCCTCTATGGGTCCGGGCCGAATGCTGAATTGCCGATGTTGCGAGCAGTGTCACGCCCACAGGCAGCTGACCCTGCCGCTGCAGGCCACCGCCTATCCATGGGATGAAGCAACAGTGGCGGCGGCAGCAGCGGCTGCAGCTGGAGGAGGAGGCGGAGGAGAGCAGCGCTTCTGGACCGCTCAGCCACCGGGAAACTTCTACTCGCCAAATCCCGGCGGTGATGATGCAGTGGGAGGCTGCCGGGGCGGCGAAAGAGGAGCTGGAGGAACAGGCGGCGGACGGAGCAGCAGTGGCTGGAGCTGGCCTCGGATGCCCTGGCAACGCACCACTCCTGATGCAGGACGACGCTTTCGGCAGGCGGCCGCCAGTCCAGACTCGCAGTATGGCTTCAGTTCGTCCGCAGCGGCGGCCCAGGGTGATGGCAACCAAATGCTGATCGACGAGCCAGTTGTGGCAGCCGCCTATAGTGGAATGCCGCCGCCCAATGCCCTGCCCTATGGAGTATGGGGTCCTCCGCCGCCGTACAGTGATCCCAACAGCCCGGCCAGGCGGGGATACTACCAGTATTTACAGCCCACGGCGTGTCTGGTGGGTCAACCCGGCACTGCCTCGGTCACAATAACCCAGGAGCAGGTTCATCCCAACATGCAACACTCGCACATTGTACATCCGCATCCGCAGCAACAGCAGCAGATGCAGCAGCAACTGCAACAACTGCAGCGTCTTCAGGGGCAGTCGGCGACGTTGGAGCGGATGGACGGGCTAAGCAGCGTGGGCAATGTCAGCACTTTGGTGGCCGCCACTCGCTCCTCCGCCTACAAGTCCAAGGGAGAGTACGAGAACACCCCATCGGACAGTGACGGTGGCAATCCTCGAGAGCGTGAGCGCTGCTCCAACACGCTCCCCACACGGAAGCTAAAGAAACGCCTGGAGGCGGGCACCGGAGCCAAGAGCATTGGGCCCCAGAGCAATCCAGGCCATCAGCGACCCAATGTCCAGCAGCTGTTTGCCAAGCAGGAGCAGCAGCAGCAGGTAGTGCAGGCCAGTCCTCAGCAGGCGCAGCCCCAGTCCACTGGAGTGGAGAACAATGGTTACCAGGACTCCAATGGAGCCATAGCCAAAGATCAGGCGGTGGGAGCGGACCCCGCCGAGTCGGAGGTGTACTTCGCCGACGTGAGCAGCTGCTGCAACATGTCCGTGAAGAACGACAGCTACTACGACAATGCCCAGCGCCATCAGGGGCACCACCAGGGCCACCATCATCATCACCAGCACCAGCACAGCAACTGCAGCCACAGCAGCGGGCAGAGCAACGCCAACGAGGACTACCTCGCGCAGCGATTCGGTCGGGGTAGGGAGCACTCTGTCAGGAGCCGATTGCCAATTCCGCAGACGAGACGAGAGGATGACTATGAGAGCTCCAACCTGAACATGCCCACGCTGAAGGAGCAACAGCAGCAGGCGCAGCAGCTGCAGAAGGAGATCTCACGCCAGAGCATGTGCTCCGTGGAGTCGGAGGCCAAGACGGAGTTCACCGACCTATCACCCTCAACGCCCTGTGGCGGCAACCTTCCTCTGCCACCGCCAGCGAACTTTGCCAGCGATCCGCCCACGACGACGGGTCAGCAGTCGCCCAGCTTCGTGGCCTCGTTTCCATACTCCTCGGAATCGCAATGCCTGGAGGCGCATCGCCGCTCCACAAAGAACATCCATGAGCTGCTGATAGGCGGCGGAGGAACCTCCGCGACTGCCGGCGGTAACGACTCGCACTACGAGGTAATCAACGACCGGGGCAATCCCTACCAGCTGCAGCGCTCGCAGCAGGCCAAGCACAAGGCCAAGTCCAAGACGCGTTCCCGTGAGCAGCTGGACATCTATGGAAGTGGAGCGGAGCGATCTGACTGGTCATCGGACGGGGGTCGGATGTGAGGCCCCGACGACCAGGAAGTGTTTGTCTAGCAGCGGTTTCACCTTCATCATATTCTGTAACGATGTGGATCTGTTGGGGTTCATTAGTGATGGGAAGGATACTGTGGTTCTATTCAGGAAGTGTATAGAGTTCTAAATCTAACCGTTTTTAAGATATCAAAATTCGTTCAAAAGTCAGACAAGTTCCAGATCAGTTAAATCTGGACTCTTCCCATCATAGATCGACCTCCAGACCCTCATGTTGTTCAGTATCGTCGCATTTGTAATGTTTGCCATCCAAGAAAGGAACTCTAATTCTACGTATTATCCCTAGCCCCATATCCTACCTACACTATCCCGTCGACAGAGGTCCTCGGGGCCCCGAACACCTTGCTTTAACTATATTTTACGCGATGTCCTTTTCATAGTTTACATAGAACCTATATATACATATATATTAATTAACACATATGGTAGCATTGAATTGAATGTTGACAACTTGTAGCAATGATAATCTATGGATATTATATATAAATTATGTTATATTTACCTGCGTATTTACATAGTTGCGTATACACACACCCATATACACATACAAGAATATATGACTAGTTAGTTAAATGTTAGAGCGCCAGTTAAATTTATTAAAGAAATACACCAAGTATAACCAAAACATTTTAAACAAAACTAACTTCATAACGACTTTTTACTGGGACGTTACATTTGAAAACGATAAATATCGAAATCGATGGTGCCCGAATAGCTAGCGAAACTAGTAGCACTGGTAAAGAACGTCTATCGAGATCGATTGCCATTAAGACCGTGTGCTTTAACCAACGTTATTCTCTCTTTTAAAAGGTTTTAAACAAATAAAAGGATTGATTTAGAAGTATAATTAGCTATAGTAAAGATCGCAAGTGAGTGTTTATGCTTTGAAAATAGCAAAACATTATCATTGTGATGCCTATCGAATATCGTTTTCCTAACTGGGCGCGCAAATTCAAAACCAAAGTCTGTGTTATTGTCTTACAATTACAGTTTGGACTTTAATGACTACATAATCAGGCTGATGTTGAATTCCTAATACTATGGCAGTGCCCTCGATCCTCATTAGGCCAGTCGGTGCAGCAGCATGAACACAACGGTAGCTCCCAGACCCAAGCTGACCATAGAAGCGCCGGCATTCTTCCGATCCGCAACGCTGCCGTGCGGAATCTCGTTATCGGAGTCATCCGGTTGCGGTTCAGGAGGAGCCAGCTCTTCCACGGCCAGCACGGTGGCCTCATTAATCGTTCTCAGCAGGGGATAGTTCTGGCTCAGTCTCCTCGGCGCTGTCTTCACTTTCTGGAAGTCCGCATAGGTGTCCTCATCCAGGTCACAGTTGCCGAGGAAGTCATCCGTATCCACGGACCACACCATCACTCCAGCCAGCCGCTTGGACATTGCGTAGAGCACCTTGTTGGCAATGGAACGCGAGCTGTCGTAGGTCACCACATGGATGTCCTGCGTGAAGACATTTCGCTCGGACTTCGCTAGCATCTGGCTGGTGCTCGGATCCCATTGCTGGGTCCAGCCCGAAGTACGGTTGCTCAGGGTTCGACAGATCTCATTGTAGCCCAGAAAGCCGTCCTCCCGTGTGTACGGACCCCGGAAACCCACGCCATCGCTAGCGTCGTTCACGTTGCCCTCGGCCACCGTCTTAAAGGTGCGTCCGTAGAAAGGCAGGCCCAGGACCAGTTTCGAGGGCGGAGCGCCAAGCTTAAGCAGGTAGTCAATGGAGAATTTCTGAAAAGGATTTTAGGCCTTAGAAGGAGGTATAATCTTTAAAAGGTTGAAGATCACTCACCACACTTAAAGGATCATCTGCAGGCGCCGAAAGCGGGGCATTGTATCCCACCTTGTGATCCCAGCTGCCATGATAGTCGTAGCACATGATGTGCAGGAAGTCCAGGTACCGCGAGATCTGGCGAACGTCATAGGCCTCGTCGATCACCTTCTTCGATGCCCCGATGGCGGACGTCAGCAGCAGGCCATGCTCGTCGAACTCCTCGCGTAGCTCCTTGGTCAGCAGTACAAAGTTCTCGCGATCGGCTGGCTTGCCCTGCCTCTGCGTTGGATACTCCCAGTCCAGGTCCAGGCCATCAAAGTTATACTTGCGCACGAAGCCGGACACCTGCTTGACGAACTGGCCACGCAGCAGATCGTTGGCCACCAGCTTGGAGTAGTTAGCCGAGCCCTCGTTCCAGCCGCCGATGGCCAAGCTGACCTTGAGATGCGGATGGCTGCGCTTCAGGCCGGTCAGCTTCTCGTAGCCACCCTTGCCGTACTCCTCCTTAAGGTCCTGCCAGGGATCTAAAAGTGGGAAGGTTAGTTTTCTCTGTGTGGAAGCCTTAAAAATTTGCATACGTCCATAAATCGAACCACAAAAACTCACCCAACGACTTGATAGCTGCCTGGGTGATGTCCAGCCCGGCAAAGGCATACACCACATGGGTGCACAGGCTGGGATCGAAGTTGTCGATGCCATAGGCACCCTTCTCCGGCCGGTAAATGGCCCAGGTGGAAATGTAGCAAACCACCACCTTATCGTGCGCGGGTCCTGCGAGCATAAGGAGAGGTAAAACAGCAACCCCTTTCTGTGGTCTATGCGACTCACCTGTCCTGGCAGCCACCGAAGCCCACAAGGTGCCCAGCAGAAGGAGCAGCCACGCTCCCTTGTTCGTCATCTGTGTGTGGTTGATTTCTAGGGGAGGAGGAGGAAGAGGGTGAAGACCGAAGCAGAATTGAGTTAAATGGTTTGCGTGGTTGCGCCGGCCACAATGTTGTGACAATTTGAAATTCCAATTCAGCTCAATTGGCGCCTTAATTAAAGGGGAAAAGTGAAAGGCACCCAAGAATCGAGTCATGCAGACCAAGACAATTTGGTATATAGTATATGATATACATAGTACTTCTCAGACAAGCGTCATCATCTAGTCTCTTGTATTTATAAACTATTATTCACTTGGTTATTGCCACTATCACCGACAAATATACACAGATTTTGATAGATAATTTTGCAACCATAATCTAAATTGAATCCTCTAGTTCTCGTTTAGTTTGTACTCTCGAAAAGCTCATAAAATTCTTCGCAATACACTATGAATCACGGCAATGGATTTAAAGATCCAAGTTCTAACCAAATAAAATCACAAAGAAGTCTCTTTGTTCTTTTCGATTTCATTATGTCTGTATCATTCCGTCATTTAATGGCCAGTTAATGTAGAAGCGGTCTTCCGATCTGAGAGAATTATCCAACCTGATTCTCAACTTTCGCCGGCCTTTTCGCCCTTATTTAGCTTATTAACTTGGTCAGCGGCAACTGGACGTTTCGGTGCAACGACCAGAACCAAGTTAAGCCAGGTTGGTCGTGTGAATCATGCGATCCGTCGAGCAAACAAGTTCACCTTGATAACTGGGCTCTGATAACGACGGCATGAATAGGCACTTAGGAGATTGTAACTCTTTGTAAGAGCTGGGAAAAATAGGAAGTGTGGCGGAACCAGCCGAAATAAAAGATTGGGTGGATAGAGCAGTTTCACTTTCCTGCATGTTTTTTACATTTTTCTTGTGCATATTAATTTGTTGTATTTTTTATGTATTTTTTATGTATTTTTATTTCTGTCTTCAGGCTTGAGGCAAACCGGAATCTGGCGTTCATCACGAGTTGGGATCGCCGACCAAAGAAGAGGCAAAGTCGCAAAACGTGAAAATGGAATCAAAATACGAGTACGAAATCGAAATTGAGAGGAAAAAACCAGGCCATAAGTATTCTCCATGTCAAACATTGAACCGAGATTTGGGTTTGGAGGGTCAGCAGTGCCTGGCGGGTTGCGCCTGCGCAGCGGAGAGGAAGTGGGAACCCACTTATAGTGGAGAAACCGAGGGGAATGCCAAAACAAGTGCGTTCGTTGTTCTTGCCGCGTTGGATATACGATAATAGGCGTCAACACACACGAGTGTGTGGGGGATGTGGGGTTTTGTATTCCAGACTGTGCGCCATAGGTTTTATTACCCGAACTTGAGGGGTTCTTCCGATACATGCAACTCCAATACTCGCGACGGCTCGAAACTCGCACCGCCTTCGAAGGCAGCTCACTTATAACTGAACTCGTCTCGGCTCTTTCTGGTGGAAGCGGCGCAAATTGATACATAGAGCCAGACCCAGAGCCACTCATGCCGAACCCGATCAGCCACCTCCGCGACCATAATGCCAAGACTTCTCAGACAGCGAGAAGTCGATGAAGAGCCTAAAAAGCAAGCTGAGAGAAAAAGAAACTTAAAAGGGAGCTTTTTAAGAGCGAGTTTATTTAGTTAAGAGACGAAAATTATTCATGAAAACAAAAATACATATATTTATAATTTATAATGAAATAAATTGTTCAAGTTTAAAGTAAGACAAAAAGACAAATTTTTGTTGGTAAAATTTTATTTTACACAAGCATAGTGTAAATAATTGTTGTTAAATATTAAATATATATTTGTTGATTAAAATCTATTTTTAGATTATTCAAATATTTGCTTTTAAGAAATAAATGAAAACAAGAAAGGCATCCCTTACAGTTTGCAATGGGTTGATGGTATCGCAACGTAATACGTCATAACTAAGCCAAAAAACGCATTAATTTTAATTCGGAAAACGGTTCTGTGCTAGTTTTTATCAGGTTAATAAATCTGCGTACTTAATTTAAATTTAAAAAAAACTAATTTTTTTAATTTTTTACAAAATTTGAAAATTTTGAAAAAAAAAAAAAAATGTTTTCTTAAAACAAACAGATAGATAGATTCGGCAGTTAATGCTGATTAAGAATATATATGCTTTATAGGGTCGGAAATGACTCCTTCACTGCTTTACAAGCCTCTGACTAAAGTTGTAGTACCTGTGAGGGTATAAAAAGACCATCTTAAAACATATCTCAAAACCAAGTTAGCCTTGCCCTTAGTGTCAAATAACAATAACGCTTGTAAAATATATTATCCCCCTAACCAAAACAAAACTAGCAGAGAGATCGCGAACCTATGTATTTTTAAAACCGCTCCAAGGCGCGCGTTCAATTTATCGGACTATCGGCCAAAGCTGCGACAGCAAGTGCCATCACTTCCGATTTGGACTTAACTTAGAACGTAAACAACTGCGTACACGGATAAATTTTTAGGAAAGCGGAGCGGCAGGGCAAGAGCACGAACCACAGCCAGCACACCTACACAGGCACAGCCACAGATCTCAACCAGCATCGATGGACGTGGACGAGGATAGTGTGGCCAATGGGGCGGCGTCCGCCCGCAAGCGTCAGCGCCGCAATGCGGACTCCGGCGACACGAGCGGACATGTCGAAGCAGAGGCACATCGGATTGGGTAAGTGGCATGTGCAAGCTCTTCTTCTTCGGCTTGGATAACCAATTGATTTTTTTCTCTGGGTTGTAAACCAAAGCGATGAGAAACCTGTCAGCGCAGAAGATTCCGTACTGGACAGCGGCGGTAACAACAATAATAATAACGATAAGGGCGACATGATGCGCAAGGAGCAGGCAAAGGCATCTGAGGATAAGCAGGAACAGCCAGAGGCTGTTCCAAAGGAAGAGGTGGCAGGTCCCTCTTACCAGATGTGTCAGTTATCGTCAGAGGCCGCCGTTGCCGTGCTGGCCAACAACAAGAGAAGCCACACTTGCAGTGCCACCACCACCGATAGCGATGATGAGGAGGAGGAGGTGCTGGCGGAGCAGCAGCCGGTGGTGGCACTGGATGAGACTGCCACAGACACGTGGCCGCGGTTCAACCAGCGCAATATCCCGCGCACACGGTCCTATCGCCGCTTTAGCGTGGAGCTGTTGGCCACGGTTACCGACTCTAGTAGCGATAGCAGTGATTCCAACGATCCAGCAGAGGCGGCGCCGCTGCTAGAGCCTGCTGACGCAGAGAGCGAGGTGGAAGAGGCAGCCCAAGAAGTGGATAATGCAAATTCCATTTCTTCCAGTTCTTCCAGCAACAGTGATGCCATCTGGCGTCGCTACGACTTCTCCACCGATAGCCAGTCAACCATCGAGGTGAGCAGAAGACCAATGAAGCGAATATACCTTATTAAAAGTCACTATTAGCAGGAGGACGACGGTGTAGAGTTCCACGACATGGAGCCCAACGCTGCCGATCGTGCGACCATCAACATGGCCGTCACTGAGGTGATGTGCAAGTGCAAGCCTACGTACAGCTGGACCAGCGTCCAGGAGCTGATGCAGCGCGAGCACAACATCATCAACCGGATTGGTTGGCGTGGCGGTCATACTTCAACGCTGAGCTTTGCGCAGGGCTACTACGGCTCCCGTCTGGTGGTTGAGCAGATGTCGCTACTCCACGAGATGTCTCAGCACTCGGGTTGTGTCAACTGCCTCAACTTTAATCGCTTCGGTGACTTGTTGTGCTCCGGGTCCGATGACCTTAATATTATCGTCTGGGACTGGGCGAAAAACGAGCCGCGGCATAAGTTCCGGTCCGGTCACAGCATGAATATCTTCCAGACTAAGTTCATTGACAGCGCCGGCTGCTTGGACATTGTCTCCGCAAGCCGGGATGGGCAAGTGCGTCGGGCCGTTGTCCCGCCCTCTGGGGGTGTTACCAAGCCTACGCGCCTCTACTCGCACTCGGATGCGGTGCACAAGATCGTTGTCGTTCCGCTCAGTCGCCATGAGGTGATGAGTGCTGGCGAAGATGGGGCCATCAAGCACTTTGATCTGCGCACGAGCACCGAAGCCACCACAATGACGCGCTGCGTCCATCGTAGCCGGAATGATCGTGGCGGCAGACAGAGAGACCGAGTGCGGCTGTTCAGTATCGCGCACCATCCGTTTGCGCCGGAGTTCTGCGTTAGCGGGTCGGACGACAATTTGCGGGTGTATGACAAGCGTAAGCTTACGAATCCCATCCATGAGATGACCCCGCGGCAACTTAAGGAAGTGAGCATGTGACGCGCCCCAGGCAAGGCCAGTTTAATCTGTATTTTCTTCTCGTTCGTGCCCAGACCAAGATCACGCAGATTACCTGTGCCGTTTACAACCACAGTGGCAGCGAGATCCTGGCCTCCTACAGCGATGCGGGCATCTATCTGTACGACAGCCGCAACTACACGGATGGCGAGACCCTGCACTGTTACGAGGGTCATGTGTAAGTTACGCCACTTGCTCTTGCACTTTAACTAGCACTACATGCTTTCTGGTTTTGTCCCACAGCAACAGTCGAACCATCAAGGGCGTAAACTTCTTTGGCTCCCGATCCGAGTATATTGTCAGTGGCAGCGACTGCGGCAACATTTTCTTCTGGGAGAAGAACAGCGCAGCGATCGTTAACTTCATGAAGGGGGACCATGCCGGTGTGGTTAACTGTCTGGAGCCGCACCCTTGGATGCCAGTACTAGGTACCTCGGGACTGGAGCATAAGGTCAAGATCTGGACGCCAAACGGACCTGGGAACGTATGTTTTGTATACATTTTTTAAACTAAGATTATGCCAACGATTTCCTTTCACAAAAAAGGTCCCTGATGCCGACAAACTGAAGCAACTACTGCAGCGTAATTTCCGTCGCAATGTAGTGGACACCGACTTTAACATCAATCAGTTCCAATACTTTATCCGTCAGTTCCTGGAGTCCAGTCCAGGCCCCCGTAGAAATCGGCGTGCTCGACATTCCGAGCAAGAGCAGGAGGTCCATCACGACGCCCGCCAGCAACACCACGGCGATAACAGCAGCAGCACTACCACTAGCAACGACTCCAGCCCTTCTCATCTGGCCTCGCAACAGCAGCGGCGCCGCAGTAGCAGCAGCAGTTCCGACGACACAAATGGTCACGGAGAAGCCGCCGCTGCTGCCTTGGACACGCTGCGTTGCCGCACGCAGTGATGCTGTGTGTCTCCAAAGACCCCGCCGTGGATGCAGCTTCTAAAGCCCAGCGTCCTCGGTCCACCTTTTGTTCGATTGAAAGCGTTTCTGAAGCTGTGAATTTTTAATCGTGTAACACATAAGTGCGCATATATTAATTTTTAAAATGGTTTAATAAACACCCACTGAGATGACAAATTTGCTGTATTTATTTAAAAGAATCACAAACTATAATAGATAATAAAGAAAGCTTGAATTTCTTTGCAGTTTGTAATTGGATCATTGGGTATCGATCCATTTCGCTCAGAATATCTCTGAAATAAAATTATAATACCCAGCAAGGCTGTAAATATAAATAGATTCAAATTAGAAATCGTATACAAGTAATATAGTAATTGTAATACTTTTGAAAATACTGGATATTCAAACTATCATGAATGTGGTAAAGATTGGGGTAACACAATTTCTTTTTTTGTTGTTCTGATAATTTTTTACTCTTTCAGTTGCACCTATGGATAGCGCTTGGCTTGAGCAGTTGAGCAAAAAACAATGATGTTCTCTTGTTATTTGCAAAATGTACAAATTTTATAAATATAATCATCTACTTTAATAACCGTATGGCTTAAACCAAAAAAAAAAGAGTTCCCCTCATTGAATTGATTACATACAGGGATCAGGGTCCATGGGATCAGTCATTGGTCTGGCAAATGAGAGCCACGCTGCGCTTGACCCAGTGCGAGGGCTTGGCATGGGTATTCAGCAGCAGCGGGACAACATAGTTCGTGGAGTGACCCGTCGTGGAGAGTGTGCCCTTGCGCTCGCCGGTCTTGTAGAGCGGACATTTGTAGCGCGAGCCCTCGGTTAGCTCTAGGATGGGCACCGGACGGAAGAAGATCACGGGCATAGCGTAGACGAGCACCTTGGGGAATTGCTCCACCAGCGTATTCTCGCGCCATTCCCAGCGGGCGCCCTCCAGGTAAAGGCCGTTGCAGTAAACGCCGTCATCCGGCGGCGATGTCTTCGTCTCCACCTTGAGCACATCGTAGTCAAAGGTCAGAGTGTCGATGGGGATCTTGTACTTGCGTGCAAAGTTCTGCATGGCGCCGGTGAGGAAGGCCTGGGTGAAGAAGAAACCGGACAGCCAGAATGTGGGCGGCTTCCCACGATGGTGCCAGTCGTGCAGCCAGTTAAGCCGCTTGTACAGATCCTGGACATAGGAGCCGAGTGGTTTTAGGCACGGATACGACTTGGACATCCACTTGGTAGGGATGCGGTTGAACTTCATGGCCGTCATTACGTTCTCCAGGTCCGGAGTCATCACGAGTATGCCCTTGATGCCCATGGCCAGATCTCGGCAGGAGATACGGATCTCCTTCTGCAGCTTGAAGAAGCGCTCCATCTCTTGGACTACCACCGTATTCATGGACTCGTTATAGTCAACTGGATATTTCTCTGCCGCCGCCTCAATATCCATGTCCGGTGGCATCTCGCGCTCTATCTGCTTGATCGTGTCTAGTATGACCTGCTCCACACTCACGCCGGCTCCGGAGGATCCAGCAGCCTCACTGCCCAGCAGGAGGATCATCGAGTCCAGCAGGGTCTTGGTCGTTTGCATATCCCTGGTGATTCCCGAATTGGCATGCAACCCATACACCTCAGGCGGCGCCAAAGAAGGTATATTCTCGTCCAGATAGCGCAGGATCTCGCGGTGCTCCGTCTTCCTGGGTAAAATGTAACGATCGTCACTGGCGAACCTGTACCGATTGTCCCCCACCACCTGAGCATTGCAAAAGTCGGCCAGGATTGTCACTATGGCCCGCCGATCCCAGTTGTCCGTTACCCTGCCGCCGTAGTTGCACTCGCTGGTCAGATACGAGATGGCATCGTAGGGGACATGTTCGTATTGGTTCAATAGCATCTGAAGATTGGAGAAGATTACTAAAGATTACTACACCGCTCCCGACCCCCACTTACGCTCAGCTGCAGCACAGAAATTTGGAGATCGGACTCATTGAATCCGTAGGCAATGTTCCAGCCCAAGGGTCCGTACTTGCGACGTTCCTGGACCACAGCATGGAAGAAGCAGATTCCGTAGAGCAGCCTGGTAAAAGCTCGGTCCTGCTTGGCGCACCCAGTATAGAACTCATAGTCATTAATGGGCTCCGAGTTATAGGAACGCATCAGGTTCTCTTTGAGCCCGGTAGGCGGTTCATTGGTCATCTTGACGCCATTCTGGAGAATAGTGACGGGAAACTGAGGCGTGGGATAGGCCGTCAGCCATATCCGGAAGTTGGCTGAAATGAGATCAAACAAATCCTCTGGAGAAACTTTCCTAGAAGCAACTTGCGGTGGCACTCACCTTGGGTGTTGAAGGTGTCCATGTTCTCCCAGAGATATTCAAGGTAGGGCATCCATGAGGCAGCCAGATGGCAGTTCTGCAAGCAAACCCAATAGCCCATCTCCTGAGCGTTCTTGATCAGCGCCGTGGCTATCGGACCCTGGCCCTGGCCCAGTGAAATGCTCTGGAACGTCTCCTCCTGACCCATCTTCTCGGCGAAGGCCAGCAGAGAGCCCAGGGGATCGGCTCCCGGTGACAGAATGAACACCAGCGGTGTCAGAGCTGTGGAATCGGCGTACGACTTCGAGATATCGAACTCAGGCGGCGTCACGTATTGTTCGCCAATGCACTGTGCGATGTAGATACGCACCGCCAGGAAGACGGAGTCCGGGCGAAGAGCCTTCAGTACAATCATCTTCTCAAAGGCGGTGGTCTTGTCGTGCCACGGAGACGGCAGCGGTGCCGTTTCCGGTGAGGAATGGTCGTAGATCGCTTGCCAGGCGGAGAGGTTTTTCTGGAAGTGGGCCACGATGCCCTTTAGCTCCTTGAGTTCCTCCAGTCGGAGCACGTTAAGCCACACGGTCTCCGTTATCCAGCTTGGATCGGGATTGGGCGGTAAATTGGTAGACTCCTTGGCATTGGTAACCAGGTGAGCGAAATGTCGCATCTCAACCTGGCCAGTGCCCAGCATGATGCGGGCAGTGAGGATGAAGGAGAAGAGCAGCTTGTCCTTCTCAAAGATCGAGCGGCAGACGTTGTTGTATAGATTACGTGTGAAGCCGTCCACTAGGAACTTAATGCGGCGGGGCAGGTCCTTGGACTTGTTGGCCGTCTCAATGGAGTACATGTAGAGGTTGATATACCAGTTCAGGGAGAACTGGTACATGGGATCGATGTTCGGCAGATCCGTGATCGAGTAATACAGGATGGAGGAGTGCACGGCCACGGGCTTGTAGTTGAGCCGGAAAGCCTCGATCTTGGCCGAGGTCTCCTTGGCGGCCTCCTGCTTCTCCACAATGTCCTTGGACAGACCCTTAGACTCTGCCAATATCTGTATGGCCGCCTCGTTCTCCAGAATGTCCCCACCGGCGCTCAGCGTCTTCAGTATCATGTTCTCCGCATCCCGCAGAGCTCCCTTATTGGCGGCCGCTTCTGTGGTGAGCATAATGCGCAGCTCTTGCAGATCGGGTCGCTCCTTGGCCACCACTATGCTGAGCAGCTGGTCCATAAGAGCATTTTGGGTAAGCGCAAAGTTGATGACCGTCACCTTATTGAAGGTTTCCGGGAGGAAGTGCGGGTTCCGCAGGTTGCAGGTCATGTACAGGCGAAAGTTCGGGTTGACCGGAACAACTGTCTCGCCCAGGCTGATGTGCTTGACGCCGCCCTGTAAGAAGGTCTGATGCATCAGGATGGGATCCAGCGGCACCTCCAGCTCTTCCTGCACGTTCTCGATAATCACCGGCGTACCATACTCAAGGGCCTCCGCTATGACCTTCATGTAGTTGCCCTGGTTGAACTTGACGCAGTTAAGCCGGTTCTTTCGCTCCATGTTCTTCAGCCAGTTGTTGGCCTGCGCCTGCGGATCAATGAACAAGCTATAACGACTGGAGTTTGACGAGATGATGGCGTTCTCGGTGGAGAAATCGTCGTTGGGCAGGCCGTCCAGCTGCCAGTTCTGGATGGTGACCTCCAGACCCAGTACGTTCGTGATGGAGTACTTCTCGGAGCAGGGAATCTTCAGTTCGGTGACCTTCTTAAACCAGTCGTTGACACAATCGCTGCGGTACTGGAGATTCACTGCCGACAGGTAGGCGATGATGCCGCAGGAGATGAGCACGTCGCCGGGCAAATGATCATACAGCTCCTGCAGATCCTCCGCCGCTTTGTTCCAGCGTGACTTCTCTCCGCCCAATCCGCCGATGAGGGCCTCGGCTCGCAGCAGTTTGTTGCGACAGTTCTCGGCGTGCTCCTCCGTCTTCTGCATCTCCTCATTGGCCTTGTCCAACTCGATGTTCAGCTGAGCCACCTTCTCCTCGAGGGCCAGCGCCAGGGCTCTTTTCTCAGCAAGGAACTCCATGGTGTCGGCGTACTCCTTTTCCGCTCCGGCTAGCTTGGCCTTTTTGGGTGCCACCACCTTGGCCACCTCATCGTACATGTCCATGGCGATGATCCATTGACACAGACCCTTGGCGGCACTCGACGCCTTGGCCACAACCTTGGGATCGAAGTCCTTGTTTGGTATAAACTCCTTACGTATGCGCTTCATGATGTCTGGCGGAATGTTGTCCTTGTCGAATTCTTTCAGAGCCGGCAGGAAGTTCATCTCACCCAACAGACGCTTACTAGGCCCCCAATAGTCCTGCACCATCTTTCCACTGGCAGGATCTGGGATGCGTTCTGCCGGAATCCCCTTGATCACGCAGACAGCGGCCATCACGAGCTTGATAACAGGTGGCGGATTCTTCATCGACTTAACTAGCGTTATGTCCGCTGGCTTCAAGGTGTTTAAGGCGCTTAGAGCGTCTTCCAGGACGGGTATGGCCTTGGCCAGATCCCGCTCGCAGTCGTGCTTCAGCACCTGTGCGGCCTCGGCCTGCACGGAGGCCACCTCCTCGTCGCGCTTCACCTGCTCGGCGGCGGCACTGGCAGCCAGCGTCTCCTTGTTGATTTCCAGCATCATTTTACGTGAGGCCTCCGCAAGGGCCACCAGTTTGGGCTGCAGGGCGTTGAGATCCCTTTGCATAATCGATATGGCAGCTGCTGCCTGTGCCAGCGTGTCCAAGCCGCCAATGTAACGCATCTTGGCAAGCATCGTCTCGCTCTGCTTGCGTTCAATAAGGGTTTGGAAGGAGCGGATCAGCTCGATGAAGGAGGCGTTGGTCTGGTAGATGTGGCGCCCAGACATCTGGCAGAAGGAACGCGTGACTCGCGCCGCCGTCGTATGGAAGTACTGGCAGGTGTCCATGATGGCCAGCTTGATGTCCTCGTTGGGCACGTTAACGTCGACCAGGGACATCTTGGCTATCATCTGCAATGCCTCCTCCGGCCAGCTGTCGTACCAGTCAATGGTGCAGCAATTCACCAGCGAGGGATACAAGCGCACCCGCGTCCTCAGAGCATCTCCGATGGGCGAGAAGCTGAGGACGATGTGCAGTTTCTGCTTGCAGCGTTCCACGAAGAAGGAGAAGACTTGCAGCGCCGAGACGTCGATGTTGCGGTTGCCCCCCTGGGCAGCCAGGCGCACCATCTCCAGCACCTCCTGCTTCTCGTCGATCGGAAAGATGTTGGGCACCTCGCCCTGATTGAGCAGGCAGTCGATGTCCTGCAGAAAGAGCTCCATCTTAATCTGATTTTCGGTGATAAGGAAGGTGGTGTGCTTGTTCATTCCGCCGGCCTCCTTAAGGATAGCCTTGATGTCGTCGTGCCATTCGTTGGCCCCATAATTCTTGGTGATCTCCGGCTGAAAGAACGACGTCTGGACCATATTGGTGGCCAGTTTGGTCAAGGATTGGCGTCCCGAACCGCCCAAGCCAATGAGCAAGGCACTGGCTCCCTGAATGGAAATAATACGGCATATGCGATTCAAATGCTGCAGGGCGAACGTGAATAGGGTGATATCCATCTTCGAGCGGCGCGTCGAGTTGTAGTCTGCCAGGCTCGCCAGTGCCAAGTTAAGAAAGACATCTGGGCTAGGTACCTCCTCGTAGCGCCGCTCATCCGGCACGCTGTCCTCGTCAAAGTACATACCGAAGAAGATACTGGTGGCCGCTTCCATTGTGAAGACCTGCTCGTCCTTGACCTGGAAAAGCAGCAAATGTTGTTAAATGTGAAGATTTAATTGCCAAGAGGTTAGTTGAACACACTCACCTGCACACAATAGCGCTCGAAGACAGTCTCCACCTTGTCTTTAAAACTGGATTTGAGGCACTCATTCAGCTTGTCAAACATCCATCTGCGGTCGGTGTCGTCCACGAGACGATCATAGAAGACCCGCATTGCCTCATGATACCAGACACGAACAAAGATCTTCTTGTCGGAAACGGACTCCTTCCGCACCAGCGTGCAGCCTGTCACCACGCGCGAGATATCACGCAGATTGAAGATGTAGTGGGACTTCGCGGGCGTTGCTCGGATCTCGGACTGCACGCTCTTGTAGATGCTCTGCGTGGCAGTCACTATCTGGTTGGTAACGACGAATACATCCTGACCGTGGCCAGATCGTCGGAAGCCATTTAGAGCCACATTAAGGAATATCCGGAACATGCTGTCATCGCTGAACGTGTTGATCGAGTAGACATTAAAGTGGTTCAGGAAGCGGGCGTAGACATCCTGGCGACTGCCGCCGGGGAGACCACAAGCGGCTATAATCAGCACGTTGTGGATGTAGACTTTGGAGCTGTCGCGAAGATCGTAGACGTGGCCGTAGTCAAAGAACTGGCGAAGTAGCTCCAGCGGAGGCTGGGCCCCGTATACCTCCTTTACCGGCATATTCATATCGTCCACGAAGAGCACACTCTGCATACCCTTGGGCGGACCGTAGATGCCACGCTTCCACTTCTGCAGCTTGGAGATGAGCAGCTCCTGGCACTGATTGGCCGAGATCATCACGGTAAAGGTGATGAAGCCCGTTTCGTACACCTCCTTGTCTAGCTTGTTCATCAGATAGTTCTGTATGTAGACTGTTTTTCCAGTTCCCGTGGGCCCCACCAACAGCATCCGCTTCTTATGCTCCACGTGCATCTTTAGTAAGTGGACGTAGCGTGCCGTGTCCACCGTTGGCACAATCACGCCCGTCTTTGTCTCCTCCACGTCCATTCGCTTGGCCAGATCGGGCCAATAACGCCATGCTCCGCGCTGCTTATACATGAACACATAGTCGACCAGCTGACCCTCGGAGGGCGGGGTTATCTCCATCTTGCCCAACGGATCTGGTAGCGGTGCGTCATCATTATCCCAAAGCTTAGGGTAATTAAAAAGTCAATAACAATTCTGGAAAATCTAAAAATATATTATATCTAAAATACCTTTCTCAAGAAGAGGTCGAACTTTTCCCTGGAAGCAGTGTCCAGCACTCCACCCACTCCCCAGACCAAAGCAAACAAGATGGCGGCCTGGAAGTAGCTCACCAAGTACTTCTGATAGTCCTCTGGGTTCTCCTCGATAGCCTCTGCGATCTGCATGTCGAAGAGATCGAAGGTGGTCAGCAAGCAATTGAACTCTCCGGGCTTGACAAACTGACTGCAAGTCCGCCGGATGAAGGTTTGGCACTGTAAGGAAGAGCCAATAACATGGTATAGCTTTAGAAGACCGAGTTACTGATCAATACTCACAGGCACCAGGAGCCAGGAAAGCAGTGCCAGCACATATTCCACGCCCTCCTCGTCCGCCCACCGGGGATCCGCCTTCTTAAGCCAGCTATTGGCGAAGGCCCGCCATCCGAGTGTGGAGGGCTCCATGTAAATCATGCCGCAACGGGACACGGTGGCCGGCGAGGCCTGCGACAGATCCATCACCTCGAACACCATCGACATCTCGTGAGTCATGGTTATCACTTCGCCGCTGGTCAGGCACAGCTTTTTATTATCGTCCAGCACAGTGTTCATGTTCTCGATCCACACAGCATCCACGGGGCCGTCAAAGATTACCTGAAAAGGTGGTAAATGTAGAGATTAAACGTAATCCTTATTAAAACCATGATACAGGACTTACCCACTTCCTGTCCGGTGTTGGCGTCATGGCAAAGTCGCGGAAAATCTTTGCCACCAGGCCGTCAGTCCACTCGTATGAGATAGGATCGAAGGAGCCATACAGCTGGTTCATGGTAATGGATTTGGGATTCATTATGCCCATCTGAACGTGCTGGAAGTAGCTGCTCTTATGCGGCGCCTTGATCTTTAGCGCTGACATGACCTTGGCGAGCACTTGCAGTGTTTTAGACTTGCCCGCCAGTGGCTCGCCCACCAGCATGAAACCATGTCGAACGATGATCATCTCGTAAGTCTGGATGACTTTGGTGAGGAAGCTAGTCGCCGGTTCCAGCACCTCCTCCGCGCAGACCCGTTTGAACTCCTCCTCCACCAGACTGTAGTCAATGTGCGGCAACTTGATGCCCGGAAAAATGTCCGAGATGATGCCCTCGAACAGCGGTACATCGAACGACAGGAACTTGGGCAGGTTAACGTCGATCAGACTGCGCAGCAGCAGAATGTCCTCGACCTCGTCAGGGAACTGCTTCTTTATGTTGCCGCAGGCGGAGAGCACCGTCTTCACGGCTCGCATGCCGTAATCGTAGTGGTTCTGGCTGGACAGCTGCTCCGAGCATAGCCGGTACGTGGTCACAATTTTCACTGCCAGCTTGCGGGCATCCACAAAGCCGTACGAATATAGCGAGATCTCTCCAATCATGGCGTAGTCCGGCACCATCATAGCCACCGAGCGGAAAAGCACCTTCAGATTGTCGGGAAGCTCCGAACGGCCCGCATAGCCGGGATTCATAGTGATGCAGACGTAGCAAGCGGGATTTAGGGTCAGCTCGGTACCCTCGAACATGAACTTGGCCACGTGGCCGCGCACCGCCTGGATAATGAGCAGAATCTGCTGAGCCACCACTGAGAGCACCTCCAGTTCGATACGATTGAACTCATCAAAGCAGGCCCAGGCGCCGCACGAGGCCAGTCCCTTGAAGAATTTGCCCATGGCCTTGTAATCCAGACCATCGGAGCAGTTGAACACCTTGCACTGCACGGCCAGTGCCTTGGCCAGATCCTTGGTGGTCTCCGTCTTGCCAGTTCCCGCTGGTCCCTCGGGAGCTCCGTTCAAGTGCAGCTGGTAGGCACCCACCAGGGTGCGGTAGCAGCGATCCGTCAGCGGTGTAATCACCAGGCGGTCCGAGTTTCCCAAATACTCGTTGGCGAACGGAACTGTGGCATTGATGATCCGCACCCAGGTCTTATCATCCTCCCAGTAGTACCGCATCTGGGCCAGCCACTGGAAATCGAACTCGCTGCTGATCTTCAGCCGGATCAGCTCCTCCGTCACGTCCTTGGCGTGCACATCGATCACAATCAGCGACTTGATTGTGATTCTGTTGAGGTTGCTGATCTTCGGTGACCGGACCAGGGTCACAACGTCGGTCAGCTCCTTAGCCAACTCTTGGAAGAAGTTCTGCATGACGATCTGGTTTCCGCCAACGGTGCGACGCAGGCAGCTATGGACACGAGAGGCCCAGTATACCTGGGAGATAGCCAGAACTGTCATCTGGGGCCACTCCAGCACCCACTCGTGCCGCTTCACCTTCGGGTAGTGGGCGAAGGAGAGCTCATTCTGGTAGCGCACCGCCTTTAGCATCTCGTCCTCCACGCCGATGAGCCACTTCTCCACACTGCCGCCGGCTGCCGCCGTTGAGACTTGGTCTATGAAGTCAATCGACTCCTTGTCGCTGCTCAACATGGCCAGCACATTCTTGGCCGAATCGAATTGCAGGCTGCTAATTCCCTCAAAGCACTTGCTTAGATGCGGCAGTACACGTAACGGATCCTTCGTTTCAGAGAGGATTTCCAACATCTCGTCGTTGGCCAGGAAGAAGAATCGCGGGAAGTAGAGGCGCTTCTTCTCCAGATAGTTGCTCACGCCAGTGGCTATGTCCTCCAGTAGCTCGTTGGCCTTTTGCAGGGACTCGAGCAGTCCGGCAACAGGTGCCGTTTCCATCACCAACGGCTGGCGAAGCACCAGGCCCATGTTCCGGGTGTACGTCTGCTCCACGATGGTGAAGAGCCGACCCTCCTCGGGCATCTGGGCCACGATGTCTTTCGAAGAGAAGATAGGCAGCAGATACAGGTAGTTGGCCTGCACCTTGCCCCACTGGTCCAGTGTTTCATTAACGCGCATGATCTTCTCATACCACGCACGCACTTCCTCCTCGCACGGTTTCATAAAGGCGGAGCCACGCATGGCCAGCGTTTTGAGGATATGGTCGTCCAGCAGGGCCTGGATGTCGTCCAGGCTGCTCAGAATCTGCACGCCCGTCTCCTTGTATGGGCCATAGGGGAAAGCTCTGGTCTCCCACTCTTTGATCATGGCTTGTAGCGCGTTCCACAGCTGCAGCTCTTTGTTGGCCCCAATGCTAATGATCTCGAACTGGTCTAGGATTGGGTCCAGGCCCGAGTTGAGGATCTTGCGCAGCGTGGTGCCTGCATCAGGGGTAACGTCAAAGCCAGCTATATCAGACATTTCCTTCCAGTGGCGCTTCCTCAGCGCTGGATTGCACATGGTATTCACGATGAAGACTCCGGTGGTGAAGTCCTTGATAGACTGGATCATCGAAGTACAGAGCCGCAGCGGCACCGGATGCTTGGCTGGATCGGGATCTTCCGTTTGACCCTGCGCGAGTGGAAAGTATTATCATCCCATGATGACTTCGCTGTGTGCATTTGTAGCTCACCTTGAACTTGCACACGGGATTGTCGATGAGATCCTGCTTTATCTTGACCCTGTAGTACTTCTGATTCTTCTGGAACTCCTTTAGGTAGTTGTCCGTGGTGGTCTCCACAAACTGCGGCTCTAGGTACTCGAAGGGTCCGTCGTTCCACACGTTCAAATATCGCTGCCAATCAATGCAGCACCTAGGAATAGGAATAGTAGGGAAACTATCTCTCTAAGGGCTCGCATACTCACTTCATGAGCTCGGCGAATGGATACACGAACGTCTTGATGACCTCCAGCGTGGGATACATGGTTTGAGCAATCTTGAAGAGCTTCTCCTCCTTGTTGATCCATGCCACATAGTCGTCAAAGGTTTTCAGCTGATCGATAAAGTTCTGAAGGATTATGTAGCTGTCACGGAATTTGTCCGGCCGACTCATGTCGTCAATGACCGCCATCTTGGGCAGCAGCTCCTCGATGTCGGTGTTCAGCTTCTTGATGACCTCCTGAAGATGCTCCTCAAAGGTAAATTTATACTGCTCCTGCTGCGATGCATTATAATCGCAGATATCGTTGATGTCCTTGATCCAATTGATCGTCTTGATGGTCAGATCGAAGTGGTACTTCGACATCTCGGTCAGCTCGACAATGTTGGTGCCCACCTGCAGGCAGTACTGAATGCGGTCGGTCAGTTCGGCAATCTTGTCCTTCTTCACATGGATCATGTAGTCCGCACTCTCGAGCAACTCCTCCGTCGACTTGGGTATCTCTAGCGCCCGGTACTTAATCTTCTCGAACTCGTCACAGATCTCCACCTCGGCTTTAATGTGCTCCTGTATGATGATCGTGGTAATCTCTGTGATCAGGTTCTCGGCCAGGGTGCGTAGACCAATTATGGCTGGCTCGTTGTGGATGACGGCCATGACAAAGTACTCGGTCCCTGGTTCGCTACGCAGCATATTGATGAACTCGTAGTACTTGTCGATCCGGGCAAAATACTCCTCGAACTCATGCGGCTCGGCCAGGAATTGGTTGAGGGCGTCGCGCTCCTGCCACGAATATAGCTCGTAGTACTTACTGCGGAAGTCCTCGATATACTTGTTTACCTCCGCATATGTGTTCATGATTATGTCCTGGACCTGAGAATTGGGAATTGGATTTATAGCTAAGCTCTTTACGATCTAAATTTAAGATTTTAATAGAAAACCTTCAAAATACACCCACCTTATTGATAACATCCTTGAGATAGTTCTCGTTCATCTCAATCTTGAGGTAATCGTTCACCTTGGCGTACATGGCCATCGAAGTCAATGTCTGCACCTGAGGCTGCAGCGGCTCCATCCTGTATCCCACCATTGAGATCTCAGTAGCAATTTCGGCAAAGGTACGCATGACGCTCCACACATTGGGTCGAATGTCCAGATCGCCCGAGAACTCGGACCACTCCAAGGACATGCGCAGCATGGGCATGGTGCGCGGATGGCTACACATGCGGTACATCTCCTCGAAGGTGCGAATTTTCATGTTGGTCATCTCGCGATTCATCAGGCCCTCCATGGCGTCCCAGGCCCGCTTCCAGGTGCTCATTGGCATTACGCGCTTGCGCAACAGCTTGCGCAACACGGCGACGATCTTGGGATACCAGACCCAACGCATGAAGGTGTTCACCTTGTCCAACTGGTTCTGGATATACTTGCGATAAAACTTGTGGGCGAGCGCCTCTCGGCCGCCCAGACCCAACTGCTGCTGCATGGCGCCCGTGGCCAGCACGTAGTTGAAGATGCAGGCCAAGTTAGGCAGCTCACCGACGGACAGGTTAAGGATGGCCCGAAGCGGTAGCTGCAGGATGAGCAGCTTCTGCGCGATACGCCGACGGTTCTCCAGAAAGTTGCTGTAGTTTTGCGTACGCCCAGGTCGCCGTGTATTGACGTCGGCACGCGGCAGCTCGAACTGGGAGGGATCCTCGTCGGGGAACTCCGGGTGGCGTAGGATGTTCTTCATGCTGTAGACTTTCATCAAACGATTGAACTCCGCGTGAACATCCTTCATGTAGGCCTTCACCAGCTCCGGATACTTGTTCTTGAGCCTCTCCGAAGCGAAGCTGAGAATCTTGGCTTCTGTACGCTTCAGCATCGGCGGCACCACAATCTTTCGCACCTCGCGTCGCAAATTGTCCTCATAGTGGGACTGCGGTAGGAGGCGCATATCCGGTTCTGGCTGCCAGTGCTGTCGTGCCACACGCACCTTTACATCCGCCGCCTTCTGCTTGAGGAACTGGAAGTGGCGCCGCTCGTGCACCTCGCTTATGCGGAACTTCAGCAGGGGGTTCTTCATGTAGGGCTCGTTGTCATACTTGGTGATGTCCGACGCCGGGCGGTGCATCCGCTCCAGCTTGCGGCTGTACATGGTGGAGCCTCCTCACTGGAGTCGGTCGTTTGTTATTTTCCGAATTTCCAATTTCCTTTTGGTTGCCTTGTGGTTGTTGCTAAGGCAACTTGTTGTGTTTTGTTGAGTTTGTTTGTTTTTTGTTTTTTTTTTTTCTGTGGTAGAGATATCCTGGGGGTTCGATGACCTGGAAACTGCTACTTGCTGGATTGATGTGAAAGTTCATGCTTATTTATTGATCGATAGCGTTCACCAATTCGATTGAAAATGACATTACAGATTAACAGAGATTAACAACGGTTTAGCAACAATATATAATAATAATAATTGCAATAATAGTTACAATAATAATAACATATCGTCTCGGCCGAATATACAATATTCTAAAACACCCGAAATGTTTGTCAAAAAAACAGCCTTAAGTTTATTTCCTATAACATATGAGAAGGGATCGGGACTCTAGGGTTTGTTTTGCTGGAGGCGGGTGCGTGCGTATATACCATGGAGCGTAAAGCGCATTACAGACAGTTCAAAAAGTTGTACGTATAGATAATTACAAAAAACATAGATGAGCGGCCACTCCTGCCTCACAATGTATATAGTAGTATATAGATTCGTATCAAAGAAATTGCGCGTGTGTTTGATTTGACAATATTGCCATTGGTTTCTCGTCGTTCCTTCGGTTTAAAATCAGCGAGAACCTTAAGGACACAATATGAAAGCGGATCTTAAAACAAGTGTTTAAATCAGAGCTCGCAAGGTTGGTTTTCGTTTCAATCAAATTCGAAACTCAAAGTCCACGCTCCATTTTCAAAATGTTAGGCATTTTGTCTTTTAAACAAAGACGCAACACCGACCGTTAGACTCTTTTAAGTTGTCTGTTCGGTCGCTGTCTGAGAATTGAAATAATTAAAACGGTTGAACGCTTACCAACTCTGGTTTAAAATCAGCGAGAATCCAGGGATAAAACGTGTAAGCGAATCTAAAAAGATCGTGTGTTGACTGAAGCTGAATAACAATAGTAAATTCCTCGATACTGTTGCCCGGAACTGGCCCGAGTAGGTAAATATGCATATTAAACAGTACATAGCCTTGGGGGCAACAGTTGGTAAGTGATTGACTCTAGTTCGCCGCGGTGACGGTTGGGATTCATTGGTCCTCTTCCTCCACTCGCTACCTCTCGAACTGCAGCACATAGTCCTTGAGCTGACCCGGCAGGTTCAGCCGATTGATGTTCTGGGCCACCTTGCGATTCATCGCTTCGTATATGGTCCAGCGGGAGAGCTCCTTTAAACTGCGTGGCCGTCGGTAGAGGGACGAGATCAGGGCTATCAGTTGCTCTGTCTTCTTGCTGGGCACTTGGGCCACGTAAAAATTGTGCAGAGATTTCAGGCAATTAAAGAGTGGCTCGTGTTCCATGGTAAGGTAGAAGAGATGAATGACGCGCGTGTATATCGCAAGCGGGTCCGCCAGAATGAACTCCTTCTTAGTGATCAAAATGATGTAATAGAACAGCAGGTAGCACGAGTTGGTGCGAAACGAGCTGCGGAATGTGGCCAGCTCGCTGGAGAAGATGGCAATACCCGGCGTCGTCTTACCGCTCAGAACGATGTTGGGATCGGCCCCATACTGGATAAGCGTCAGCGTTAGTTCGTAGACGCACTCCATGTCGTGACAGGTGCGCACATTCTGCACCATATCCATCACCGCCTGCAGAATGTGCTGATATGTCTTGTTGCAGTCCAGGCCGTGCTGCAGCAGCAGCAGCAGTATGTTCTTTATGAAGTCGAAGTTGGTGCGCTTCTGAGCGTCGCAGTTAAGCGTAAAGTTTTCGCTTACTGTAAACACAAGCACGTGCAGCGGTTTTAGGTTGGCGCGGTAGGAGCAATTGGGATTGGCTCCATGCTGCAGCAGCATGCGAATGCAATTAAGATAGCAAACCTTCATGGAGTGCGTAAAGTGATGCAGGTGATCCTTATTGATGAGCGGCACTAGCAGCACCATTATGGGTACGGATCCATCCCGGCCCACGATGTTGGGATCGCCTACAGCAAGAACAAGTTCGATTAATTATAAGCATTAAATTAGTTTTGGATCCCTACTGCTTACCATCCTCCTTTATGAGCATGTTCAGCAACTCGTAGCAGACCTCCCAGTCACGCAGATGGCGAAACACGCAGGCCATGGCACTGTTCCCAGCCTGATTGATCGACTGTTTGGCTCCGTTTTGGAGCAGAAATCGCACCAGGTGCAGCACGTCCCATTTGCTCCACTTGTCGTAGCCGTAGCGGGCCTCCTCCAGAGCATAACGTACGATCAAAGCATGCAGAGGGGTGTTGCCCAGCGAATCGGGTGCATTGATAAGCTCCTTGCAGCCACGCTCCAGCAGAATGCGAAGGGTGGCTAACGTGTCCTCTGCCGATTTGCGAGCGGCAAAGATAACTAAAGATGATTTATTATGAGTTAAAAGTTTCTGTTTGCTGCTTCATTCGAGTAGACACTTACCCACATGCAGCAGGGTCATCTGTTGGGTGCAGGTCCGCACCGTGGTGACAGCGCCCTGATGGATGAGCAGCTCAAGGAAGCGGCCGTCGTGCAACACGGCATGGTGAATTGGATAATACTCGTCCATAATGAGATTGATCTCCTCGGACCGCGTGACGACCAACTGCTGGACGCAGTTCCAAGCACCGCGCTCGCAGGCTAGGTGCAGCAAGGGCTTCTTCACCCGAAAGGGAATCCAAGGCTCCTCCATCTTCTGGGTAAGCAGGCTGAGCACATTGTACTGATCGCCGTCGATGGCGTAGTACAGGGCGTTCTGGAGCTTCGTGTTCAGCCGCTCACTGACATCGTCCACGTTGTTGTGCCACTTGCCGCTCTCCTCGCAGTTGCGGGTGTGAGCTCCTGGAAAGCACATCCGCGTGTCCACGTCAATGCGGGCTCCGTGGCGGAGAAGCAGTTCCACGCACTCCTCGTAGCCGCGCAAGGTAGCTATGTGCAGCGGCAGAGAGCAGGGCGACCGGTTCACATCTGGCCGGTGGCGGTGCAGGAGCCACTTGGTGAGATCTATATGATTGAGACCAACGCTGCGCTGCAGGATGTTGTAGCCATAGTCGTCGTGCATGGCCAGGATGTTCTCGTTCTTGGGTATCTGGATGAGCAGGCTCTCGAGCGTCTGCATCGACACCTTTGGGTTGGCGCGCAGAATGTCGAACAGCGTCTGGATGGTCTCCTCAGTGGCCTTCGACAGTTTGCCATCGCGATGCGAGAGAAGCGCCGATCCCGAGCGGAATACCTGACTTACGGAGCCGCCCATGGCACCGCTGGCAGCTATGTTCCACTTCCGGTTAACACCCTTATGGCATGCTAGTCCCTTCTGCGACGCAGTTTCAAGGGAGATTGGGTATGCAGCAAAATGCGTATCAGTCGGAGAAACCGTAAAATCAATAAGAGCCCTGGAAACACTCGCCCGAATCAGCACTGGATGACGACTGGCAGGCGACAGGCTGATCCGGTGGTGCTTGTCGCAGAGTCCCACATCTCCTTAGTGCGTTCACACACTAAATGCATCGCCTGCGCACATTTAATTTACAATTTTTCCACAATCACAAACACTTTTTCGCTGTTCACTGCCAACTCGCTTCTTCTTCTTCCCGATATGTGATAACAGCTGTATTGGGGTGTGGAATTATCGAATATCGATAGTCACGTACTGGGTACAGTGAGCCCTAAATAGATAAGCTCTATAAATAACATCTTGTTCTTAACACAATAATCTTGACAAGTACCCTAGTTGCATTGTTATTTACCATAAATATATTAGCTTTTTTTCTTTAATATTACTTGCAGTAAATTTTTTCCGAACAAGTTGATAGAATCAAACAAACCATTTTATTATGAAATCTACCCACGGTGTGTCGTACCAGGTGTTTACTGCAGTTGTTTGGCGCCTTTAAAAGTGGTAGCGTCTTGAAAGATTCCCGAGTTCCCAAGAAGAGATATCACTGGAATCATGGCCCACCGCCTGGAGAGCAAGTACGAGAATCTAAGCAGCCACTACCGGCTTAAGGGTCACGACTACCAGAAACAGTTTTGCCACTTGTACGCCCACCGCCTGGCCGAGATGACTCGCCTTCTCACGCCGTTGGCCCAGAAGAAGTGGGGAGAGCAGGAGCCCATTAAGAAGCTGTGCGAGCTGCGAGGCGAACAGGACATTCACTGCATCCTCATTGGCACCATCTACAAACACCAGGCGCACAAGCCCAGCATCTTGAGGGACATATCCGAGGAGAACCAGCTTGCGCCGCAGCCGCCGCGGCAGAACTACTCTGAGCCCGAAGACAAGGTGGTGCTGGAAGACGAGTTACAGCGGGTGCGTCTCCAGGGAGAGTTTAAGGGCCAGCTTATGGCCACTGGCGTTGTGTGCGCCGTCCTCGGTGGAACCGACAGCGAAGGCTTCTTTAACGTCGAGGACATTCTATTCTATGAAGGTGGACCTCAGAAACCGCTTGCAACTGCAAAACATTGTCGACTGCTTGTGCTGGTCTCCGGATTGGATCAGCTGCAATCCCATACCTTTGCGGATGCCCTGAACCTCTTCCAGTACTGGCTGGCCGGAAGTCTGGGGAATGGAAAAGAAGCCAGCTCTATGGTGCGACTTGTTGTGGCAGGAAACTCGGTACGAGCCAGTGCCATGGCCCATGTGCCCACGCTGCAGGTGGCTCGCACCCAGGCCAATGCTAATGACACTGTCCAGGCCGTCGCTCAGCTGGACCAGTGGTTTGCCTCGTGGGCACGTAGCCTGCCTGTGGACATCATGCCGGGAGCCTACGACCCGGCCAACTTCATGCTGCCGCAGCAGCCGTTCCACAAGTGCATGTTTCCGCAGGCCGGCCAACTAAACTCCTTTCATGCGGTTACTAATCCGTACAACTGCCGCCTGGATGAGACTATGGTAGTTGGAACCTCGGGCCAGAATGTATCCGATTTGCTGCGAAGCACTTCGTTGGATTCCGCTCTAGAAGCCCTGCGCTGCACCCTCATCTGGGGCCATGTAGCGCCCACTGCGCCGGATACCCTCGCCTGCTACCCGTACATCGACAGCGACCCGTTCATCCTCCGTGAGTGTCCGCATGTGTACTTTGCCGGCAACTGTGAGTCCTTTGAGACGGCACTGCACGAGGGCGCCGACGGCAAGCGCACGCGCCTGGTGTGCGTGCCCAGCTTCAGCCGGACACAGAGCGTGGCCGTGGTCGATTTGGACACCTTGGACTGTCGCCAGGTCAACTTTAACGTGGATGCAGAATGAGAGCCACAATTAAGATACATCTAAAGAAACTAAATATATGCCTGTTAAGTCTGAGAGTCTCTGGTTTTATTCGTTATCCTATTCAGTGCACCACAGGTCCCAGCGGTTCGCCCCGGATGTTGGCCAGATCCAGGCGGGAGTCGATGGTCTCGTCTATCAGTCCAATCACCGCGATGTTGTCGCCGCGAATGATGTGCAGCCCAAGGACGATCTGTTCGATCCCGGACGTCGTGGAGAAGACGCGCTCATGGCACTCGTCGATGATGATGTTTATGGTCTGGTCGAAACCCTTTAGCGTCCCGATGAAGTTCCGTCCGTCCGCCGTGATGATGGACACTGTGTGGTTGATGTACGACTCCAAACCGGACATTGTGGCGCAGCCTTTCAGAAATAATTCGCCGGGAAATACAAATTGAGAAAAGTCTGCGACGCGCTGCCCTCCGATAACGATAGCTACTCCGATAGACGCTATGGTTTGCTATCGCGAACAGCTGTTCCTTCCGGTGCTCATGTAACGGTGCTGGTTTTCTTATTTTATTTTACTTAAAAATTGTATTAAAACCCAAAGAATGCTGCGTCGGTTTGTGCAAGTGGGTGCCCGGGAACTACGACGGACACAGTCCACTGCTGCTGCTCCCGAAAAATGGGACCTTTACGCCGGCGTGCTCGTTGAGCGGCTGCCCGTGGTCTCGAAGAGCCTCAATCCTCTGGAGAAGCAGTTCCAGGACATGCTGTGGCGCGTGGAGTACGAGAACAGTCTAAAGTCCGACCACGAGCTGAAGCACGAGCGGGAGATCGTCCAGGCGGAGTTGATTAAGAAGGGCAAGGTGCAGGTGGACCTCGAGGACAGCGGGGCGAAGCAAACGGCGCAAGATTTGAAGGATGCCTACGTCGAGGAGCTAAAGAAGTTCCAGTTGGGCTCACGCACTACGCCCGATGACCAGGCGAACAAGACCAGTTCCACGGACCGCTGTCTAGAGCATACGCTTTATCTGCTTGTCCAGCAGAAGCTTGGCCAGCAGGAGCACTTGCTCCTGCCCCAGGGAAAGCGTCAGGAGGGCGAAACCATGCGCCAGACGGCGGAGCGCGTCCTCCGGGAACAGTGTGGTCAGGATCTGCAGGTGCTCTTCTACGGCAATGCCCCTGTGGGCTTCCACAAGTACAAGTACCCTGTCAATCAGCGTACGGAGAGCATCGGAGCCAAGGTCTTCTTCTACCGGGCTTCACTGCGATCTGGACAGGTGGCGGCGGAGAACCACCAGGCCAAGTTCGAGTGGCTGCCCAAGGAGGCCCTCAATGGAAAGCTGTCGAATGCTGCCTATGCGGATAGCGTTAACAAGTTCTTGCTATAATCGTGATTATTAATTGTTTTGATACCTAGCGAATATTTGAATGATACCAGATCGTTAACTTACACAAATAAATATGTATAAATGTATTAATATTTTGGTATTCGTTAATTACTATACTCCATATCAGCCCTTCAAGCTCGACACAAAACAATCTTCAATAACATTTGTAGACATGCAGCAATATTTATTTTTGCAAATTCATCGATTGTAAATATACGGTCAATACAGAGGCAAATATTTATTGTTTTCTTTTTCTTACTAATATTTTTTGTTGCTTTTATGAAAAAGTTTACTACTTTCGTTTCTAAAACATGTAGAAACTAAAGAAAACACAAGACTGAATGGTGGATATTTTGTAATTTCGTGAGTAAGCAGCAATAGTATCTTAAATTTCTTGATATTTCAATTATATTTCGGTGCTCAAGTTACAAGGTTACACGAACATTCAATATGGAAACTTTGTTTGAGTTTTTGCTCGATTATACTGGAAGCTAAGCTTTATATTTTCGCTCTTTGCAGGCGTTGATTATATCCTCGATTAAATACTTTTTCCGGCGACGACCTGAAGCAAAAACTGAAATTTAAGATACTTTCTTCTCGGGGCTATGTGTAGAGTAAATAAATGCAAAAAACTACAAATGATTTATAGTCATTTTGATAAATATGTATTGCAATGTGCGGTGCTATTGTTTGATTTTAGGTTCATTGTGGCATAGGTTCTTAAATAAGCAATAAACTGTTTTGACTTAGAGACTAAATTATCGAAAATAATCATGTAAATATATATTTTTTTGTTTGTTTTAGAAATAGATTTAGATTGTAAGACATATGCTCAGGCGCCACTGAACAAGACCAGACGGCAGGCAGGCTGGTTCTCTAATTCTGGAATAGCGTTCGCGTAAAGTCGATGTAGTCCAGGGCATCCTTGATGGGCTGGCCTGATCGCGGTTCCTGGAAGGGTTTCATACGCTGCACACAATAATCCGCCATGTCTTTGGTGAGGTTCTGCAATGGAAAAGCCAACTGGTTCACGAGAGATTCTATTTGCAAGTTAATGGTTAGTCTTACGCAGTAGAGCTCCTCCTTGGTGACGTAGGGGCGGTCGGCGGCAGTGATGGCGCGGAAGGCATTCTCGATTTCCTCGTAGGATTGCACGTTTTCCGTCTCCTTGGAGATCATGAACGCAATGTATTCCTGCAGGGAGACATAGCCGTCGCGGGTATTGTCCACCACATCGAGTATGGCCTCGAACTCTGGATCGGGCTGGCCCTCCTCAACCATGGGCAGATCGTAGCCGAGAGCGCGCAGACAGGATTTGAACTCCTGGTGGTTGAGCTTGCCGCTCTTGTCCTTGTCGAAGTGCTTGAACATCATCGAGAACTCCTTGAGCGAGTCCTCGGAGACGCCCGAGTGGTTGCGTGCCTGGATTTGCTGCTCCAAATTGTGCTGCATGCGCATGGAAAGCTGATCTAGCTGATCCCACTGCTGGGCCAAGCCCACCGTCGAGTGTTCCGTGTAGCGATTGTCCAGGATCAGATGTTCCTCTAGAAGGGCGCCCAGCTCCTCGATCTTCTTCAGATCGACACGACGGGCGCGCACCTCGGTGGCCTTGACGCGAAGCGCCTCCAGTTGCTGTTCGAGGGAACCGGAGCCTTCCATCATGGACGTTCTGCGGGTTGACAGTTGGTTGGTTGGTTTGGTAAGACAAAATAAGCAGTCGTTAGTATAGGGCACACAATATTAAATCAAGGTTAGGTTTCAAAACAAATCGGAACGTTACAATGATTATAATGCATAAGAAAAGCAAATCTGGTTAGAGGTCTGTTACGGGGCAGCGAATATATTTTCTGGTTTTGCGGGCTCACAACTAGCTTGTCTTCCCATTGGTTTCGTGGCTTGTATATATTTACAGGTGTTTGTGGGAATTTGGGGCACGATCGTTCGTGCCGGGATTAGTGTTGAGTCAAGTTTGGTTAAGGTTTTTCTTTGAGTTCAGCAACTAATAAAGACAAGTTGTCTAATTGCTAGGAAGCGAGTTAAAAATAAGAATAAGGCACCTAAAAACATTAAAATTAGGGATGTTCATATATCATATTTATAGCAACGTTAAATATTTATTTCTATATCGGCGTTGAATGTCAAATATTAATACAACACGATATATCGACATCCCTAGTTTAAATTGCATTTTTGGCAAAGAAAAGCTAATACATTTTTGGTAAACGCTTCAATAATACTGAAATTAAAAACGATAAGAGAAAGTAATTTGAGTTGCTCGATTTCTACATTTTTTTTCTGTATGCTACATTTTGCTCTCGATTTTTGCATGCTAAAGAGTTTTAGAGTTTTGATGTGAGACCAAAAGTATAATGGAGAATCGGAACAGCACGTCACGGCACTCCGATTGGGTGCATCGGCGGTGCTCTCGCTAATGCAACTAACTTAAACTAAGCCTTAGGTCGTTGCACGATCTTGGTCGGCGTCAATATATACGAATATGTACAAGCGATCGCTCAGCACGAATCGCAAAAGCAAGAGTTATAGAGTTAGTGGAGCTCCAACACGCGTTAGGGAACCAAAAAGAGATCACACAACAGAAAATGGTAGTTGAAACGCAGTTGAATTGAGACAGGAGTCGGGAGTCGGGACCCTAGGGACCCGGACCCTGCCTGCCCCTGCTCGCTTAATTACCCTTGACGGTTATAACCCAGCATATAATATCTAGAAAATAGAATACATTCTTTCAGTTACGTATTTGAATGGGGGACGAGGACAAGAGATAGATAGAGTCGAGGCCACAAGAGTTTTCGGAATTGTGTGGATTGGGATATGGATGGTGCATCATGGATTCGATCCCACACAAAACAATAAAAATAAAGAACCAACACACACTTCTGGATCAAGTAAATCCCCGGCCAAGTCGGGAGACCATTACTCACCTAGTCTCTGTCAGCCACTGGTGGAAGAGATTGGCATGCTTGGCAAATTCCTTGCGTAGCTTGTCGTTCTCCTCCTGGCGCTTAGCCTCCTTGGCAAGTTCCCCATCGCGTTCCTCTATGATCTTTTGCAGGTTACGCCAGGTCTCCTCAAGAGCTTCCATGGTGAACCACGTGTAGGGGTTGGGTCCAACATTAAAGCTCTTGATCTTCTGGTCGAGTGCTGCCAATGCCTTGAAGTCAGCTTCGGCCGACGACAGTGACGCCTGGAATTGGGCGTGGGCGTCGCGCAGGGCGCGGATTTCTTCGATCGAATTGCAGCGAACAGGATCGGTCAGATCCTCCTCGGCATTTTCGAACCAAGAATTGAAGGCCGAAGCTTTCTTGGCAAATGTCAAGTAGAGTTCCTCGATCTGGCGGAACTGCTCCTGCATGGCCAGCAGTCGCTGCTTGCGCGTATCGGAGGCGTCGCGTAGCTTCTGCCACCTGGCAATAACGTCTCCGTGACGCTTCAGAATTGCCGGCGACTGAGCGTGGCTGGCGTTAATGAGTTGGTCCTTCAGTGCCGTAATGTTGTGGATGCCCTCCTGCTCGAAGGCATTGAGACCTGCGGGTAATGAAAAGTACTCAGTATATTATTTTTTAATTATAAATCCCCGGTTATCTTTACCTGCATCGAATGTCTCCTGCTTGGTCAACAGCGTCTGCACGGTGGACAGGTCGCGTCCGTACTCATCAGAGCGCACATAGTTCTCCTTGTCGTCGATCCAGCTTTCAACCACATCGGCCTTCCACATGAACTGCAGATAAGCCGAGTTGTCCAACAGAGCGCCCTTGCGGCGAGCGGCCAGAGCCGACAGGTTGTCCAGCTTGTGGCGCAGCTGCTGGCAGCGCTGAGCAATGGAGTCACCGTGGTGGTTCTTGGCCTCCACCAACTCGCTGCCCTGATCGCAGATCAGCGAGCAACGATCCTTGTGGGCGGTGAAGTCCGTCTCGAAGGCGTCGTGCTTCTTTAGCAGACCCTGAACCGCGGCCATCGAATCACCATAATCCTCGACGGACAGTAGCTGCTGCTTCTCGGTGATCCAGGCCTCCTCTTCCTCAACCTGGGCGAGGAACTGCTGGTAGGTCAGTGACTCATCCAGCTTTTGACCACGCGTAGCAGCTAAGTTCTTCAGCTCGGCCCAGGCCTGGTTCAATGCCTTCAAGCGCTGTTCGATCTCGGGCACGCCCAGATTGGAGACGTCCATCAGCTTCTCGCCAGCCTCTTGCACGGCCTGGATGGCCGGTTCGTGGGAGCCCAGTTCAGCCTCCAAACGCTTGTGCTTCTTCTTGAGGTTCTGGACGCCAGTTAGATCGCGACCGTAGTCGTCAGAGCCAACCAGCAGCTTCTTCTCCTTGATCCAGCTCTCCTCATCGGCGATGTCGCGGAAGAACTGGTGCAGGGTCAAGGCCTCATTGAGACGCGCCTGACGATGGGCCGCCAAGTTGCAGATGCGCTCGTAGCGCTCGTTGATGCTCTGGCGCTTCTCCTGGATGCCGGCAGTATCGAACTGGCCGCTCTCCACCAAGGAATCGGCCTGGTTGTTCATGTCCTTGATGCGGTCTTCGTGCGCCACGATATCCGCCTCGACCAACTGATGCTTCTTCATGAGGTTTTGGACTGAGGCCAAATCCTTACCAGAATCCTCAGTGGTCAAAAGACTCTCGACCTCGCCCAACCAGAAGTCCAAATCCTTGACAGCAGCGATATAGGTGCGCTGCTTATTGGCCTCCTTGAGCTTCAACGACTTCTCGGTGGTCTTGTGCGTCAGATATTCCCATTGATCAGCGATCTGGGTCAGCCGCTTCTGCACTGCGTCCTCCGATCCGCTGCACTGCTTCTTGTCGATCAGATTGCCACCCATAGCCAGCACACTCTGGATGCGATCGGCGTTGGCCGCCAGCTCCGCCTCAAAGGCCTGGTGTTTCTGGTGCTTCGACTGGATGTTGGCCGGATCCTTGTAGCTCTCCTCGGTAGCCAGCTGCAGCTTCTCAGCGATCCAGTTCTCGATCTCATCGGCATCGCGTGAGAACTGCTGCAGAGTCTGCTCGTCGCCCAGCCTTGAGCGCTTTTCAATCAGACCCTCCTTGAGGTGGCGCCAGCGCTCCAGTACCTGCTTGCGCTTCTCGTCCACCAGGTTGGAGGCATAATGGTTCTGTGCGATTAACTGGTCCGCCACCGTCTGAAGGGCAGCAATCTTCTGCTCATGACCGTTGATAGCCTTGTCGAAGTCCTCGTGCTTCTTGATCAGCGCCTCCACATTGCCTCCAGCATTGGCATCGTCGTCCGCATTGAGGAAAGCCTCGCGGGCCGACATCCACGACTCGGCCAACTCACAGTCACGCATGTACAGCTGCAGATCCAAATTCTGCTCCAGCTGCAGACGGCGCTCTGTCCAGGCCTTCTCCAAATCTTCGCGTGCCTTTGCCAAATCCTCGATCTTCTCCTTGATTTCGGGCGAGGCATAATGGTTCGCCTGCAGTAGCTCGTTGCCGAACTGCTCGAAGGCCCCGAAGGTGCCAGCACGAGCATCGATCTCGGTGCGATGTTCCTAAGAAAAGATGTGGATTAAAAATGGATTAGTTTTGAACATTTTAAGACTAAGGAAACGGTAACACCGGGTTAGAACAACATGGCTTGGCCGCTGAGGAACGATTGCTGCAGCTTCGAATTAGTCAAAAGTAACAACGAAGTTAAACAAAACAGTGTTCGATGGATAGTAAAATAATTGAGATGTGAAGAGAATGAATGGATGGGTGTTATACAGAGAGCTGTTAAGTTGTGTTTATTTTAACACAGTGATATACCCCTGCTCTTTGAGGGTTATCAAGTTTTTAAACTTGGGTATAAATATGGATAAGTATTAGAAGTTCCGAAAGAAATAGTCCGATATGATATATCGTCCAAAAATAGAGCTTGGTATGAAGTGGTATTTATCAATAAAGGTTATCTGTATAATCCTATCTAATGTTGTGAAATCCAAGTGTGAGGGTTATATGCGGATGATTGCCCGATATGTGTAAGCTATGTTTTTTATTAGATAAGATAACAAGAAACAGCTTGGAGTTACTCAAATAACGAGAACATGTGCGTCTATGCAATAAGGAAGCCAAAGCTATAAACATATAATATGTACACACTGATTGATATAAAGATAAAGAAGGAATTTCAAGTGTTGCCGAGGAAATACACTTTGAAAATGGGGTTTTAGGATGATTATAGTATACAAGTATGTTTGGATCAGAAAAGCGCGAACACACATACATAAAACACAACGATCTTGGCTTGGGATGATGGTGGATTAGCGAAGGATATACCTCGTCGCCGGATGGAGATGCGATGCTGCTGCTCGAGGAGGCGGTGGCTCCTGGAGCCGAGCTGCTGCCCAGTGTAAATTCAATCTCAGCACGATGTGCCTGCGATCGGAATTGAGTTGTTTTATATATTTTGTTGGGAGTTTGGAATGCAGAAACAAAACCATGAGGGGATTTTTGGATGTTGTTGTCATGAACCATGATGAACCATTGTAGTTGGCGTTGTTGTTGATTGTTTGTTGTTCGTTTATGACATGACACGAACCAAATAAAGAAACGAAAACCAAAGAGAAACAAGATATAGTTGAAAGGGTTCATAAATAAGGATAAAACGGGACTGCAGAAGGGAATAGAAGACTTAAATAGGATTTATTATCCCTTTTTTCAGGTCTGCTTGGGTTATATCTGAAGATATAATCAAAATAAACCTCAAGCAGGCCTGGCGAGATCCTAGGTCAACTTAAACGTAATTCTCTCTACCGAGATCCTTACCTGATGACGTTCAATCAGAGCCTCAGCACCGGTAACATCGTTGGCCAGCTCATCGGAGGTGACCAGGCTCATCATCGAGTTGATCCAGGCCAACAGGTCGCGATAGTCGCTCAGGAAGCGCTGCAGATCGTACGAGTCCAGGAGCTTCTCTTTGCGGGCTGTCGATTTGGTGATAATCTGGTCCCACATCTCATTGATTTCCTTCTGCTTGGCATACGTCTGCTCGGCGGTGTCGGGATGCGATTGCATCAGCCTGTTGGCGGTCTCATCCAGCTGACGGATCTTGTCGCGCAGGGCGGCCAGATCACGTTCCACGCCCTCGTGCTTACGCTGCAGGGTCTGAACGCTGCGCAAATCCTTGCCCAGGTCATCGTTGTTCAGGGCATTAGCCTTCTCGGCAATCCAGTCCTTGGTCTCATCGATGTCGCGATGGAAGCGCTGCACCTCGTGGGCAGAACCCAGCTGGCTGGCCTTCTCGGCGGTAAGGGTCTGCAGATTGTTCCACTTCTCGTTTAGGTCCTGCATCTGGGTCTGGATCTTTAGAGCGGCTTCAGTCTGTCCCAGAGATGTCAGCTGCACGGCGATTTCGTTCATGTTGGCCAGACGCACTTCGTTGGCCTTCAGATCGTCATTGAAGTCATCGAACTTCTTCTGCAGCACTTCCACTTCCTCGAGGTCCTCGCCGACCACATCTGCGATCTGCGCATGGTTCTCCTTGTCCCGAATCCATTGGGCCAGATCGGCAGCCTCACGAACCAAGACGTACGCCTTAACGGTCTCGTTCAGTTTGTTCTGGCGCTCGCGGGCGAGAGCCAACAGGTTGTCGTACTGCGAATTGATTTGGTTCTGGCGCTTAGCAATCGAGTGATTGTCCACCAGGTTTTGCTGAGAGGCGCTCAGTCCGGCCTCGATCTTCTTGATGTAGGCAGCCGGCACAAAGCCCTGTCGATCGTTGACCTCAACCTTCCACCAGTCCTTGTTGTTCGAGTTCAACAGCGTGAGAACGTCTCCCTTTTTCATGGACACCTCGCGCGGCGACTTCTCGGTGTAGTCGTACAGTGCCACGACGCACTCCTTGCCGGTGATGTCCACCACGGGGGTCTCCTGTTGACGGCAGTTCTTGGCCTGCTCTTGCAGTCCCTGGATGGTGTTGCCGAAGGCTTCAAGATCAGAGACCAAAGCCTCATGCTTCTTGAGCAGCGCCTCCGAGGAATCCTCGTCCTTGCCGTAATCGCTGCCGGTGGCAATTGGCTCCTTCTCGCGCATCCAAGACTCCGCCTCGTTGGCATCGGCAAAGTACTGGTGAGCCTGCAGCGAGTCGTCCAAATCCTGCTTGCGCTGATTGGACTTGTCCTTCAGTGTGTTCCACTGCTCCTGCAGAGCCTCCAGTCGCTGCCGGATGTCGTCGCTGGCGAAGGGCTGGTCCTTCAGCATATTTTCGCCCGAGCTGATCACATTCAGCAGGCGGGCCTCGTGGTTGTTGATCTCGGCAAGAACGGCCTGATGCTTCTTAATCAGATTCTGCACGCCAATCAAGTCGCGTCCGCGGTTTGTGGATGCAGCAATCGGTTCCTTCTCCCGGATCCAGGCTGCCTCGTCTTCCAAGTCACGGAAGAGCTGTTGCACCTGAAGCGAGTCCAACAGATGCTGCTTCCTCTCACCCATGGGTGCGGCGAGAGCGGCATAGCGGGCGGAGAGGTTGCCCTCCTTGTTGCGAATGTTGTCTGCGTCAAAGTGACCCGACTCGATGAACTTATTGGCCGCCACCTTGATACTCTCAATGCGATCCTGATGGGCCATCACATCGGCCTCCAGCAGAGCATGCTTCTTCTGCAGATTCTGCACAGAGGTCAGATCCTTGCCATGATCCTCCGACAGCAGCTGGCCCTCGATCTCGCTGAGCCACAGCTCGATGTCCTCGATGGTGCGATTGAACTGTTGCTGCTGGCACGCCTCATTCAGCTTTGTACCCTTCTTGTCCGAGGCCTGGACAAGTGTCTCCCACAGTACGACGATTTCCTGCATGCGAGTGTTAATCTGGTCGGCTGCATAATGCTGCTTCTCGATCAGCTCGGTGCCCACGTTGGTGATGTCTTCGATGCGCGACTTGTTGGCATTCAGTTCGTGCTCAAAGTTCTGGTGCTTCTGCATCTTGCCATTCAGGTTCGTGGGATCCAAATAGCTGTCGTCTGTGGCGAACTTGAGTTTCTCGCTGATCCAGCCCTTCGTCTCGTCGCAGTCCCGCTCGAACTGCTGGTAGCGGTTTGAGTCCTCCAGCAGCTGACGGCGCTTCGAAGATTTCTCCTGAAGGGCAGCACGGCGAGCGAGCAGCATCTGACGACGCTGTGCCACATCGTCGGCGGCATAATGCTGGCCATCGATTAGCTTGGTGGCAAAGATGTCCAAAGCCTTGATCTTTTCCTCCTGTGCGGCCAGGCTCTTCTCAAAGTCCTCGTGCTTCTTGATCAGCGCTTCCACTGAGTCCAGGGAGTCACCGAGGTCCTCGTTGGCCAGGAAGGCCTCCTGCTTAGCCATCCAGGTGTCGGCTTGCTCAGTGTCGCGGTAGAAAAGCTGCAAATCCATGCACTGCTCGTACAGGATGCGTCGATCCTCCCACAGAGCCAACAGCGAGCTCTTGTCGTTCTCCAGAGCCGCCAGCTTCTCCTGGATCTCCGCAGCGGCATAGTGTTCTCGCTCCAGCAACTTCTGTCCAGACTCAGTGGTCAGCTTGAAGCTGTCCTCCCGGGCATCGATCTCACCCTTGTGCTCCTGATGGCGTTCGAGCAGAGCCTCGGCTCCGGCCACATCCTTGGCCAGCTCATCGGCCGAGATAATGGCCTTCATGCCATTGATCCAGGAAACGAGATCTCGGAAGTCCGCGAGGAAGCGGTGCAGGTAGTATGATTCGTCCAGCTTCTGCTTGCGCTCGCGTGCCTTGGCGGTAAGGCTCTGCCAGTAATTAGCGATCTCTGCCTGCTTCTCGCGGATCTGGTCGCTGTGATCGGCATGGATGGAGCACAGTCGCTGGGCCTCAGCTCCCAAGGTAGAAACCTTATCCTCCAGAGCAGCTAAGTCGCGCTCGACGCCTTCGTGCTTGCGCTGCAAGGCCTGCACGCTGGCCAAGTCCCTGCCGTAGTCATCGGAAGACAGCACCACATCCTTCTCGGCAATCCAGGCCACCGTCTCGTCAGCGTCACGGTTGAAGCGCTGGATCTCGTGGGCGCCAAAGAGCTTCTCCTGACGCACAATGGCCAGCTGCTTAAGCCTCTGCCAGGCCTCGTTTAGCTCCTCCTTGCGCTTGGTGATCGTGTCGCGCTCAGGATGGCCGTCCTGGACCAACTTGTCGGCCAGCTGGTTAACCTCTGTCACACGGTACTCCTGCGATGCCATATCCTTCTGGAATTCATCGAACTTGCGCTGCAGCACCTCCACGTGCTCAAGATCCTGACCGAACTCGTCGGCAGTGACAAAGGTTTCCTTGTCCTTGATCCAAAACATGACCTCCTCGCACTGGCGCAGGAACTGCACGAGGACGAGTGCCTGCTGCAGCTTCAACCCCTTTTCGGCCAGACGACTGAGGAGCAGCTCCCACAGCTGGTGCAGCTCATCAAGACGACGCTGGATCGTCTCGGAGGCGAAGTGCTGCTGGTTGATCATCTCCTGGCCGGTGTTGTCAAGCGATACGATGGCGTTGCTGTGCGCCGACACCTCCGCTTCGAAGGCCTGGTGCTTCTGGATCTTGGCCTGCAGATTGGTGGGATCGCGGTAGCTCTCCTCGCTGGCTGCCTGCAGCTTTTCGTGGATCCACGACTCCAGCTCGTCGGCGTCGCGCTTAAAGTACTGGAAGCGGCGCGAGTCCTCAAGCTTCTCGCGCTTCTGACGCGTCTCGATCTTGAACTCATTGTAGCGGGACAGCACCTGCTCACGTCGCTCCTGGATGTCCTCGACCGTCTCGAGGATCTTCACCTCCTTGGGTGTGAAGTTCTCCATTTCGCTCGGTTCGTTATTACTTTTCTAGTCTCTTGAGTGTTTCGTTCGTTTTTGATATTGAAAAGCTTCCAGATAAATTCCTTAAGCTGCTCTTGGTTTCGATTTAATACTGCTACTGGTTCTTGCTTCTCTCCTCATCAAATGTTCGACCGTGCACAACTGCAATGAAGGAAATAAGGGGGAAAAATAATTAGTTTAATTCACTTTATCAAGCACAAACACAACCGCTGGTCAATTGCTTAATCACCGGCCATTCATGAACCAAATAGAAAATAGTGACTGACAAATTACGAACTTTTATCCATCCTCTTCTAACAATAAAAACTCTTTTAATAGCAACATATAAACGCGGCTAATCGCTTGCTCATTACTATGGGTTAAAATATTTCATAACTACATATTCTGATAAACACTTATTTTTTAGCAGTTATTTGGCAATGCTTTAAGAATTTTTCACACTTATATGTATCATATATTGACTGAACGTTGCCAACTGCCCCTCAGATCGATTGATGATCACATCGGCCGGCAACCTCGTCCCCTTTCGAGTCTCAGGCCTCAACGTTCAAACTCAATAACCGAACTAAAACTGCGACACTGACGCATTCACTGATTAGGTTCTGCCAGCTATCGCTATCTTATCGGCAGGCAAACAGACCAAGTAAAGACAGCGGCTCCTTTTTTCTAGGGTATTTTCACCAAATAACTATAAAAAAGGAACGATTTATTCGAAACAGAAACGATAAATGACATAACCAACACATTTTACACCTTAAAAACTATCCAGATCGCGCGATAGATCGGCTAGCATTTCCATGAAAAGATGTGACTTGGCCTCGTCTTCATTACTGTCTCCGGAGGTGTCGAGTCCGCCGGCGTTTATACCATTGCTCCCAGAGAGCGAAAGCTGTTGCAGCAGATTGGAAAGGGTGCTCCACACATACGGTGGCCAGTTCTCCGCGAAGAGCGGCATAAATATTTCGTTGAGCTGTTCCGCACGCACCGCACCCGTAAGCAGCATTGAGCGGAGTAGCTGCTCCAGCAGGTGAAATCCATCCGGTTTGAAGGCCAGTTCCTGAACAAAGCGTACGCTGAGCAAGCCTTGAAAGATACCGGGGTAGGCGTCACTGGCCTTGAACTGAGGGGAACGCCATACCGCACAGCTAGCAGAGATTACAGATTCGTCGAGGAAGTCGGGCTTTCGATTCATAAGTAACTGGAGTAAATGTACCAATCCAGAACCAATCAGATGATAGAATATCGTGGGCAATTGCGGCAGTAAAGCCGCACGCTGAGACTGTCGCAGCAGCTCGGCCAGCTCCTGACGGCTGCCTACATTCTCCGGTCGCAAGCTAAGGTGGTGCAGCCACAGCTGTAGCTGTAACAGCAGCTCGGAGAGGCTAAAGCCCACATCCGGGCTGAGCTGAAGTTCGTTTGAACCACCGCCGTTAGCTGCCGCTTCCGCCTTGTTCTTGTTGGAGTTGCACACTTTGGTCGCGAGCTCCTTGAGATCGCCGTGATAGAAGGTGGACTGCAGTACGCTGGATTGTAGCCACTGGTGCAGTTGGGTCTGCACTTGGCCGCGAATCAGATGGGAGTAGGTGGAGCGCAGCACTGCATTGGTACTGGCGGGCAATAGGGCCTCCAGTGACTGTGCTATGCGTTTCTCCATCATTTTGGGCACTTGTTTCTTCCAGTTCTGACAGGTCTGTTCTTTGGCCCCCTGGAAGATGTGCTGGAGCTTTTGCAGTACATCATTCTGCTTTACGGAACATATTTCGTTTACCTTGGCATCCGCTGCGGCCTTGGACGGGAGCAAGATCTCTTGTTGGGCATCTTTAACAACGCACTTGAAGCTGCGCTCCGTAACAAACTCAATCAGTCGGCGGGTGGAGGCGTTCTGGGAGTGCATGAAGGCTTCGGCCAGCTTTCGCTGCTGTTGCTCCGCTGGAGTCAGCTCACTGGAAATCAATGGTTCCTTGGTGAGAGAGGTGCTGCTGCTGCCCTGCTGGAGCTGCTCTAGGCGAGTGGTTATATACCGGAAACGGCCACTCTTTGCCTGCCGAGAGGGCGTTACGCTTATCCTGAATTCCTGGAGAAAGGGACAGGCAACAGGCAGCAGATCCTCCAGCAAGGGGCCACAGGATTTTTCGTGGCAGCGGATTCCACTTAGGCAAAGCTCCACAATGGCCGCAGTGCTGTCGTGTCCAGTTGTCTTGATTGACCTGTGACTGTAGTAGGCATTAACCAGTTGCGGTTGTGCATCAAGCAACCAGCCAATACAACACCTCGCAATAAACACTGCTTCAGGCTGCGATTTCTCCCTACCCAACGAAGCATATAATCCGTAAAGTATTTCCAGGGTTGCTAGTGCGTCTGGTAGATGCAGGCTGACCGGATCTAGCATGGCAAGGTATTGGACCAGCCACGGCAGAGAGATGAGCAGCTTGCCGTTGCGCATTGATCGCTCGAACGTCTCCCGGAGATTAAAATCCGGCTGGAAGCGACTTCGTAACTGCAACTGCTGCGGACACAGATACGGCGGCGAGGGATTTCCGTGTTGCGTAGTTCCGCTGAAGGGCAGCACGCTTACAAAACCCAAAAACTTGGCTAGAATCAGCATATGGGCCATTGTCTGTACGCGTACTATGTAAAGTCCCTGCTGCGCTGACTGCTCCTCCTCAGCGCAGGCATCCTCCGTCAACTGCAACAAATCAAAGGTAGAATCGTTGTACCGCAGCAACTGAACGAACAGGGCCAGCTTGAGCTGAACAAGAAAAGCCATGGATGAGCAGCGAACTATAAAGTCACGAAAGAAGGCCTGCGACCGCGGAAACTGACCCTCCACACTGGAGTCGGAGGTAACCAGGCGCTGGGCCAAGCGATTAAGTCTGAGAGGGTCCAACTTCAAGCCTAGTTCTTCGGGCGATTCAGTGTTCTCGGTGGCCGAAATCAGCAGTTGGCTGACAAACAGCTTGGCGAAGTGTGCCATGTTCACCGGGTGTTCCGAGACCTTGAAGATCTCCCGGATGCAGGACGCCACCTCCGAGGCGAAAGTAAAGTTGCAATTCAGGTGGCCCAGTTCCCACTGCTTCAGGGCCTTGTAAAATAGATCTCGTTGTGTCTTGAAGGCACCGAACTCGTTCTGCGAGGGGAAATTATCCCGTGAATCCTTTTCCACATGGTAATATACGTTGTGTTGCGAGGTGGAGGACGTGTCTAGAGCAACAGGTAGACCCGGGTCTTGTTTTTGTTGACAGGACGCTTCAAGCTTTTGCACAATGCCCGGTGGCAGCAGGTTCAGTCTCTCGTTTTGCAGCAACACCCCCAACGTCTTCTTGTCCAGCTGCAGGAGTAACATCTGCTGGTTCTCCAGGAGTTTCAACGCAAAGTAAACGCAGCTCTTGTACTCCGAGAGGCGCTTCAAAGGTAAGCAGTGGGAAGTCGTACCAACAGGAGATTGTCCCAGGTCTCGTATATTGATCAACTGCAGCACAAAACTAAGTTCGCTCAGAACATTGGGCACCATATTGAGGTCCATGAGAAGGCTATAAATGGCAGAGAGCAGCTGCAAATAGTTGGTATCGGTCACATCCTCAAGAGAGAGTGTGTCGTGCGGAAACACCTCATCCTCTGGTATCCTGCTCTCCTGTTGGCTGACATTAACGGGAGCCTCGCTCTTGATCTCCTGCTTGCGCAGGATCAGGATTTTGCGTGCCTCCATATCTAAGGCAGCCCCTTGGCTGCTATCAAAGATTTCGCTGCTCTGGGAGAGACGCCATAGATTATTGTCGTTGCTGAAGGAGCTGGTGTCTCCGAAAGAGGAGCCGGCTGAGACATTCTTGCTAATGGTCATGGGAAGAACACGTCGACGCGGCTTGGACTGTGTAGTGCCAGCGGATGCAGCTCCCGTTGACTGATGTGGATTCTGCGACTGTTGCTGGGGGTACCCTTCTTTTTGGATCGCTGCTGGCCGTGGTTGGACGAATTAACCATAAAGTCACCCAGGCAAAAACTGTGTCCACCTCCTGATCCTCCGCCACCACTGCTTTTGTGGCCGGTGGTCTGTGGGGTGCTGCAAAACTGATTGTTGCCGCTTCCAGGCATGGATCTGCGGCCCTGCTGCCGAACTGGAGTCGAAGTAGAACCCACACTGCAGGTGCTCCGGTTGAGGAGCGAGTCATTAAGCTGTTGGTGTTGCTGCTCTTCTAGTTCTTTTGATGCATCGCTAGACGGTGGCTTTGGCTGGCGGACGGGAGTCCCGGGCAACGAGTGCACGGGTGTGTCAGAGTTCCTAGCTTGGAAATATGAACTCGTTTCCTGACGCAAGGCGGCCAGAAAGTAGGCAGCAAAGTCCTCTAGGCTGCAATTGCTCTGCTTCTTAAAGTGTGCAAGGAACTTCTGCTGCAGCTGGGGCGTGGCACCTTCTCCAGCTGTACAAGCAGCTGCTCCAGATGAGTCTCTTCTGGTCGTGGCATTTCTATATTTATAATATCCAGGGCTCAGACTTCATTGGCATGGCCTGCTGCTCTTTTTTCGAAGGCTTTTATGTGCCTGTGTCTGCCTCTTGAGATCTATTTATGACCTCTCTCCCACTCCTTTGCCACTCCTTCAATTTTCCAATCCCTCTCTCCCTTTTGCTCTGATTCCCTGCAACGGAAGAGGAGAGAAGGGAAATGTTGGCTTCTTTACACGCTCGGCTTCGTTTTCTAATTAATGTTGTACTTTTATTTTTAGATTTTTTGTTTGGATTTTGGTAGATTCTTTTTTGACATCACTTTATTTTCCACGCACACTAAACTAAATCAAAGTAAACAGCACGAAAGACGATTGTAAGTTGTCTAATTTAGGCGGCAATGATGACATCATCACCTGTACTAATAGCTATAAAGTTTGAAGTTATTAGGATAGAAGGGTTTTAGTTAGTTGGAGATGGATTTAGTCAATTTGTACGTAAAATAATCCAAATTTTGTCGTAGATTAAAGATAAGTAGGGGTAGAAGTATACATATAATCAAATAAAACTAATTAAATATTTTATGGCCTATAAATATGATTTCAGAAAAAATATATGAATAATATTAAAAAAGGAACTTCGGGATGAAATATATTTATGTAAATATGGTCATCTCAAGTATATTTAACTTCCCAATAATAGCTTGTAACATAATAGCATAGTGGCATAGTTTCTTTATTTATTTTAATATTTTCTGGAGGGCCTTTTTCCTACTAAAATCCCAACTATTGTTTTAGTTGTACATAATTAGCCAATCTTTACTGTGCAGCCAAATCTATAAATTCCAAATTTTGTGCAATTACGATAAGGAAATCTGAGAAATGTCCGGAATTCAACTTCGATTACTTAATATTTCTGACTGGTGTTAAATAAATTGAGAGAGGAGTCAAATGAGGCGGCGGACCGCAAAGTCTGAGGCCGTGGGAAGTGACATCATTTGGGAAGAGGGTGGGGTGTGGCTCGGGGTGGGTCAAACATGCAGACAAACAAACAAACAACACACATATTCAAAACACTTTTCATGCGTTTTGCGACAGGAAATAAGCAAGAGAGAGAAAGAAAGAGCAAAACAGGGAGAGGGAGGCAAGAACACACACCAAGGCTTGGCAGCCATACAAATTTCAAATATACACACCAACACAAGAACAGCCAATTTAACTGTTTATCGCGCTAGCAAATAACAAACAACAACAGAAAACGGCAATTGCGAGAGAGGCTTCCCCCAAAAAGAGAACGAAAGAAAATACACGGCCACACTCACACACGCAGAGGCTACATTAATTGAAGTGTCTATCAGAAAATAGCTTGGGATGACGTAATGCGAACGGTTTGGAATTATGACCAATGATGAAGAGCACGCAATGAATCAAAGCCCCAAATCAGCACAATTGGTTAAATTGAACCTGTTAAATTTGCCGCCCGCACTGAGGTCCGGTAACCGAAAACAAGCCTTCAGCAAAGTCAAGGACATTTCCCACCTAAACAGGTTTGCTCAAAATGTAAGGCAAACACCATTTATTTATCTCCTGCAGTCGCACATACACAAACACAAACATGTAGAGGAAAAGAAAAGAGAGCGCTTTCTCTCTGCTGAAGTTGCCGCACCACCAACACCCGATGACGTACACACACAGCGCCTCCTGCATAACACACACACACACACACACACCCTCGAACACAAATGGAGTACCAGATACTTTTCTTCAACTGCAATTGGAATCCTGATTTTTGGGCAGAAAATCATCATTGTGATGACTAATCAAGCACCGGCACTTGCCGTTGGACTCTTTGACCAATGGCCAAGACTCTGCTCTCACACTTTCTGTGTTTAATTGGATTTTATTGACGGCCTGAGAGGGTGTGGCGATGACCCGAAAAAAATTTTCACTTCACACGCAAACCGAATTTCAATTGCATTTTAAACCCCACTAGAAGTAGGCCCCGGGTGAAAACGATGTGCAAACTTACACTTTGACGGCAACTCTGTTGCTTCACAGTTAACTTTTTAATTATACTATTGATTTTCAGTAGTTATTCGTAATTTTCTCGGAGCAATTTTTACGCGATCCGCACGGTTCAAGAGCAATTTTTCAATATGGCCACCGCTAGCGATGAGCAAACAACGATGAAAGCATCGATTACGATATCGATGTTTTTTATGTTAGACACCGGTATGTGTACATTTTTGGGACACGGTCACTCTGATTTCACCCTCCCAGCTAGTTGCTTTTGTAAAAAATGATTATTTCAACGATGGTAACATGTATCGTTCATCGGATGTTTCGTGCAAACGATATCTTAGTGTGCCCAAATCACGCGCATTGTAGTAATCTCTTATATATTTATATTATATATATTTTATATATTATTATATATTTTATATTATATTTTTCCGGTCAGCCAAATTTCGTTCTCTGTGCCAGAGTTATTTTCATACGAGAGGAACAGTGTTAGCAGCTTAGCTTATTTCCGGCAAAATCTGGTATATTTGGAAATGAAAAAGTTAATGAAATTTCCTACTAGCTTATAACCTTACGAATAGCTTATTTTAATATTTGTCTGTTATATATTATTATATATTATATAATATACATATATATATATATATATCATATTACAACGTTTGTTTTTTATAAGAAATATAAATATTTTCTGAAATGTTTGATTTACATATGTGATACTATGTTAAAGAACTTGTATCTTAAGAAGGGCCAAGGTAATTGTCAATCAAATTTTACTTTATAGGGTCGGAAATGTCTCCTTCACTGCGTTGCAAACTTTGACTTAAATCATAATAAGCTGCACACGGTCTTGAAATAAACTATAATTATTATTAATATTATTAATCATATTAATGTTAAATTTTTGATCTTACCTCTCTCTAATTAAACGATAAAATAGAAGATTTACTTATTAGCAGTTTTCTCCTTAAATTTAAACTCAAATTTAATTTTTCTCGAAAATACCTTAATTTGACTATGACGACAAAACTATTTTAAAACTGGAAATTGGAAAATTTTGGTCGGAAAATTTCGGAAATTTTTTTGTGAATATCTGGAATTTAAATAATATTGTATAACAAAGGGCAAATGCGATTTTCTTTATTATATTAATTTATTTTTTTACAATTTTTCCGACAGAACCTTGGTTCTACATATAAAGTCCTCATGCCACTGTTGCGAATTAAAAACGTCGAATCCAAAGAACCGATACAATAACTATGTTAATTTGTTCAATTTATTAAGGGTGGGCCCATTTTTTCTTTTTTAAATGTTTTATTTTGTATTCTTTATTTTGTATTTACTGTTTTATTATTTATTTTACGCTGTATTCTGTTAATCGATGTAAACCAATAATACATTTGACATACCAATAGGGAATTTGACACCATGTGTAATGTTATGTAAAATCTAATTTCGTGCATACGATAGTTTTACCTAAGTATGGCCAGAGCACGTGAATTTCATTGGTATATTTTCGTTCTTGGGACACGGTCACCCAAATTTCCAGAGGAATCCAAAAAAAGTATAAAGGAGTAAAAACTTGCGGCTTTGGGAAATCAAAGTAAATATACAGCAAAATGGTTGACTATAGCAAGTGGAAGAACATCGAGGTAAGTTGCCCGCCACACGTCCTGCGGGAGGAGAAGCATCTACAGCTCTGATCACCGGTGAACACGCCGCATTTCGCGTTTCAGATTTCGGACGACGAGGACGACACACACCCTAACATAGACACGCCTTCCCTGTTCCGCTGGCGGCACCAGGCCCGCGTGGAGCGTATGGCGGAGATGGACAAGGAGAAGGACGAGATGAAGAAGAAGCGCCAGAGCTACCAGGCACGCCTCATGGACGTCAAGGAACGGATTTCGAAGAAGGAGGGCGACGAGGAGGCCCTTAAGGTACGTCATCGTCCAATTGGCATGTAGAAAAAATGCAATAAATTGTTAATCAATCTGCAGAAGGAGCTAGAGAAGATCGAGAACGAGGGCAAGGAGCTGGATCGCGTCGAGACCGATATGCTGAAAAAGGAAAAGAAGACGCCTTGGAATGTGGACACCATTAGCAAGCCCGGATTCGAGAAGACTGTGATCAACAAGAAGGCCGGACGCAAGCCGGACGAGAATCTGTCTGAGGAGGAGCGCGAGAAACGCATGAAGCAATTCGTCAAGGATAATGAGAAGCTCTGCAAGCAGTACGGCATGCTGCGAAAGTACGATGACTCGAAGCGCTTCCTGCAGGACCACCCGCAGCTGGTGGGCGAGGAGACGGCCAACTATTTGGTCATCTGGTCAATCAACCTGGAGATGGAGGAGAAGCACGAGCTTATGGCCCACGTGGCGCACCAGTGCATCTGCATGCAGTACATCCTGGAGTTGGCCAAGCAGTTGGACGTGGATCCGCGCGCCTGCGTCAGCTCCTTCTTCTCAAAGATTCAGCACTGTCAGCCCGAGTACCGCGCCCAGTTTGAGAGCGAGATTGAGGGTTTCAAGGGACGCATCCAGAAGAGGGCGCAGGAGAAGATCCAGGAGGCGATAGCCCAGGCCGAGGAGGAAGAGCGCAAGGAGCGTTTGGGTCCCGGTGGCCTGGACCCAGCTGATGTTTTCGAATCCCTGCCAGATGTAGGTTGATTTTGCAGTTTTTGCCCTTGATGTAAAATGTATTTTTTCTTTCTAACAGGAACTGAAGGCCTGCTTCGAGTCGCGGGATGTGGAGCTGCTGCAGAAGACAATCGCAGCCATGCCCGTGGACGTAGCCAAGTTACACATGAAGCGTTGCGTTGACTCTGGACTCTGGGTGCCAAATGCAGCGGATTTGGCTGGTGATAAGGATGACGAGGACGAGGAGGAATCAGATGGCGCCGCCGGCGGCGGAGAAAAGACCGATGATGCCAAATCGGAAAAGGCGGCCAAGGAGGAGGAACCCATTTACACTGGCGTTAGCACCGAGGACGTTGATTGATCGACGCTGCTTGTTCCATCTCCACAATAGCTCTAAAATTAATGTACTGTTCACATGCATACTTCATCCATAACCAGAATTCCGCGTCAGTTGAGTTTTTGTATATAATTTGAATAAAGTCAGCGCTAAATTCTCAGTAAGCTGATGCCACCTGCTGTCACATGTAATCGATAATATATTTATATTAATATATCCATTTCAAGTAGAAACTATGAACCGGCCGGAGCTGGACTATTATGCGGTGTTGGATCAGCCACGGGGAGCCACAAAGGAGCAGTTGACCCTGGCCTATCGTCGCCTGGCCATTCGCCTGTGTCCACACCGCGACAAGAAGGATGAGCAGGACTTTGTGCCGCTGGCCCAGGAGGGTCGGCTCACCCATCTTTCGCCCATGGGCGAGCCGAGACAGTGGGCCTACATCAACATGGCCTTTGATGTCCTTGGCAACGATCTTTACCGAGCCATATATGATCGATATGGAGAAGCTGGTCTGTTTGAAGGGGTGATGCTGCCGAACGGCTATTTTCCGCCTTATCAGTACGATGGCGATCACATGAAGGTCTACGAGAGGGTCTTTTCCAGCTACTCGCCCTACGCCAATTTGATTGATGCCATCGCTAATCCGCCAAGCCTGTTTGCCACCCGGCAGCATGGAATAGGTGTGCGTTCAAAGGATGCCAACACGGAACGGATCATACAACTGTCGCTGGAGGAAGTTCGCACTGGATGTGTGAAGCTGATGAATGTGTGGCGCCAGGAAATTGTGGATGCCAAGGAGTCGAGGATGGAGAAGCGCAAACACACCCTCAAGCTCAACATTGCACCGGGGACCACAGCTGGAACTCGTTTCTGTTTTAAGGAGGAGGGCGACCGTTATCCAGCCACCATTCCGGGTGACATCATCTTTATAGCCGCCGACAAGCCGCATCCAAAGTTCGAGCGGAGGAACCTTCACGATCTGGTCTATCGCCACGATATAGACTTGTGCCAGGCGTTCACAGGTTTCACGTTCTTTATCCACACGCTGGACAAGAGGCAGTTGAAGGTCGTCATCTCAGATGTGGTACAGCCGGGTTACACGAAGGTAATACCTCTTGAGGGGCTGCCCAAGTGCCGCAACATGGACGCGGTGACAGCCATCAAACAGGCCAACAAGAAAATTGAACAGTTCGGGGATCTCATCATCGAATTTAATTGTAGGTTCTTCCCGATTTCAAGGCTTTTCTCTAGACATTATATCCGTATTTCTTGGCAGATATTTTTCCCAAGTATTTGACACCGCAGATGAAACACATGGCTCGTGATTTCTTCCGCTGCTTCCGTAAGCTGGAGATCGAACTGGAGCAGGAGGAGGAGCGGAACTTTAGCTAATGGCCGTTAAGTGATTGTTTTCCTGCCTTACGGACACTTTAAATTATGCGTAAAATGAAAATAAATTTTAATTTTGTTCGAATTGGCCCTTCCTCAACAAGTGGGAACACTTTTAAAGCCACTCTCCAAAGTGTACAGAATTCAAAAAACTGTTCTATACGCGCCAAAGAAAAATGTCTCCTAGAGATGAGACTTTTCTTTACGATATTTTTTGATATAATATTTCATCGCTCCCATTCCTAGTTTTCTCAAAAATTTATCGGTTCGTATAGCTCCAAAACAAGTTCATGGAACTAGTTCACGGAGATTGGAACTAGTTTACACTGCTTATTTTCTTACAACTGCGTTACCGACCGTTATCGATAGCACGATAAATATAGTCATCGAAGAAGGTCCATCGCTAGAGAGTTATCGGAATCGATCCATCGCTAAAAACCCTGTTAATTGCGCTAATTAACGTTGCTTTTGTGCCACAATTTTTTCGTTTTTGGCCTCGCCCGTCATCGTCGTTCTGTGTGTATTCGTAAAGCAGTGCGCCGCGTTGATTCGCTGCTCCACTTTGGGCCCAAAGCGGATTACACGTTCAGGGAAAGTGTGCCAACGCCACACGACGACGCCCCCAATCGACTGGCAAACGCAAGCGGAAGCGGAACAAAGAGGCGGACCACGCTCCACTGGACGCACGCAGACCGCGCCCCTAAGGTGGCAGCTGCAAGATGCACCTCAGCGCGGACATATCCAGTGCCCTGCAACAGATCGAGGCTGTGAAGAAGGGCATCGACGAGTCCGATGATCCCAAGTTGCAGATGCAGACGGCGGAGAGCCTCAGCACGATTTTGGGCATCCTGCAAGACCCGGTCTTCCGCACCATTGTCCATGTGCAGGACTCCCTGTCCGAGCTGAACGCCCAGCTGGGCCAGCACCCGTCCATGTTGCCCAACGACTTTGACATCGATGTGGCAGGCAACCTTGTGCTAAGCTTGAATGGCGGCGAGGTGATGTACGACTACGACGAGCAACGGTCCTCCTCGCATTCGCATTCGGCTCCCGGTAGTCCGGACAAGTCGGGCGGCACCGGCGAGGAACCGCGACCCCAAAGCCAAAACTCGAAGGGAGCAGCTGGAGCGGATCTGTATGCCACGGACTATGCCCAGATCCAGGCCATAGAGCTAGTTAACGACGGTACGGGCCTGGGATTCGGTATTATCGGGGCCCGCAACTCTGGAGTAATTGTGAAGACCATTCTGCCGGGAGGCGTGGCCGATAGAGACGGACGTCTGCGGTCGGGTGATCATATCCTGCAGATAGGAGAAGTTAATTTGCACGAGATGGTCTCTGAGCAAGTGGCCGCCGTATTGAGGCAGTCTGGAACGCATGTCCGTTTGGTGGTAGCCCGTCCCGTCGAGCAGAGTGTTCCCACGCCGCAGTATAGCCTAGAACCAGGCACTGCCGTGGTGCCCACTCGCGTTCTTGTCGATCCCGCCGAGCTGGAGCGATATCTCATCTCTACCGGGTACCCAGAGATATTTGGCGAAAGCTCTACGGCTTCAACGCCCCAGACGACCACTGAAGATGATCGATTCGTGTATCGCGGCGAGACGTCTATGCTGATTGATCCCAGCATTGATCTCGAAGAGCTGCTGGCCCTACCGGAGACGGAAAAGCTGCAGGTGGAGCTGAAGAAGGACGCCAATGGACTGGGCATCACCATCGCAGGCTACGTGTGCGAAAAGGAGGAGCTGTCTGGCATTTTTGTGAAGAGCGTTTCACCTGGTTCGGCAGCGGACCTAAGTGGTCGCATTCGAGTCAACGACCGCATCATCGAGGTGGACGGCCAGTCGCTGCAGGGCTACTCCAATCACCAGGCCGTCGAGCTGCTCAAGAAGTCCGGTCAGGTGGTGAATCTTCGCTTGGAGCGGTATCTGCGTGGCCCCAAGTTCGAGCAGTTGCAGCAGGCCATTGCTGCCAACGATAAGCTGCCATCTAGTGCTCCTGGAACGCCTTCGAGGGCCCCGCTGCCGACGCCAGTGACCACCACGCCTTCAGCGACGACAACACCATCACGCAGTCTTACCAGGGAACTGGAAGAGGAAACGGCATTGCCAGCACCCGAGGCCTTCATGGCCTCACCGCCATCGGCTGCCACCTTGACCACGACAACGCTTAGCACTTTCGGTGCTGGTAAGCAGCTAGTGGCGGTCAGGGACTCACTGGACGGTTCCACCAAGATCATACCAACGGAGGTGGTTTCTCTGGCAGATAAAACAGAGGTAATCCATTTACTTGGGAGTGCTTTCCAAAGCAAAATATAATGGCTTCTTTTTTTCCATAGGCCAAGAACACTGGTGTAATCACGCGTCACAAGTACTACACTGATCCGGAGCTCACCGATGACATGGAGACGGAAATCATCCGGAAGTGGCAGAAAATCGTCGGCTCTGATGTGGAGGTTATTGTGGCACAAATCAAAAAGTTTGCCGTGGGCGGATTAGGGATCTCTTTGGAGGGCACCGTGGACGTAGAGGGTGGACGTGAGGTGAGGCCCCATCACTACATCCGGTCAATTTTGCCCGACGGTCCTGTGGGCGTTAATGGAGTGCTCCGCTCAGGTGACGAGCTGCTGGAGGTTAATGGCGAACGTCTGCTGGGCATGAACCATCTCGAAGTGGTCGCCATACTCAAGGAGCTGCCGCTGGATGTGCGCATGGTGTGCGGCCGCAACAGGAACAGCACTTCGCTGCTGCCCTTCTCCGATGACACTCTGAAGAAGCTGAGCAACAACTTTGAGAACCTGCTGCCCGCTACCGATCGCCTGGTGAAGGCCAAATCGGACGGTAGTCTTGCCACCGCTGGATCCGTGGCCGATGGCGATTCGGTAGCCGCTGCAGCTGCCTCATTCAACAAGCTCAAGTCACGGTCGTTGGAGCCGTTGACCGGATTGGCCATGTGGTCCTCGCAGCCGCAAATAATCGAATTGGTAAAAGGTGATCGCGGTCTGGGCTTCTCCATACTGGACTATCAGGATCCGCTGGATCCCAACGATACACTAATTGTCATCCGTTCTTTGGTGCCCGGAGGCGTGGCGCAATTGGATGGGCGCCTGATTCCGGGCGACCGACTGCTGTTCGTTAATTCTATTAATTTGGAGAATGCCTCGCTGGACCAAGCCGTACAGGCCTTAAAGGGTGCTCCCAAGGGAGTGGTGCGCATCGGAGTGGCCAAGCCGCTTCCCATGACTGACAACTCGCTGAAGGCCTGCAGCAATGCGAGCACCACTAGCGAGGAGACGTTGGATGCGCAGATATCGCCACCTGCCTTGCCCGCGGTAGCACCGCCCGCTATGCCGCCCACTGCCACAGCCACTGCCGCCAAGGGAGCCGAGCCGGATCTGATTCCCGACTGGCGCAACTGAATCTTTACGTCATGTTCCCGTTTTCAATCAAATTTGGTGCCAACCGAGTCTTTGAGGCCGTTTTACCATCATATATTTATTTAGACTAAATGCTATGCTTTAGAACGTAATACTTCCGAGCCCTGATTTACATCTTTATGAGCTCTGGATGGGCCAAATTTGATTGAAGTTCGGCAACAATAATTGATTGTTATAATCGAATCAAAATGTTATGCATATTAATAGCACCGAATTATGTTGACCCCCTACCCCTACAAAAAACGAGCATTCCACGCAGAATATGCAATATCAGTACCCTCTAGTATTAGCAAATGAATTTTAACAAAGGTATTTCAAGTGTATGTACTTAAACTTAATTAAATAATGTAATGTACCTCCCGTACAACAATGAGTATCACATGGGTGGGTGGGTGTTGGCCAGGACCACAGACCTATTGCACCCGATTTAGCTGCCGCTCGATTCGCATGTAGTTCCGCCTAGACAGGACACGGTCGCGGGCATAGCTGACCAAATAGGCCAGCACTCCGACAACAAGGCAAAGAGCTTCGAACTTCACAAAGTTACGCTGCTCGATGAGAGCCACACGGTCACAGCTTTTGGTCACGATCTCGCCGCTCTGGCAGCGCAGCAGCTCCTTGTAGTGCGTGTGGATACAGACGCCCAAGCTCCGGCTAACTATGTCGAAGTCGCTGCAAGGATGGCACTCCTGCACCACGGTGTACTTCTCGTGCCGCCAGCAGGTCGAGTTGTTTTCGATGATGAACTGCTGCTCCCTGTTGCGACGGGGTCCATCGGCAGCATAACGCGACTCCACTATCAGGACTAGAATGGTGACAATTGTCAGCGCTCCAAGGCCAAGGAGCATGTGATGTCTCTGGCAGTTTTCCAGCATCTCGAATCTCGGGTACCTAGCTAAATATATGACAACGGTATTACTTGATGAATCACTTTAAATGTGGTTTGTTTATTACTATTTTTTTCACTTTTTAATAGAGCTGGTATTAAAATATATCAAAATCTATTACATATCGATACTGTAACTTACTAAGTACGATAGAATCGATATATCCGAAAAATTCATTTGGTACAATGGAACTAGTTCGCTGTTTACGAACAAGAAGGCAGAGAAAGACCAAAACAATTAATCTCTGGCAGTTAAATCAATGAAAACATGATTACAACATCTACCAGATTTTCAGTAATTCAGTTATAAGGGGAATAATCTTTGTTTGATGCAGTTAAAATATTTAAATATCCTCCGTGTTACTTATTATTTACGATAGTATCGATATATCCGAAAAATGCAGTCTGTACCATCGAACTAGTTCGCTGTTTACGAACAAGAAGGCAGAGAAAGACCAAAACAATTACGGACGATAGCCACAAAGCGGACGTGGAAAATCTGTGAAAATTTTTGGTAAATCGCGTGCGGGCGCATTGAAAAATGGTGCTGCGATCGGGGATCATAATTCCGTTTCAGTTTCGCGACACGAAGAAGCTGCTGATGATAGGCGTGCCGGAGGAGAACCGCAACCTCAACATCTGGGACCTGAAGAACGTGGGTAAGCAGCGCGGGTGGTGTGTACAGCTCCAGATGGAGTGGGAAATGGGAGTGGAAGCGGGAGTGGGAAATCCCAGGATGATTCCTGCAACGTCGGACTAACTAATGCCGTATTCCTACACCTATTTGGATTCACAGTGCGCGCCGCCTTTGGCATCTACAATTTTGAGTTCAGGAACAAGAAGATCGGCTTCAACATCCCGGACGAGCTATTGCTTCACTACCTGGCCCAGCGGCACGACCTCACCAACTTTGTAATAGAGATCAGTCAAGGTAAATAGCGAGTAAGCTTAGATTTAGGCCAGTAGACTAAGCGCGCAATTCCAACTAGCGTTTAAGCGAGCCGAGTGACTTGTGGGAATCCACGTAACGGAGCCCCAACTCTTTGTAGATCCGTGTGTCCCCGTAGATCTCTCTCTATGTTGTTGTCTTTATGTAGACGCTGCGGGCGCTTTGCTTGTAAGTCTCTGCAGATTGCCATCTGTAATAAAACCCAAATTGTAATGTGCTCCCTATTGCAGCTCTGGACGATGGCCATGCCAAGGAGCTGCTCTCCTACGAGCCCTCCTGCTCGATGGCGGCCCTCAAGCAGCACCATCAACCGCACCCGTCGCATCCAGCGGCTCACCATCCACATCCCCATCCGCACCAGCACCAGCTGCATGTACCACTGCCGCAGCGCTCCAACGAAAGCGCCTCCCACCATGCCCAGGAGTATGTGTCCAGTTCGCAGCCCAATTCGCCGACCGTGGTGATGAGCAACGAGAGCGTGGACAATGATCTGTTGGAGCCGCAACAGGGCAACAATTCGGGCACTGAGCCCGTACCGGACGGAGCCCAGAAGTTGCGTCTCACCCAAAACTATTCGGAACGTACGCCCGAGTCGCTAACACAGTCAATCGATCCAATGGACATCATACCCAAGGCAGAATCAGAGTCTGAGGTGGAGCGATTGCAGCGGGCGTCGCGTTTTTTGGCCCGCCAGGAGCATCAGCACCAGGCACAGCAGCAGCAACAGCAACAGCCACAGCCGCAGCACCAACAGCAGTTGCTAACGGGTCAACAGATCTTCCCCAGTTACACGCACTCCTTGCCGCCGATGAACGCACCGAATCCCTCGCAGCAACAGTCTCCGTATACACCGGGTCTGATGAGTCGCTTTAGAAGTGAGATAAGGTCGTAATGTGGCGCTTTCGATCCCTTAGCTAATGCTAATTTTATAATTCAAGAACGCGGCGAACGCATGTCCAAGGACCAGAAGGAGCTGTACGTGAAGTTCTTCGAGGACAATCCCTGTATGCTGTCGAACCATCGACGCCACGATGGCCTCACCGAACCACTGTGGGCCCAGTTGGCCCACCGTTTGAATAGCGTGCCCCAGGGAGCCGTTAAGAACGTGGAGGACTGGAAGCAGACCTTCGATGCCTGGCGGTATCGCATTTTTATGTACACGCGTTACAACTCCAAGCTGAGCATGTCGGAGACGAGCGATCCGAAGAACTTTAAGCCATTGACGGCTACTGACCAAAAGGCGTACGCCATGTGGACCAGCCACAAGCACATAGTCCCGCCGGACTATGAGAAGATGGACATGTTTGTGCCGCTGGACGAGACAACCACGGCCACGAATAGCTACGACTACTGAAAGGGAATGAAGATCAAAGGATGAAACTGTTATGTGTACTTTATCTAGTGCTAAGCGAAAAATACAATATGTTTAAGCGAACGGAAATGCGTGTTTTAAGTTTGTTTACGCCTAATTCTAAGATTTGATTCCCACAATTTCAACTAACTACACGTTCCGTCTTCTCTTACAGTGTACGATGACAACTATGTGCTTAACCGCCAGTGCCGGTGCTCGGATCAGAAAATGCTCAACGAATCGCCCACGCCCGAGGAGCCCACCAATCTGTGCCAGCCCAGCAATGTTTTGGAGGCAGCGGCGGCGGCACCCACCCCAATCATGACTCTGCCGCCCTGCGACGACGAGGAGCATGATCACGACCACGAGCACGAGCACGAGGAGAGCATGAAGTATCGGATTGACAAGGCTAGCAGTGGTGCTGCCTCTGCGGAACTGGGCATGCCGGCGTACGAGGCATGCTCGCCCAAGATGGACTACGATACGCAGGACGAGCTGCCGGATTCTCCGCACTCGCAGCCACTACCCCCACCGCCTTTGCCTTTAACTGCGGCTCTTCCATTGCCACCGCCGCCCACCTCCCATCACCAGCACCTGCATCAGCAGCAGCAACAACACGAGGAGGAGCAGCAGCAGCTGCTGCAAGAGCGCATCCAGCACGAGTACATGATTCAGCAGCAGCAGCAACACCAGCATTTGCAACAGCAGCAGCAACAGCACTTGGCACTCCTACAGCAGCAGCAGCAGGAACAGCATCAACAGCAACATCAGCAGCATCACCATCAGCAGCAACAGGGAGTTAACATGGCCATAGGCACGACCACCACCAACAATATACGACGTAAGTGATCTTGAAGAATATATATACGACACCATAACGAGTGTGTAGCACAATGCCCTGCGTCCTTTTCCTTAAAGTCGCTTTAAAAGAGGTTTGAATAAGGGACAACAATAAGGCCCAAGGCATACCATACCAATTTGTATACAATTAAGTTTGTTTTGAAAGAAGACTTCCGATTCTTGGGCCTACGTAAATATTAGCTTGCCTTAAATTTGGCCAAAATCACAACAAACAGTTTCAACAAAAACTAGGCTTAGGCTTCGACCTATAGGCCTAAAATATACAAATAATAGCATCAGAGAAGATATAAAGATCGATATTTTAATTTAAACTAATTAATGACATTCGAATTTCATTAAATGCATAAAATCGGCATTAATTTCAGCCTCGATTTGAATACTTGCCTTGGTTGAAATTTACATATGGTGTTGTGTTTTTTATTGAATAAATAAATGAGTAATTAATTGTATTCAATAAATCACATTCACAGAACGCAAGGAGCGCATGTCCAAGCGGCAGAAGGAACTGTATGTACACTTCCTGCAGCAGCATCAGTTCATCAACGACCATCGGCGCAACGATCCCGTGCTGGATCCTTACTGGCTGAAGCTGGCGAACTTACTGAACGCGGTGCCGCAGGGTGCCGTCAAGCATGTGACCGAGTGGAAACAGACCTTTGATAACTGGCGCTACCGCATCTTCCTCTACGCCCGGTACAATTCCAAGCTGCAGGACGAGGAGGCCCAAAATCCGCGCAACTTCAAACCCCTGACGCGCACTGATAAGCAGGCGTATATTATGTGGATCCGGAATCCGGACACAGCGCCGCCGGACCTCGACAAGATGCGCAATGTCTTTTGCAATCTGGAAGAGACGGCGGCGTCGGCAGCGGCTCAGCAGGAGTAGATGTTTCACGGATGTTCGGGATTGCCATTATCGTAGTTGTACAATTTTTAAACAAATCATTTTCTTTGTCTTCGTTTCCTCGGTTTTCTCTTATTCTGTCGTGTTAATTGTGCGTATGTATATGTGTCACTGTTTTTTATATTCCTGTTTTGGGAATGCATTTTCCTTTTAGTTTGTTTTTGTCATTGTTATGCTTTTATGAGAATATATATTAAACATGTGTTTTTTTGAATGAATTTTACGCTCGCGCTAAGTTTAGGCGGAATTATTTTTAGAGTTCATTTGCCCGAAGCTGATGTTTTTAATTTTGCATATGTTTATGAACCACAATGAACCCAAATGGTTGAACAGGTTGTGGAATTACTTAAAGATATATTCAGACTCGCAGCTGGCAAGGATGTCGGGATTAATGCTCTGCTTAATGACTGTCTATTGATGGATTCCATTCGAGTGGCTCCATGACAAACTCCTTTCAGAACCAGCTCCGTTCCGTGTGTGGCTATATCTCTCCATCTAGACGCCCACGCCCACGCCGACGCCGATGCCGTGTGCTGATTAATTTGTTGCCCGCAGCGGTACAGCATCCAGTATGTGTGGCTTGTACTTGTCGCTAATCCCCGGCCATTAATTATATGTTCAATCATATCCGATATGGTCCCCCACAACACACTCTTGACAGGTTTTTCTTTTTTACTTATATTTTTTGGGATTATTGTATTATTGGCAAAGACCCGATAATAATTCCTTCTTTTACAAAATTAGTTCCAGTGGTTTTTGAACCTGAACCTGAACCTGAAATTGAAAAAGGGAGACCCCAATCCGATGATTATTAGCATATTGTTAATTAAAAAATAAAAAAAGAAATTGCTTATTGACTGGGGTTCGGCCCGGCTGGCATTGGCATTGATTAAATTTCATTCTTTTGATTTCTGATTAAATGGCAATTTATCATAAATTATTACACTTAATTGTGTGCAAATGCAAAGTGCAATTGCTGCATTTAGAAATCTTGTTTTATGTGCCGTGTTACATAAATAACTTAACTTAAATGAGCGTATCGGAGCCCCGGCGGAGACATTACAAATGACCTGGCAACCTGGAGGTGCGGAGTGCGACGGCTCCTTCTGCCGGGGCCTTTTGTCTGTTATCTGCAGCAGTTACAATTGCCATTCCAAATAAAGATAAATGAACGAACGCGCACTCATTCCGACCGATCTGCTCTGCCTTGTTCCGAAGGCATTGAGTTGGGTTATTGGCTGTGACTTTTTGCGGCCAATTGCCTCCGGTATCGTATCTATTGCTGGGTTTTCTGCGTTCTGGCATATGAATGCATGTGGAGAAATCGGATTTTATATAAATATATATAATTAAATTTGACATAAAGTTATATTTTTTCAGGAGAGTACTGTGTAAAGTCATATTATTTTATAAATAATATGAAAGGATGGATATGAAAGAATCTTTTAAACAATATAGACAATTTATAGGGGATTTGAAACTGTTTGATTATAATAATGCAATGTGATAAGAAGTCCAAATCATTGAAAATAATGACACAATATTTAAGGTCTAGATATTTTAAATTATTTAAAAATCAAGTAACTATTTGAGAAATATTAATATTTCTGGCGATCCTTTAAAATATTTAAAATTATTTGAAAACCAAGTAACTATTTGAGAAACTTCTAAGGACTCTGAAAAATCTCTTCAGTTCTTGGAAATATTTTTGAGCTGTGTAACCTTTATCTATGGCAGTCAGTCAGGCGTTCAATATCAATATTTCAGAGTTCCAATATTTGCATACTCTCGTATATTCGTAGGCCGACATCTTGGTGGCATTCGTTAGATGTGCGCGGCTGGTTATGAATTATGACAGGTGGAGGGAAAACAGAGAACAATGTGAATCAGCATCGGATTGGCTCATGTTTAATTCATCTGTAACTGCATATGGAGCACAGGGTAACCGGGTAGTCAGATCGCTTGTTGATAGCCGTTGACAGATTAATACCAAGTTGCGAATGTCCAGAAACCAGAAGGAAAAAGAAAAACGATATATATATATATGAGCCATATTTCCAGAACTGGGTGGAGTTGGGCTAGGCCGGGACGATAACGTTTCCTAACCCAGTTTCCGAGCTTATCCAATTCAATCCAATCCCTGGCTGGACTTGCAGCAAATTACCATATATTAGCCGCTCACTTTCAGTCGCAATTTATCAAAATTAAAATATTATCGCATCAGATTAAAAAATAAATACAACAAAAAAAGAAAACAAAATTCTCCCACACTCTCACCCCGAAAATAAACCAGCAGCAGCTTAGTCCCGAATAAATAGCGAACAAAAAAGCTGAAAACTTCATCAGATCAATCATAAAGACATAAAAAATGCTGTAAAAACGATAAAAACACCATAAAAGCGATAATAATCTTTTGAAAGACCTGTTTTGCCCAGCAATGATCTCCGAGCAGACCAAAGACAGTTCCACAGGCCGCCCAAACCGCCCAGTCTGCCCCGCATAGCAATCCGCAGACACAGAAAACAATATTTATAAACATAATTTTACGAGATCCCAAAGATATTTATCAATTTTTAGATATATAGAACAAGAAGGAACATTTAAAAGAATATATTCCAAACAAAAAAGCTAAAAGAGTGCTCTTATTTTAGACGTAATAAGTCAACATCCAGAATGTTTAGTAATTAATATTTAATCCAGCTTATATCCTATGATATATTTTCCCTGTGCACATATCATAGCAAAGGCAACTTGTCAGACCAAAGTGATCTTAGTAGACATTTCTGTTGATTTACTATTCGAACTTAAAGACACACAACCCAGACTCCGGCGACTCACACACATAATAATGGAAAAGACTTGTGTATGCTAATCGATGGGCGAGCTGATTGATATGGCTTTTTAATTGCATTTACAATTTAATTGACCTGAACTATCTGGCCAAAATCCCCGAGAATTACTTAGCATAATTTTAGCGTCTTAATGAGGAAACAATCGGAACAAAATATAAAATTAATGCAAACACAAGTATTTTGCATTAACATAAGGCGACCACCGATAATATAATTATACCGAGTGTTCCGACTGCAAGTTGCGGGGCTCATTAACTTGGCCAGTCAATAAAATCAAACTCGGCTGACATCCAATCAAATTGATGGGGACAACAGCTTCGGTGTTTGCGAGCTCAGAGTGTGGGGGGCTGTCAAGTGTTTAATGAAAGAAATTAAAATATGCCAGCCTTCAGCTCATGCGTAAAGAGCTCAACTCGACTCAGATAGATCCGATTTCAATGTCGCTCACGTAATCGCTCTATGTAATGTGACTCAGTTGTGGTGTAGTTGTGGCTCAGTCTGTGAGTGTTATCACAGTATGAACGATTTACGAAAAGGGGTCAGGGATGCCCATGTTAAGGCCTATAGGTCGGGGCCTAAATGAAACTAAAAGCTCACTTGGATCTTATTCTCAATACACTTATTGGAAATATATTTTTAAAAAGGGTTTCAGAGAATTAAATGTTATCACTGAATTATTTATTAAAATGGGTCAGGTATGTTAAATATTATAGGTTGATTCCAAATCAAACCTTTATTGTAATTGTAAAAATATTTTCCCAGAAAGAATTACAAAATAACATAACCCTTACAGAATATATATATATATTTTTGTAATAAACTTTTAAGTTTATTTACAATTATTGTGGAGCCCCAATTCGCTTTTGTGCCAGTTTTATTTATAACAAAACTCCATTAAAGCCACACAAAACTCATAAATACTTGTGTTTAAAAATTAATGATAATTATATTAATGCTTAATAAAATAAATTATTTTTGAATTATAATTATATATACTAATTAGTCAGCGGAATACATTTATATAATTGAACTTATTCAATAACAATCGATAATAAAAGCATTAGCCTTGCATGTTTATCGGACACATCTGTCGGCAGTGCGGTAGAAATTATGAAATTATTACTAAATTGAATGGTAGCCACTGGCCAATGACTCATTAGTCAGAAAACAAATGTGTACACAGCACGATTGCATAAAATGTTAATTAATATGTGTAATAACATGTAGGAGTTAATAAAAGCCAAAATATTCTTGGTATAAAATACTAACACTTGCTGTAAGAGAACAAAGTATTCAATTACTTTACAAGTTGTAGAATTAATTAAGATTAACCAACTTTGTATATTAAATGATGCAGTATATAGTTTTCGAATACAGTTTGTAATACATTTTAAATGATTTAGCAATTATTTGGTGCATATTTTTATAAACTAATGATTTATTGTCTTTTTGAAAAGTGAACTATTCTATAGAATTAATTGATAGAAACCAGTCTGAATTGCAAAAAAGGAAGCTGGCATTTACACGGCTTATTAAACCTAAACAATAATATAGTATAAATGACTAATAAATCACAGTGAGGTATTTGTTGATTTTACTTACTCAGTTGTTTGTTATCAACATACCAGGCCCTGTTGCCGGCGTGGCCTCACAGTATGTTTGAAACAAAGTAAAATAAAAATTAAAAACAAAAAAGCAAAATTCAAAAAACAAAAAACAAAAAAACAAAGCAAACACAGCCGAAGCCGGAGCGGGTTGGAGTTCGGCGGTCTCTCGGCTCTGGGGTTTCGGTTCGGATCGGATTCGCAAACCAGCTGATGACCAGCGGAGCCCCACAAAACGGGAGACGGAGACTTTGTGCTGATGCTACCACATTCGCTGCTTTCAGTGTGGCCCGTGTCTTCAATGTGTTTTGTCACGCTTTGGCGCTAACTCCGGTACCAACCAACAGCTACTATATATACCCAACCCGCAATATATCCTACACACACAGTATATAACATATCCCTCCACTCCCAGCAACGCCCAGCAGCAGCAAAGTATGTGCTTCGTGATGATGCAAATGTAACAAAAATAACAAATAAAAGCCACGCAACAGTGCTAATCACTCGCCGCTGTGAAGTTCTCGTAAAGTGCAAGAAACACGTAAAAAAATAAAAATAAAGAAATACAGAATACATAAAGGAGCGTAAAAATGCGCAACAGAAAAACAAAAGACTTAAGCAACGAACTTGCGTGCTGCAATGCAGACAATTTATAGCCTGCAGGCGCAGGCGCAGGCGCAGGCGCAGGCTGCACAGCTGCTGTCGCAGGCGTGTTAAATTTATGCAAATAAATAAATCAATTCCCACAAAAAGATAAAAATAAAATTGAAGGCGTTTTTGGCCGTTTTGCACGCACCAAACGAACATTTGTCAAAATAGTAAAAAAAACAAACCAAACACAAGTTAAGAAACCTAGAGAAAAATCTGTTTTCCCCGAGCAGTCATAAATTAAACCTCGCCCATGACTTTTCACTTACCACAAGAAAAAATATTAAAAAAGGAAGGGAAAAAGACTAAACTAAAAAGCAAATTGTTTTGCTCATTGCCCATTTAAATGCAACAGCTTGCAAATGAGTTTTAAAAATACCTTTTAGCGTGGCTTATAATATTTTTTATATATATTTTTTTTGCCTTTTATCTGTAGTGTTTTCTCAGTTTAATGTGCCGGAAATGTGGCAGATAATTGTGGGTACTTGCGGCAACCAACACCCAATGGCTGAACCTGAACTGTCTGTCTGTCTGTCTGTGTGCCAGTGATTATAAAACCTCGTTAATTTGCCTAAATTGTTTTCGAATTTCTCGGACGTAATCGAGCTCATCTTCAACTAGTTTTTCGGCTCTATAAAAGATAAACTTGGTTCTTTTGAGAGAACCAGTAAGGTCACCAGACATTACATCTGGAAACGAGTTTCCGAGAGAGATTCTGCTGTGGAGGTCAGCAGTAACTCGGTTTCCATTAACTTTTGCGACCCAAACATAGTCACGTTCCGCCAACAACTGCGATTGCTTTTAACCGTGACATGGGCCGGCATAATTTTTTTATTTTTTGGCCGGACTTCAAATACGCATTGGCATATACTGTCGAACCTTTGGTTAGATATTTACGATGGCAAATAGCTTGGACTTTGCCGGCACTTAAAATGCCTGGCATGTGGCTCGCATTTGGCTCCACTTTGCGACACAGCACAAAGATCGAGAGCACCAATTGAAAATTAACCCAGCCTTAGATTGTTTTTCAAAGAAAATGGTCATTTAAATTGGTTTTAAAGTTTACGCATGCGCGACAGATCGTGGCTTTGGTCAGACGCCCCCAAAAATACAGTGGAACTTGCCATTAAACGGACTCAAAAAAGGGAAATGAATACACTTGGGAGTTATTACCCATATAAGTATTTAATTTCGTGTCTGAAAAGATACTTTAACTTTGAAATTAAAGTCCTTAGAAGGTATTTCCCCATCAAGGAAGTCCCACTGTGTGACTCCACCTCCCTTATCAGGCAAATGCCATGTGCATGTGTGAAACAAATCTCGATCTCCATCTCGATCTCGATCGAAATGCTGCCATGGACACTGGCAATTGAGACGCCAAACTGACGGCGTCATCGTCATCATCACCGTGTTACAGTCACCGCCGAAATGTAACCATTCACTACCTACCATAAGGGTCCGACTAAGTAATGGGATTGCATAATGAGCGGGGCCGCCGTTCCATTTGATATTTACCTTAAATCTGATTTGATATTGTCCCACACGTCGCGTCATTCGATATGCCAGAGTCGTCTACAATTACCAGGCATCAAGGCATCAGATCAAAAATAAAAAATAAAAGTGGGTTTGATTGAGGCTGACCAGGTGACCGGCGGCCAGGTGATCGCTTGCTCCATTCGATTCGGTTTAGTTGCTAAATTAAATTAATAACAAATTCTGTAGGACATTCGCAAAAACAACTTTCTGTGTGCAAAACGCCAAGTGCGAAACCCAATCTATAAAAAGTAACTTTTCAACTAATATTTTTGCAGTTAATCGACTTGGAATCTTCGAGTTTCATTTGATCAGATCAAATCACAAAATGGTAAGTAAAGCTGTGTATTTTATTATTATTATTATTATTATTATCATTGAGTATTATTTATTTCCGTTCAATGATTAAGTTCAAACACGTGTCGCCTGCTCGTGTTTACATATTGGGGGTAATCAATGCAAGCGTTTATGCATTTCTCGAACATGCGTGCTGGCTCTCACATAATTTTTGAAAATAAATAATTAAATTGTCAGGCACGCTAAAAAAAACAACGAAATTGTCACACACTCCAGGGTAAACTGTATAAATTTCACATCAGAGGCATTCCGTGTCATTGGACCTTACCTTATTTGGGTGGGAAATATTAATTTCGATCATTTCAAGCTGTTTTCAAATTCTAAAGTTAATATTAAATAATTGCAAACGATTTAAACCTTAACTAACACAAGTTTACATCTTGAATTCATTAACTATTAAAAATATTCTCAGGTAGAAACGACTAAATTCGTATCGGCAATGATCTTGTTAGAATTCTTTTAAATGTAAAGTGTGTGAAATGGTTAAAATTACTATGAGATTGGAATCTTAATGTTGTTAAAGAAATATTTAGAAGCCTAAAAAGAAACAACCAAGTTAAGTTATATATAAAAAAGACCGCTAAAGAATTTCTTACAAATAAATACATATAAAAATTCCAGCATTAAGAGTAGTTTTAATTATATTTTATTCAAAACAATTTCGTTTAATAAAACAATGCCTTAAGCTTTGGTTTTTTTAGAGCTTTAACTCATACTAAGTTAATAACTTTTAATTAATCTGCTGACAAGCCATTCTGCTTATTATTATTGATCCATAATAAGAAAACTTTACCAAGCAAATTAGAAAACGAAAGCAAACATATTTATCTCTTTATAACTTTTTAGATATATTTAACAAACAATGAAATGTGATATGGTGAGGATTCCCATAATCAACAAATCAAGGGCAAACCACAAAACGAAACAAAACAATATCTGCAACCGAGTTGAGTTCGTATTTTAAGCAATTGACAAAGGCAATGACCCACAATTGCTCATGTGAATTAAATTCTTAAATTTCGTACGCATTGTTCTGTGGCAAGTTTGTGTTCCGAGTCTTTCGTTATATTCGAGACGATGAGCGCAGCCGATGATGTCTCACCGGAAACGATTGATCGCGGTGAAATCAGCCTCAACTTCAGCTTAATTGTCAAAATATATATTTGTGCAACATCATTTGGGTAATTAACGTGTTCGATTATATTTATAAATGTGTTTTTTTTTCTTTCGCCGCTCAGCGATCAGACAAAGCATAATCATATTAATATGCAATTTGCTTAATTCGTATTTTGTTAATTTCAATCTGACTTCCTTATAAATGTTGCACGATCTTTAATTAATATTTATAAATTTTGTATCATTATTTCAACATACAGCTCCTCCCCATGGGGTGTGCAATTTGTCAGTAAGCATATTTTTGGCTTTGTTAAACAGAGATATCTTACAAACATGGCATATAGCACAGCATAGTTAGCATATTGGAAATGGTAACCTAAACGGCATTATGGCTTAATGTTGATTTTATGCAGAAATTCAACAAACCCTGAATTAAACAAATTAACGACCGTTTTTTCGGTTTGTTTACAAAACAATCAAAATGCAACTCGAAAATCATTTTCCGATCTCCAACGCTAACGGTAGCACATTGACCTCCCCATTCAAAAGCCATTTGAGGCATTGTCTTGACCAAAGCTATGGCCCATTGTCTCGGGTCCCGCATTGATTTGATTCGCTTCGATCTATTCCGATTCGATTTATTTATTTTTCCCCCCTATCCCCCTCTCCGATTTTCACAACATTCCTGCCAAAAAGTTCAAGACACTTAACTGCCGCGACTGACAGGCGGTCGCTGGCTAACCACTGATTAGCCGCTGCGTTGAGATTTATGATTAGCCGGGGCAAACGCATTAACTGCCCTACTCAAAATGCAAGTTATTACGTCTCGAAGGTTTTGTTTTTCGTTTTGTATATATATATATTTTTCCCCCCAATTTTTCTTTGCGAAACTGTGCCGCCCATAAATGCCAGAAATTCAATGAGCCTCTGCTATCGCGATTGAGTCAATCAGGGCAGCCAACTGGCCAAATGTCGAGCTGACAGAAAAATGGCATAGACCCTCGGGCATACCCTAGGACATATTTATGAGAAGAGATCTCGATCTAGCCTCGAGTATTCTGGCAGGCCTGTTGGAATGTCCAGAATGAATGATTGGTTGAAAAGTGCTTCAAGCTGATCTGCCGCAGATATTATTCGTTCCACCCTTGAGTTGAGTGAACTTTAACATTCTTCCTATAATAAGAGATATATATAAATTTCTGAATTTAAATAAATTGCTTTAAATACCATTAACCTCCACAAATCTAGTTCAGAAGCCATGTATCATCTGAGTCTCTGTCTCTCTAATAAATTGCGCAACGCAACCCTCAAGATGCTGTTTGTTGCTTCTGTAAGTGCTTCTCGAGCCATTTATCGTGTTTGCTCGCTAGTCAAGTATTTAATTTGCCAATTTTGTGGCGTTAATTAAAAAGCGTACTCCGCCCCTTGCATGTTGCTGTGTAAGCCAGACTATCAGCCAGCAGCATCCATACGAAAAAGTACTGGAAAAGGTCAAGTTTGCTGCGGCTTTGGGAACGATTCCAAAGGCGAGTACAATGCCCAACATCGTGGCAATAGAATCCACCCATGGATACCAGGGCCACAGCTGGAGATCTACGCAAATAATAACTCCATTCAAAATGTATGGAAATAACACAAAAAAATATATAATAGAAACAAGAAGAGATTTGAAATTTCATTAACCCCATTGAGCAGGTTCAAAATGCGCATTATTAGGCAGCATTTGCCAGCGTAATTGAAATCAACATGATGTCTACTTATTTATTAATATTTTCTGATTATATGTGTTGTACTTTATTTTTATTTTTTGCATCTGTCTGGCCGATGATTGACTCCCACGTCTGGTTTGCTTATAAATTTCGTTATTTGATTCGCAAATCATTTTGTATATTTTTTTCTTATATTTCTTTTTTATTTTGGCAATCGATTATATCGCCGAATACCTCGAATATTGTTTATTATTCTTTTGTTATGGATATGGACTTGACTTGGGGCTGAACTTCTCCCTCTTAGCCTGGGAACTCTGTGGCAATTAATCAAAATGCATAATCATACTGATTTTCTAGCCAACTATTTGCCTAACAATTGCCAGTGTCTGGGAAAAGTATGCAAAAAGCCAGAGATTTCACCAAAGGGGCCTGAGAAACTTGATATTAGGAGGGGAAGAGAGAGAGTTACAACAGCCATGTCATCTACATCCACGAAAAATGTGTCTAAATTCTCAGTAGGCACTTGGAAAAATCCCCTTTACTTTGAGTTGCTAGACATTCTAAATTGCAAAACTAGCGAAACACTTGGGATATATACACATGTAGCTTCAAAATCCAATCGATAATGCGTCAGTCAGGCAGGCAGCTAGGCACCTTCACCAGAAACCAAGACAAATCGCTGCCAATCAAGTATCATAACTCAAGATACATCTTCCACTGCCGATCAAAGAGGCTGCTGTATGCCGATCTCCTAGCACAAGGTTATATCGCAAATATTGGGTGCACACTGCACACGAGGGAAGTAATTTATAAATATTGTTAACTTCCTGGTATATCAGAGATATGGTTTTCAATGAAATATCCTGTTTATAGATATAATTGTAAGGAAAGAGAGAAAACATTTTAAAATATAGCATACAAACGTATAAATAAATGTTTGTATTTCCTTAAGACTTAATTATATTTTACACTTTTTATTAAAATTGGACTATACGTTTTAAATTTAAGGAATGGTTTATTTCTGGGGACAGTTGCTACTTGATAAAATATCATAAAATATGACTTCGTTGTAAGGTTACACTTCAGCTACATTTTCATGCAAGCGTTTAAATTTGTAAGGAAAATATAACAAGAACTTATCAACTTCATATACAAAATACTTGTAAAATTTTATAAATTTAAAAATTATAATATAGAGTTTGGTTTGAATTAGAGGTTTTAGTTTTTGTAGTTTATTTCTTATGTTTAACATTCGCTGCTCGATGCCCAGTTAATTTTTGATTGATGTCTTATAGAATTATAGAATATAGTAGTTTATTGTTGTTTAACCCTCCGCAATACAACCTATTTTTTTGCTGTGCATGCTTCTGACTGATGAGGAAGCCGCCTAAATTGAACATTATTTTCGGAGCTCAGAGATTATATTGTGTACACTGTATAGCAATGCAGTGAAAACCGCGTCAAATGGCAAACCGCTGACAAGCGACAGGCGAAATAACTCGAACAAATGCTTAAGCTGTTGGAAAACATCAAAATGGAAACAAGTTTGCGCGTTTCTGTGACAAATGAGCGCAGCCAAAAAGTACTCGCAAAACGAAACTTTGAAACTTTGAAAATAATGATTTGGCGTCAAAGAGCCATGTTCAAATTTAACGCTAGCCCCTTAATGCGGGTGGGCTATATATATATCTAACTATATGTATATCCAGGGGGAGGTGTTGTGTTTGTTCTGCGATTCATCAAGGTTGGTTGCCGCAATTGATGGATGGATGGCCATTGCATTGAGCGTTGCGAACGAGCGACAATTTGCCAGGCCTTGAACCTCTCCTCTGACGAAGATGGATCTGTGCCTGGAAAAACAAGAACTCGATGACACTGAATCTCGGTTTCAGTATCGGTCTCTCTGTCTCTTAGTCCGAACCTGAATCGGAATTGGAGGCTAGGCCAGCTCTTTATATGCAAATGAGTGTGTGCGCGCTGTAAGCTAATTACGTGACACGCTTCGGAGCAGATGAAGTCATTCCCACTGCCACCACATCCAATTCCATTCTTAAACCCTTTATTTATGATTCTCGACTTGGACTTGGAAGCGGAGCAGGCTGCGAAGGTCGCTGGTAGTTGGACCCAGTTCACTGATCTGCCGGATGTC